TGAAAGAGATCGCCTTTCAACCAATAGGAAGTCTAAATGCACACAGACCAGTGATCTGTCAAATGTAACCATTGGTGTATCTCACACCAATGTGAAACCCGTTGTCGTAATCAAGTGGCTACGTGTAGCCACTTGCGTGTAACCCTGTTACAGGCTTCATGGCCTGGATTGGCTGGGTTCTCGTCATATTTCCGTGCTACCTGGCTAAGTGGGAACTTCTAGAGGTGGCAGGCATTCCATACGCCGTCTGGCTTTGCTACTACTAACAATCCAGTTGAGCAATACAATGCTGCACTCAAACGCGATGTCACTGTGCATCGCAAATTAAAAATGGGGCTGCTACTGGAGCGATTTATTGACTGGTGTTATCTTCAAAGTGCACAAACGACTGTGTTTGCGTCAAGTGTACCGGTAGATGCGCGGTTGCAGCGTCGTGCGCGTGAGCTGGAGAGAAAAAAAGCTACTTTCCGAAGTCGACTCCAACAGACACAGCATCGCGTTCCTGGTAGGAGATACACCAGCCGATGCCACTTCTCTCGATGTAGTGTACGTACGTGCGCTTCCGGCGAGCAGACCTTACGATGAGAACCAGAGCCGCAAGCACGAGGATTTACCCGCTTCTGCCCAATTAGGGCTTCACACAGCTCGCATGGAAACGGAAGGTATGCCAGACAGTGGTTGGAGAGTGAACGTCCGTGAGTTCACATATCCATGTCGGTTCCACATGAAATTCAGTATCTGCACGCACATTCTGTTTACATTGAACGCGAGAGGCCACATCGACCTTTCCGGGCGTGAGCGTCTCGTGTACCGAGGTCCAAACAAGAAGCGCAAGGTTTCTTCTCAGCGCCAGGGTCCCGGACGCCCAACCTCTAACGGGCACGCGCTGCATATCAACTAAGCTGCAATCGCATATACAACAGATTAGCTTAACTGGAGGGACTTACAAGTTGTACGTGTACTTACCATTTTGGTGTGAGCGTTGCTTGGCTGTACGTGAACTAAGTAACAACCGAGCAACGCAGAGGCCTCATCAATGGGTTATTCTTCTCAATAATGATGGTGCTCACTCACTGCTGCCCAACACTACACTCATTCCCCTCCACCATTGTCCTTGAGGCAAGCCGTGCTCCATATACAATTTTGCTGCATACAACTTGCCCTTTCGGGTCTTTGTCTCATCAGTTCTGGCCTTTGACGTGGACACACTTGCTGGGTAACGTGGCCATGGTTATTGCGCAGCGATAGAGCCGCTTCGCGCTTCTTGGGGTCACCTGTGTCCGTCACTACGAACGGAGAACTGCCGTCGAGCTCTGTGTCGCGCCACGTGCATACGTGCTGGCAGGAAATCTTTTGTATGGGGTTCGTGTGGGACACACGAACCACAATTGTGTGAGGAAATATAATAATCACACGTAGAAATCTGGCCAACAAAATAACCCATCTCCCACAATATGCACGGACAGTGCTGACAAGCAGGCCCTTCTCGAGTGCGCCTGTGCGCGTACAGACACTTGTGACGCTGTTGCGTCACCATCCAATCGAAATGCAATGTTACTTGAATGTGGACGTGTGGTTCGAGCAACAACCGCCATAAATGCTCCACACCACATCAGTATCTTCCTGGGGCTGGCAGCCACCTACAGCTACCGCTGGTTGCGCGTCCAGCACACGCATGTTGACGATGGTGGGGCTCAGCGCTTTGGAGCTCCAACCGGAGACCCTATGCGCAGGGGATATACTGATAGACTCGAGTATTTTTGCCGCGCATTCGTGGCTGGCGACGCACGAGGACACCGCGTTGGCGTGGTAACGAGAGTTGATGCCACAGAAGGTGTCGAGTATCCGGTCTCTGTCGACACTGAAGACGCCCTACCTACCGACATGATGGTAAAGCGTGTGGGAGACCAGTTTGGCAACAAATTCTCCCCAGAAGCCACGAAGTGGCGAAAGCTACGGACGTTTCATCTGACCTCAGGATCATTTTCGGCTCCGTCTCGGTCCAGCGCGCTGAATATGGCCCTTCAAGGTGCAGTGCAGACCTCTATCGAATCCACTTACGAGGCACTTCGTCATATGCGCGAGGAAATTGTTTCCGAGAGCTCTCATTCAGGAAGGTCCAGTTTGGAAGAGCCTGAACCCGATTTGGTTTTTTTGCCGAGGTTCAGCGCTACGGATCTCGACGTAACGGAGGCAACAGACCTGCAATCACCAACTACACCAACCAAACAATCGAGTCAACGCGAGGAAATTTCCAAACGATCGTCACTTAGCCAGATTATAAACTTAGTGTCCTCGGATGATGAAGCGGCTATGAACGACACGACTACAATCTCTGACGACAAGGTGGCGGAGGCACTGGCCTACGCCAAAACCGTACCAACACGATACAAACGGCACAAGATGCGACATCATCGGAAGTCTCGCGTTGTGGACTGGCACCAGCCGATATCGCGGGTGAGGCGCAATTTGGCAAGATGTGCGATTACAAGGAGTGGTATCCAGATTTACCACGCGAAAACTTTAAAAGCCGTCCAGATTCAGAGTTTCTTGCGGAAACTAGGTGTCAGAGCGCGCTTAATTTGCCTAAGAGCTAGGCGTGAATCATTTCCAACGCCTACAGCCAAACCTTCGGCTCCTACGCTTACAGAGGTGCCGTGGCCTACCGAAATTAAGAGGATCGACACGTGCATAACGAACGGCGTGAAATTTCAAGACATTGGGGGTGTACACAAGTGTGGCTGTACCGTAGATTGCTTCGTGGACGAGTGCAACAACGCTTTGATAGAAATTTTTTGCACTCCTACCTGCTGCAGCTTGGGCGCGAAATACAGTAACGCTCCAAGATCCCTGAAAACTGTTTGATACGCATCGCGTTGGGCTGGGTGTGTACACGACAAGCAACCTCGACGTAGGAGACGTACTCGGGGAATACTGCGGAGAGCTTACCGAGTTCCCAGCTATCGTGGAGGGTCAAGCTAAGCAAGCTGTAAAGCAGAACAGCGGGTACACTCTACTCTACAACGCGAAATCCAAAACCCGCAAATACGTCTACGTTGATGCACTGCACTGCGGTAGCATAACTCGGTTCATCAGCCACGCCTGCGACCCTAACGCAGCTTTTGTCGAGCAGCAGAATCGTTCAAGGGTGAAGGTTATGGTGACGATGACTAAAGACGTTCAGGCTGGGGCAGAGATTACTGTGAACTACGGCGACGAGCGCTGGTTTAAGTGCGCATGCGAGGATTGCTGGCAGGCGAATGCGGAACAGGAAGAATAAAACGAAGACAACGTTTAGTTTCACTAAAAAAAAAAAGGCGCTTAACTTGCAATAAATTTCGCTTGTTTGAGTTCAGCGCTTTCAATAATCGTAAATTCAGTCATACAGACGTCGCTCGTGGTCTACAGCAATTCCATTAAGTTGCTTGACGCGAGGGTCGTAGAAATTATTGAAACATACTGAGTAATCGCTTAACAAAGATAATGGAAGAAAGAAAATATAGCACCACACACTGCCAAAAGCGAGCAAGATGTTTTGGTTTGGCGTACTACTACGTGTGGTGTATCAGGGACACAATACGTGTGCGGGTTCAGTCTATTGAATTATATAACCTCCACACTCATGCCAAATGTCCGACATGTCAAGTGTCCGACATAACAAGTGTCCGACATGACAAGTGTCCGACATGACAAGTGTCCGACATGACAAGTGTCCGAGATATTTCAAAATGGAGATCCAAATGACGTCCCTCACATTCAAAATGCCCAGCTAGACTTTCTTGTAAGGTGTCTCATAAGGTAAAGAGGGTGGGGATACCTGTGTATTAGCGGGTTTTATCCAATGCTTGGTGTGTCGTGAAATAATATGGTTTACGTCGCATATATACTAACAACTCTTAAACACATACAAGTCCAAAATTAGGTAAACTGTGACGGGGTCACACAGCACCTTGTGCAGAGGAAGTTTATTTCCTCTAGAGTATACAAACTCTAAGTGAACGACCGTTCACGTGTCCCTGGTCTGAAGGGGACGAAGTACTCACTTGAGGGTACGATTAAGACTGATTTTTATTTATAGGTAGGCTTAACTCAGTTTCTAATACAAACTATAAGTCAACTATAATGAAGCTATGTAGATATGCAATGATTGGCTCCTAGAGCCCCTGGTACCATGTACCAGGTATCTCAAGAGTGGCACTCTTCATGTAACTTGGGTACACTTGGGGTATTGTACCCCGTTACATAAACCCTCATATGTATTACGTGCAGTTTGTTGTGGCCTATGTGTTCGTTACCCAAACACTGACAACGGGGTCGTATTGTAGGTGCTGGAGTTATTACAAGCTCAAGGCTGGACCAGCTGCTCCCGGGTGGCCAGATATAGCAACGGTGGCAGCACTAACACGTTTTCTCTCCCGTCTGCTGACGAGAATGTCGCGACCACTGCTGTCGACGTGAGCAGTGACACGAAGAGCGAAAAGAATGGGGACACACGTTCCGAACGCAAAACAATAGTCACAGGGGCACCATTGACGCTCCACATCGACCTCCCATCCACCCCACGGCTCGTTTTCGACCTCTTTGCGGGCATAGTTAGCCTCCATTTGAGCGGACACTGCAATTCCTTCCTCGCTACGTTTATTGGGGTCCACAACAATGCGAGGTGCAGGCAGACTGATGATGCGCAGAACCGGGTAGGCCCCAGCACGCACCAACTCCGACACCCTACGCGCGAGGGTCTTGCTCGGACATACTCCAAACTCGAAAGCCCGCACGCTACTCGATTGATCCTGGCAGCAAGCGCTCAGCTCCCTCAGCAGAGAGCCCATTTTTAAGCGACGACGAAGAGTGTAATCACGCTTCAAAAGAGCGTTGAACGTCTCCACAGGGTTGTTTTTCGAGGCAAACCCGGGGGGAGTCGCAAACACCTGTCACGTCGCAAAACTCCCCGTTAACCATTGAGCGTAAATGTACTTTGCAAAAGCGACTAGCGCTGGTTCGTCCAGCCAGCGTTGCAAATTCGACGCAGTATCTCCAAATAGCTCGTATCGGTTCGCGCAAAGTGTAGATCGTATATTTCTCGAAGTAGTCTAGCCGCGACGCCCGAGGAAAATGTCCTAAGGTGCTCTTGAACTTTTTTCATTACATGAAAGAAGCACATGAGGAAACGGTAAGCTGGGTTGTCTCCAAACACGGCGGTCAGAGCATTGTACTGTGCCTGTTAGCCGTCTGCCATCGCGTAGTTTACTTGCAGGTCCTTTGCAGTTACCCAATAGTACAGACGTCGGAGGGCCGATAGTGCAGCCTGAAATACAGGTTGAGTCTCTTGTGAAATCACAAATAGCGCAACGAGGTGAAACCGCCGCGAGCGGTCGGATATTCCGACCACCAAAACGGGGTATCCGCACTGGTTCATCTTGTAAGTAGCATATAAGTGTAGAATGTAGCTATCAGGAGGCACCATAAGCCGCAGTATCAAGGCTTTCGTCGATAGTCCGACAATGAGCGGTTTACCGTCCGATCCGTTGCCTACGACAGGCCTCCCCATGTTACTAGCTGCCAACCGAACGTAAAAGCGTCTGTCATGGCCTCCGAGCCGGTATAGGCACGCTCGTGTACCCACGCCCTCAGATCATCGACGCGGTCGTGATTCTCCAAGCAATTGCGACCGTAGTTGTTCACGAAGTTTTGTACAGTCTTCAGTGGTGGCAAGTCCTCGAGAGAGGTGCTGAATTTACGAGCCAGAGCGTGTCGTATCCGCATCGGACGGAGATGGTTGTCGGCCAGCTCTCGGCAATAGGTCTTCTGAGTGCTGCTCAGCTTCTTTCGTCTCGGTGACGAAACGGTTGACGAATGCGTATCGTACTCGAAGATCGACGCGTGCCCGGTCTCCAGGCACGTGACGATCTTCCCTCTCCAGCCGCAGTTGTCGGTAGTTGCATCGATGCATACCACAGAGGCACAGGCGAGCAGGCGATACCGCATCTTGTGGTCGTCGCTGGCACAAAGCGTACAAGCCATAGTCTGGCTCTTCACAATGTCGAATGACTTTAAAGTCTCCAGCAGGGCGTCGGCAGCGGGGGCGTCGACGTCGACGGCTTTCTCCTCCCACGAAAGACGTCTCGGCATAGTCGCTCGGGTGGATCCGGAGAATGGCGTCCGGCGCCTTAGAAAATGGTGCGAGCCACCTCTCCAAACAGTGGGTGCTGATTGGCTCATTATAACCTACCCCCACCTCGTTTGCGCACTTCCCGCGGCGTGCAGCGCCGAGTAGAGACTGAGCAAGTTATTGTGTTTCAACAGCATTTTGCGGTGAAGCAGGGATTGTACGGTGCCTACAAGTTTTTGCTGTGCCATGATTGTACTGCTGTGTGTCAGTAAGGTTCCCTCCAATTGTGTCTCGGAGGCAGGTCCGCTCTGTTTATGTTTTGAGTGCTGGAGGAAAGTATTTGAGTGCTGACCACATAATGTATGTGTGTTTCTCGTATTAGGGGGTTTCAGTTAATAATTTCTTTGCTAGATTTTGAGGCCTCATTTCTTGTCTTCATCGTTTCAAGAAATGAGCCTCAGGAGACTCATTTCTTAAATTCATTTCTTGTCTTGCCTAATTGCTGTCTTCTCGATCCTGATCGCTTTAAGGAGGATATCAAATAAGCCAAAGGTTTCCTTTTGAGCTCACTTACCAAAGTATCCCCGCGCCGAGTCTGCATTGCGAACGGAAACCCAGCCATGCCTCGTCCGCCAGCCAACAAAAAGCAGTCCAAGACCACAGCGAAGAAGGTGTTCAAGAACAAGCAGCCAAGAAAGGCGGCCAAGTTTGCGCACACGACACCTCTCCAGCTTGAAGGAATGGTCTTGTGGATAGAAGTGAGCTCTAACCGCCCTATTTACCTCGGAGAATCAACCGCTGGAAAGAGCATGGCGCATGGTTCGGGTATCACGAAGCTCGCTGGATTTGCAAGTATGGCGCAGTACGTACACGAGTATGCTATGCAATACGGTGGAGATGATCCTCGCCATTCCGTGGTCTGGGACAGAACAACTTGCCAGAGCCGATGGGCGTCGCAGTTCAAGCGTTACAAAAACACTCGAGAACGTAAGAACAGCAACACAGGGTTCGGAATCACGGAAGAGATGCTGGCAAATGGAATTACGGTCGACGACATGATCGAGAAGGCGTGTCCGTTCTACACGAGGATGGACGCAATGTTTGCAGAGCAAGCCAACGTTAATCCAGAATCTGAGTGCCATGTACCGGATCTTAGCGACGACGACGTACGTCTACTTGATGAACTTACTGTTGACCGAGCTAATAGCGGTGGAGCAGCCACTGCTTGCGATAGCGAAGTCCATGAGTTCGGCTATCCTGATTTCAGACTTGATAAATCACCAGCGGGCAGTGAAAGTGACGGTGGAGAAACCGTATTCAATGTTGGAGCTGAGGATCTCGATGTCCGTCATGATCGTGAAGACCAAGCCAACCCGAGCAGAGACTTTCAACATGACGAAGGTGAACCCGACCAGGAAAATCGACCACCAAGCGGGATGTCCCATGCTGATATGCCTGCAGATACAACAAGTTTATCAAACCGACAACCGCTTCAACAGCTTCTCGGCCGTCAAAACAAGTCCAGCTTAGCATTGACACGACCGCAGTACCAAGATGACCAAGAGGATTATACTTCTCGTCGCAGATTCCAGCCAGAGTCATGCACATCTGCTCGAACAACCCAACCAGTGGCAAAGTCTGTTTCAGCTGCTAAGGCTGTCGCTAAGACAAAAGGAGTGGAGAAGGCAAACTCGTTAAAGCGAAAGGGTTTTGGCTGAGTGTTATCTGTAGAGGCAGAGAAAACGAGACGCGTTGGAGAAAAAAGAGCAAAACTGAAGCTGAAAGCAGAATCCAAGCAGTTTAAGGAGACAATGGAGTTCAAAAACAAGGAACTTAAAGCCCATGTCAACGAACAACGTAGAGCTCTGGAAGAACGCGATCAAGAGCGCCAAGACAAGCGCCGCGAAAAACGTGATGAAGAGCGCAGGAAAATGGCAGTGGAACTATTACTTGGAGGAAAGACTATCTCTGAGGTGCAAGCACTGGTGGAGATGTTCTTGCCTAGTACTGATCAGTGCGCGCTTAATTCGCTCACGCTTTTGTTGTGCTGCCGTGCCTACCTCCGCGGTACCCCTGGGTTCATCGTCGTCTTCTTCGTCGGCCGTGTCTTCGTCCCATTCGTCTGCAAGCGCCAGCCCAAGGTTGTGAAGCAGAACGCAGGCGAGAATATGGTTATTCACGTGGCGGAAATCTGCTTTCTTCTTGATTTGAGTTCGTATTTCTTTCAGGGACATCCAGCGATTCTTGAGCAATCCAATACAGGTTTCGTTAATGACTCGAGCGGATGAGATGGTTTCGTTATAAAACGCATGTTCATCCTTGGCCGCTGCTGGAAGCTTGTACGGGGTGATTAGCCTGATGCTCAGCGCATATCCAGTATCACCAATCAGATACTCGTCACCGGAAAAGTATCGCTCTGGATGCTTCGCAATAGGAGTCTTGGAAAATACCGTCGAGTCACAACACGATCCTGGTCAGCGTGTGAAAGCTAGCAGAATCACTTTATCTTCGTTGCAAATAACCTGCACGTTCAGGCTGTGCTGGCACTTTTGACTATAGTGCAATGAGCCCTGGATGTGCGGCTTCTGGGAAAAGTTAACGTGAGTGCCATCGACAAACCCGACCACTCCCTCGGTTAGCCCAAAGCGCTCTTCGTGAAACGCTGCCGAAAGAGCTCGCTGCTGCTGACTGGGCCAAGACACACATGTTGTGTAGTGGCGAAGTAAAGCTTTCTGCACACGGCGTACGTAAGTCGGAACTGTTCCCATTCCAACTGCGTAGTCTCGAACGAGGTGCGCGACGGAGTTTCCATTTCCATAAGCCCCGTACCACTCTAGTGTTATGGCGAGCTGCAGTGCCACATCGCGCTGCTGCTTCTTGGCCTTGTCGCCCTTGGCCTTGAAAACAATGTCTTGGTGAATCATTTCAACTAAAACATTAAACGTGATCTTGCTAACCCGGATAAACTTTCGGAACTCGTCGTCACGAAGGTTGTAGAGCAAAGCATGATGTGCCACGGAGCGAACAACGTTCTTTCGATCGACAGAATAGCGTACGCGATCCAAAGCTTGACGTAGTATCACGAGCAACGATAGTAGTGAGTCGTCGTTGTCGTCGCCGTCGGACGTTTCCGTATCAACGAACAGTGGATGCGTATTACGAAGCTCGTGTAGCATTGCCAACTGGAAGATCACACACGACATCTCCACCTTGAGCTTCTTGAAGTCAGACGGCGGCATGATTTGTGTGAGAGGAAAGATATCTATGAATATTCAAAGAGAGAGGGGCAACGTCACGCAGAAATGAGTACCTTATTGCGAGAAATTATGAACTGAAACCCCCTAGGAAAAAAATTCGCTTTCATTTCTCGTCTCATCGTTTCGAAAAGATGTGCTCAAGAAATGATTAACTGAAACCCCCTATTTAGTCAAGCTGGAGTCCAGCCCGGGCCTTTGCTTTGATGAGCTGGACACTGCCTCTTCTGCAAAGACACAGCTGAGGATATTTTATTATAAGACACGTGGTAAAATTTAGTAAATTCTTCAACAACGAATTTTGGATTTTGCTACCGAAATTAGAACAGATATCATAAATTATGTAGACTCCGAATTTGGATTTAACTAGACAATTTGTTGTTGGAGTTCGTAAATTGGGGTCCACCCCAGATTCTGTTTACAGCGCTAATCAATTTCTTTTGATTTGATTTTAATCAGAAGTTGCAGGTTGAAGCACATACCCGATCATTTGACTGTGCTGGACCACGTGCTGCCCAAACAGACAGGCGAGATCGCTGGCTTTCTCGACGGCAATGCTTTCCAGCGCTTCGACAACCACCTGAAGGGGTCAACCGAAAAAAAAAATCGAGCTCTAAGTACTCGATCAGTTTGGAATCGGGCACCCAAAGCAGAAGTCTTCACCTTTCCAGTTATCTGACCCAATGTTCGGGTTCACGTTCTCGCGATGGTATCTGTTCATCGCAGCTTTTGTGGTGCAGTTCTGCCTCGGTTGTATCTACGCCTGGTCGGTGCTCAACCACCCGATCGACTTGGCTGTCTACGGCGATGCTAAGAAGGGCCGCGCCGTGAACACTTTTTACATTTCCATGGGTGTCTGTGGAACGGCAACGGCAGGCCTGGGTCCACTTATTGAGCGTAAGGGACCCCGTTGGGCCGTGTCCATCGGCACGACATTTTTCTTGATTGGCCACATCGTCACGGCTCTCGGGATTCACTACAAGTCCATTGCTTGGATCTATATCGGATACGGTGTCATCAGCGCCATCGGTATGGGTATGTGCTACATATCGCCCGTGTCGACACTTCAGAAGTGGTTCCCCGACTACCGTGGCACTGCCGCCGGTTTCGCTGTCGCTGGTTCTGGTGCGGGATCGGTTGTGTGGAGCAAGGTGTACTTGCCCACCATTGACGCTGTCGGTCTTGCCTGGATGTTCGTTCTTCTTGGCGCGATCATGTGTGCTGCCATGTACGCTTCCGTCTTGGTTCTTCGAGTACCGCCCCCTGACTTTACTGTTAACGGTCTCAACATCCATGGTGATCGTGTCGACGAGAACGAGATCCTAGAGGAGAAGCTAAGCACTGCTTACAAGGCCATTCATACTCCCACCCATGCGGATCAGCAGGAGACTGCGGTTATCACGAAGACACCTAGCCAGCCGTTAACACTCAAGCATGCCGTCCTCTCACCCGACTACATTTTCATGTACATCATGTTCTTCGCCAACCAGCTCTTCGGTGTCATCGTGCTGTCCCGCTTGTCCAGTATGTGCACGGACATTTTCGCCAAGAGTGCGAACACGGCCTCCGACATTGTGTCAATCAACAGTGTGTTCAACTGCTGTGGTCGTCTAGCGTTCTCGTCCATCTCGGATTTTCTCGTGCGCTACTTCAAAATAGAGAAGACGTACGCGCGCAAAGTGTTGTACTTCTTCACCCTGGGTGCGCAAATTATTGTGATCGGTTCGCTGCCCACGGTCATCCGTCACGAAAGCTTCACGTTCTTCGTTATCGAGATTTTCGTGCTCACATGCAGCTACGGCGGCGGCCTTGGTACGATCCCGGCCCTTGTCACCGACATGTTTGGCGCCTACAACGTCGGTCCCCTGCATGGCATCATCCTCACGTCCCTGGCCTTCGGTGCTGTTGTCGGCGGCATCACCTTCAACAACGCTTACAATGGCAAAATTGCTGACGGTATGAGCGTGGGTGAGGCGTACATCGACAACATTCAAGTTATCTTCGTTATCGTATGCATCGGTTTTGTGGTTCTGTTCCTGGTGCGTACGAACATTGAAGACCGCTTCGAACCGGGCTACCACTACTCGCTGTGCGGTAAGCGCGTTATTAGCATTCCACCGAAGGAAAAGGGAACGAAGCAGGAAGAGGAGGCTGAGATTGAGATTGAAACTACTGCCCAGAAGGTGCCCCAGGCTTTCGCGTAAGAGTCTTACGGTAAGACTCTGTCTGGTGCATTTCGAAGGTTCGTTAAAGCGCGCGGGGGAAGGAAGGGGGGGGGGGGACTGAACTGAAACTACAATGCACTTGTTCAAGAAAATTTCCTGTCCGTGTTTGATGTCATAAGGTTGCGTTGGGTCTCCCGATATTCATACTCCACTTAGCAGAAAGAAGTAGTGCTCGTAGTCGATGACGAGGTAGTGCTTGCGGTTGATGTCGCGCTTGTTGTGCTGCTTCCGGGCGTACCTGAGTTGGTTGAGCTTGCAGTAGTAGCGTCTGTCGTTGTAGCTGAACTACCTGAACTTGAAGTGACTGCCGTAGTGTTCGAGTTCAAACTGGAGTCCGAGACTAACCACGCATTAAGTACATCGCCGAGTAACAAACCCTCGTCACTTTGATAGCTCGTAAAGTTCGTATCAGCCAAGAAGACGTGCTTCGTGCCCTCGACGTAGAACGTAGTAATTCGAGTACTGATACTTTGGTATGCATCCAAGATCACACTCATGTCAGCGTAGAAATCTTGCTCGGAAACTAGATCGGTGAACGGGTAGCCTTCGATGCCTTCCTCGAGAAGTGCATAGAAGTATCGCTGTGTTAAATCTCCCTTACTGTTGATGAAAAGCCAATTGCCTTGTGGCACATCTTCGATCAGTGACTCCGTCATCTCAATGGTTGTAGCCATCTCTGCATCGCAATCTGCCACAACGGTGGCTGGCATGCCCAAGTTAACATCACACACTCCAGTAAAGTGCAGAGATTGCGATCCTGTGTGATTCGCAGGCACAGCACCAACGTAGCTGTCTGCGATCACCGAGAACCGTGTGCCCTTGGAGTTGACACCCCACAATTCGGCGATGTGTGCGCTGTGAAGCTGTGCCCCGAGAGAACCAGCACTCTCACCGCCCACGACGAGGTTGTCAACGTCCGGGTAGTTCTCAAGGGCCCAATCCAGCGCTGATTGAGTATTGTTGTAGCCATTGAGGTACATGGTGTAATTCAATCCAAGACATTGTGGTTCCCCCAGGAGCTCTGCAACATTGCTCTCGTAGGGTTCTAAGATGCGGTTTCCAGCATGAACATCCCCGGTGCAATATGGCACGAAAACAATGTTCCAGTCTTTGAACATGTTGTCCGAGATCGAGCGATTTAGTATACCTGCACTGCTAGAAGTTGCAACTGTTGTCAGGGTCGCGCTAGCCCCCAATGAGCATTGCAAGCCAAACGAGCAGGTCTCCTCGTCAGTGCAGGCACCACCTCCTTGGAAGAATATCATCAACTTCGACTTGTTCGAACCACTGTTCGGGAACACCTGGAAGAAATACGTCGAGTTTGTAGAGAACGTTGATTCGGAATCCGTGTAGTCGTCAAAAGCGCAACGCGTGTTTCCTCCCGGGTAGATAAGAACACTCCCATCGTCGTCTGAGGGAGTGAGCGTATCGACAGCACACGCTTCGGAGTCACTCAGTGTGCAGATAGACTCGGACGTAGTTCGTGGAACCAAAGAAAGGAAGGCCATTGCAGCGAGCAGTGTCGAGGCGACACTTGTGAAGTACATAGCGAAGTATCCAAGGCCACAAGTGGTGCGAAGTACTCGAGGTCGATTGAGAAGTGAGGATGACGGTCAGCGCTCACACGAAGTTCAACGAAAAAGATCTTAAAACAGTCGTAGACATCGTGCGAGAAATTCACGCTATCACGGTGTTAAACGATACGATATGTGTCATTCATGTTGCCTCCTTGAAGTTGTTCTGCGATAACTTCAACTTGGTTGCATCAAACCATTTTGCCCGAACACTACATGTTTGTGCCTTTTTGCCACAGAGCACAGAGTCTTTGGCATGGAAAGGAATGCCACGGGAAAAGGAAGTGCATCATGAATCCATGTTGAACCTGAAAGGATATTACGCAATTGTCAGTGATTGAAAATCACCTCCGCCCCGCTCAGCTGGTGGAAGTTCCGCCTCATCGTTATCGCTACGACTCGTAGCGTAGCCTACGAGAGCTTTCGGACATGTCGGAAGCAAGATTCGCAAGCAGTGAATAGAAAATGATGTGGTACGATATTGATAGATCTTGCATTTCTCATAAAGAAAAACCAACACATAAATGAAGATAGCCCTCAAAATGGGGTCGTCTTACGGTATTGTGAATTGTCAAAGTTGCTAAGACAGCGAGGTAAATCCTTATCCTAGGCTCCTAGCAAGCGAGGGGTGCGGAAGTTGTGGTAGCACTGGGTGACGTCGTAGCTGAAGGCGACGTGGTGGAGCTTGCAGACGTAGTCGTACTTGGGGACGAAGGGGTGCTAGGAGACGTGGTGGTGCCGGGCGCAGCTGTCGTCGCCGTAGGCGTTGTCGTAGTTGCAGCGGGTGTCGCCGTAGTCGCACTTGGAGTTTCTGTCGAGTTTGAATTCAAGCTCGCGTTCGAAACCAGCCATTCGTTAATAACATCGCCAAGTAGCAAGCCCTCATCGCTCTCGTAGCTCGTGAAGTTCGAGTCAGCCAGAAAGACGTGTTTTGTGCCTTCAACGTAAAAAGTCGTGATACGAGAGCTCACCTTCCGGTACGAATCCAGGATCGTGCTCATGTTTGAGAAGAAATCTGCCTCGGAGATCAAATCCGAGAAGGGATAACCCAATATACCTTCTTCCACAAGGGCATAGAAATAGCGCTGGGTCTTATCTCCTTTGCTATCGATGAAGAGCCAATTGCCCTCAGGTTGTGCCTCCAACAGTGCATCGATCATCTCAATAGTAGTGGCGGTGCCAGCTTCGCAGGCTGCCACAGTGTCCTCGGACAAACCGAAGTCGTTGGTGCACGCGCCGTAGTACACCAAGAGTTCTGCTGCCGGGTGATCTTCAGGGACGACACCGACGTAGCTATCTGCCAATACTGAGAACCTTGCGCCTCTGGCGTCAACGTCCCACATTTCAGCGATCTTGGCGCTGTGAACCTGAGCACCAAGTGACCCCGCACTCTCACCACCAACGATGAGGTTGTCAACGTCCGGATAGTTTTCGAGTGCCCAGTCAAGCACCGCCATGGTGTTGTTATACCCATTCATATGCATCGCATAGTCGAGTCCGAGACACTGCGAGTTGCCCAGAAGTACCTCGATGCCGCTCTCATAAGCGGCTGTAACTCGGTTACCAATGTGGATGTCACCCGTGCAGTACGGGATGAAGACAACGTTCCAGTCTTTGAACATATTGTCCGAGATCGAGCGGTCTAGTACACCTGCACTGCTCGCAGTAGCTGCTGTTGAGAACGTAGCACTGGCGCCCAGAGAGCACTGCAAGCCGAATGCACACGTGTCTTTATCGGCACAGGCACCACCTCCTTGGAAGAAAATCATCAACTTTGACTTGTCCGAACCACCGTTCGGGAACACCTGGAAGAAATACGTCGAGTTTGTAGAGAACGCTGTCTCTGAGTCCGTGTAGTCATCAAAAGCGCAACGCGTGTTGCCGCCCGGGTAGATGATAACGCTGCCATCGTCGTCGGAAGGTGTGAGCGAATCGACGGCGCAAGTTTCGGAGTCGCTGAGCGTGCAGCTTGACTCAGCTGTGGCTAGCGGAACCGAGAAGAGTGACGTTGCGGCGAGTAGAACGGCGGCGAGGCGGAAGACCATGGTTCCGAGGATATCCTGGGCAGGTGTGCACCAGGCGGAGCAAATTCCAAAGTGAGATTGAATTTGCAGGCGGAGCAGGTGGCATCCTGGTCAGCCGACCGTCATCACGTCGCACAGACCTCGGCGCAAACGCAAATTGCCGTGAATGGCATCCTGGGGCAACACTTGCCTCACGCGTCAAACCTATCATTCCCATCCAGTCCCACGATCGTGACACCTTTTGCATGTAACTTCAACGTGTAACCCAGTTCGGATTACACATGCCAAGAGTATCACGCTCTATAGATCCGCAAAGGCGCTCGACCGTCGGCTTGATATTGTACATGCCCACTCTTCGCCAAAAGGAAAACGAACTTTTCAAGTGTTTCAGTCAACCAGGCTCTCCAACTTGTGGCCAATAGTAGCAGCACTCCATCAGTGAGTCTGTACATGTATTGCCTCTAGTTACTGGTCACATAAATTGTCGGCGATTCTTCACCGCCGCCAACCCAGTTTTCCAATTGTCGGGCTACGCATGGACCGTGCTCGAATCCCTTGGGCAGCTTTGGAGCCAGAGAGATTGCTTTTGATTTGTCTCTTTTTAGCCAATCGTCTGCCGACTCAGATGTTGACCAGCGGAATGAATCCAGTCGTTGTCACTTTATCTCCGCAATGAAGGCGCCCAAGGGCTACGCGAAGGTGGCGGGCGCGGCGGAGCCGGCAGGGTCCCATATCGGATGTAAGGAGTACCTTATGACGGTATCCAGTCGGCTTTACTTCTCCAGCTTCTACCGCCTCGTATACTTCTTCATGATCGCTTCCAGTGTGGTGTGCGTCGCCTGGGTGAGCCACAGCAGTCATACTTACCTTTCACCACAGAAATTTAACTGATACTATTGTGCTATGCTTCTTGATCATGGCAGACTGGGATGAATAACTGGAAAATGTACGTCCTATTAACAGTCAAGCGGTGGAATGGACAGCAGATTATTAACGAATGCATTGATGTGTTAGTCCATCGTCGGTGGTGTTTATTTCGCTGGAGATCACGGTCAGTGCGCTGCTGGTGTTCGAGGTGTTGCTGCGGATGATGGCGTTTAAGAGGGTGAGCGATGGTGCAGTCACGAGTGGCAGGTTCTGGAAACAGTGGGGTCTTACTCAGCGTGTCGTCTGTTGTAAATGGCAGAGGTTCTGGCACAAATGGTGCAACGTCTTCGACGTTGTCGCCTTAGGTGAGTTCGAGTTCAACGGCGACTCTGATGATGCCGTAGCTGATGGACTGCTGTCTGTGCTGCAGTTATGAGCCTGGTGTCAGTGGCCATGTACTTCAACGAGGGGGAAGGCGTGCTGGGTGAACTGGAAGAAGTCGCGGCGGACTCGGTGCTGGCGCTGCGCAACGCAGTACAGTACGTCAGATTGGCGATTTTCCTCAAGTAGGTTTCTCGGCTTTGGTGGTTTAGTGATGCGATGGAGCGAGTTAATGAGCTATTCGTTATTTTCTGCAGGAACCGGTCGGATCAGCCCACTACTATCGGCAAAGACATTGACTTCGAGGAGTTGGCCGTACATCCGGATGATGAGAGAGAAATAATGCTGAACGCGGAGAGCGGGATGGGCTTGGACAGTGACGACGAAGAAGAAATCAGGATAGTGTAGCCATGCTGTTTCGAGGCGGCCTGTGTCGGTGTTATTATCGCTTTGTTGTAATGTCGTGTGCATCGTTTGGTAATGCAATTCAGTGCGTACCGCATAAATATGTTGAATTGGACAAAAGTTTAAACAAAGAGTGCCAAAGAGTGCTCGTATTGAGTTACGTAAGACCGCGTCGCCTAAAAGAACAGAAGCTTCATAAGAATGGCCCACATCATGTGCGCTCCACTACGAAGGAAGAGAAACACAATAAGTCAATATGATAGCCCATAATTACGAGCCCAAGTGTGCGCACCTGATAACTGCCAGCACTGGCAGCATCTTTTCCTTCGTCAAATGCTCAGAAATGACGTGCCAGAGGTTGTTCAGCAGGAAGTAGAGCGACCACGCCATTGCAACTAGCATCACTACCCAATCCATGGCGTCCACTGGCGAAACACACAAGATCTGCATACATAATTATACCGACGTGCTTAGTTATTGATATGTACGCAACAAAATTGACAAATACTTACCGCTGCTGGGATGAACATGATCGAGGAGTAGCCATAGAGACACACGAGGAAGAGTAGCGTCATCGGGACTTGGAAGTACTTGCCAACTAGCCAGATCAGCATAGGAAGGCCCAGTAGGAATATCTCGACGAGTGTGTAGGCTGAAGCGAGGCGACTGAAGTCGTACGACCACTCGTCTGTGTTGCCTTCGTAGTCCAGGAAGGACGCCGCATTACTGCACGACGCTAGGCAGAAGATGAGCGTCGTGGAGAGCCAAAACGGACCATACGCATCTGGCGACTTCAGTGCTAGCTCAGCGAACGTTGGGTCTTTCTTGAACGGAACTAGCGCTCGCATTAGACGTTGCTGAACGTCCGAAGTGTCGACATCAAAATACTAGAAAAGGAAGAAGAGTCAGGTTTCATCTCGCCATTCGCGTATTATATCAATTTCCACGTACCGGCTGGTAGAAAGCCAAGCTGAAGCAGCCACACAGACCCATGGGTCGTACAGGCTTGTCATCGTCTCCATAAGCCGCGGTTTTGGCGCCAATGAGCGTGTCCCTGACCTTCGGGGACATGAGTCCGTCCTCCAGCTCGTCGCCTTCGACCACTGAGACCTCTGCAGCATATCCAATTCATATACATTCAGCTATATGGGTTATACAAGTCTACTCCGCCGTAGTGAACCAACATACCGAAGTTGAGGTCAGCGCCACGATCCTGAGAATTCAATTTTGCGCCATCACCACAGAAAGGAGCGGATTAGACAACGGTTAGATATTGTGAGCTGGTGCACCGAAGAGACGAAGTTGTAGAGCGACGCTCAGGTCTGCCGTCTAGCTGCTACAGGCTACGTACATTCATGGCATTAGCCGCAGATTTAACATCGTCGTCCATGATGGTTTTGCTGGCTTTTTAGACAAACAGGAGTCTTTTTGGAATGCTTCAGATTCTGTGGTTTTTAGCCAATAGAATCGCAGTTCGGTCAGGGGTACATGGCAGATACCACCGCCGCATGATGAAATCTATATGACAGAATGGGTTTCAACATGGAGGTTGCAGTGACAAATAACGTGTCTTGCATTGTGTGAGCAAGCTATTAGTGATTTGTAGTTTAGTCTAGGTCCTGCGTGGGCACGACAGGCACGACGGGGGTGCTGGCAGCTTCGACCTCCGGGGCGGCAGCAGCAAGTTCAGCAGCCTCCTCGGCGTCCTCCAGCTGGCCCAGCAGCTCGTCGTCCTCGTCGGCGGCATCCTCAGCCTTCTTGACGATGGCAGCGACGTCAGCGGGGGTCAGACGCTTGGAGTCGTGGGTCACCTCGAGCGACTTCTTGCCGGCCTTGCGCTCCGAGGCAGTCACCGTAAGGACACCCTTGGTGCTCACAGTGAAGATCACCTCGATCTCAGCGTCGCCCTTGGGCAGCGGAGTGATACCTGAAACACTCAACTGCGCCACAAGAGTGTTGTCCTTGGCCATGAGGCGCTGGCCCTCGTAGATCTGCAGAAACACAGCCTCCTGGTTGTCCTCCGAGGTCGTGAACAGCTCCGTGGCCGTGGCAGGCAAGATGGTGTCGCGCTGGATGAGCTCCGACACGCTGCCGTTAGCCAGAGCTACCGACAGGTTGAGCGGCACCACGTTCACCATGTTCAGCGGCTTCTCGGGTTCAGGCACATCAACGAGCTCGGCAAGGCCAGAGGCCTCGATGGTGGCACCGTAGGCGACGGCCTCATCAGGCGACATCTGCGTACGCACGTTCTTGCCGTCGAAGTACTTCTTGACGAGGTTCTGCACCAGCGGGATACGGGTGGAGCCGCCGACCAGCACAACGTGGTCAATGTCCTCCTTTTCAAGCTCGTTCTCCTCCAGGATGGCGTCGATCTCGGTGATCGTCTCGTGCACGTAGTCGCTGATGAGCTCCTCGAAACGCGGGCGAGACAGCTTAAGGGCAAAGTCCTCTCCCTCCATAAGAGAATCCACCTCGATGTTCGCCTGCGTCTGCGTGGACAGCGAGCGCTTGGCGGTCTCGCAAGCAATACGGAGACGGCTGGACGCCTTCTGGTTGGTCTTGACGTCCAGCTTGGTCTTGCGCATGAACGACTTGGCGCAGTGCTCGAACACAGCGGCCGTGAAGTTCTCTCCGCCGAGAGTGTCCTTGCCCTTGCTGGCCACGACCTCGAACAGGCCCTTGTCAGCGTTCAGCAGGGTCACGTCGTGGGTGGCGCCACCAATGTCGAACACGAGCACATACTCGGGCTTCTCATTGTTGGCAGCCTCGTCCAGACCGTAGGCAATGGCAGCGGCAAGAGGCTCGCTCAGGTACGTCAGCACGTTGACGCCAGCCTTCTTGGCAGCAGCGTCCAGCAGCTCCGTGTACTTGTCGTCCGTGTGGGCGGGCTTGCTGATGACCACGTGCTCAAGCTTCTCGCCCGTAAAGTCCTCGGCCAATTCCTTAAGGTTTTGCAGCAACACGGCCATAAACTCCACGGGGGTCACGGGATGCTTCTCGCCACTACGCTGCGTCTCGACCTGAGCACCCTCGGCACCCTGCGTCACATCGAACGGCCACTCCTTGACGAAGTCACGGTCCTTGACATCGGCGTGAGCCTTGCCAAGAAGACGCTTAAGGTGGAAAATGGTGTTGTCGGCGTGCGACGGCAGCTTGTTGACAGCCGTGTCACCGACGATGACCTCCTCGCCCTCGAAGCACACATAGGTGGGTGTGGTACGGAAACCCTGGTCGTTGGCGATGATGTTCACCTTGCCGTTGTGCCACACGCCAACGCAGCCGTGCGTCGTGCCGATGTCAATGCCTGCGACCACCATATTGCCTGGTTTACTACTGCTACGTACGGTGCGCTAGAGGACCGATCTGAGTGTGGAGGATGTCGCTGACTATTGGGGAGCCAACCATTGGCCACCAGTATTTGACAAAACTTTACTGAAATCAAGTTAAAATGTTTTTGCATTTGATTGGTAGAAAAGAATGTGCCAGATTCACAAACACGATGTGGCCACTTCAACTTGTGCTGGTAGTATTCCTTCACTGACGAGGCTAGCACAACTGCTTCCTTTACTTGACGCTATTTGTCAATCTTGCCTTCGTTGGTTTTGGCAACAGGAAGTAAAAGACGCTCGCGCCGATCTGAATCAAGTTGCGTGTGCCTAGCACTGCTGGGGGCGACGAAAAGCTCATCTCACGTCCGTTAACAGAAATCGGCGTCCGAAGGCTGAGGCATTCGATCATAAAGCTGCCATTGTGAGCGTCCCATGAAATCACAGCATGTCTAGTAGCAATCATGCTGTCATTTCCAATGTGGCAATCAACAATGCCGCCAGGGAGACCCTTGAGGTTCCCAAAACCCATGTTCTTGTAAAGACTGCACCAGCGAGACTCCATGCGTCCAAGAACAACGAACGGCTCAATGAAGAAATACTGGAAACTTTGGCCCTGCGCCATATAAAGAGAATCGACAAATAGAATAGTGAGTATACGCACATTAGTATATCAACAATTGCAAGTAGTATCGTACCTCCAGCTTCGCATATCCCAATGGCGAACTCTGTGAACTTCTATCTTGCTGCTTGAGTTGAGCGCTTATCATGGCGTTCTGATAAATTGGACGCAAGAACATTCGACTCGCCTCCCGCTCCAACGCCGTCGTACTAGTTATCCCTTGATTCGTGTGTTCTACCCGGGTATGGAAATTCAGCACCCTACTCGAGCTGAAGCGAGCAGCGCAATCCACGCAAGCAAATACCAGTCGAGGTTTTACGTAGCGCTTGCATTCCTGAATCACGGTCAGTGCTCCTGACTCGCTTCTAGCACTAGGCGACGCCGATTCGGATCTATCTGGCGCCTCATAGAACCCAGGAAATGTGCCATCATTCAATCCGCTGTACACCACGTTTCCCTTCTCGTCAACATACTGGTCGTGACCTCCCTTTGCTTTATTCAGCATCAGCGTTTTAGGAGAATTACACTTGCGGTTTTTGCACGTTTGTTTCCGAAGTCCAGGTCCTCCGTATTTCTTCATGTCAAGACAGTGAGGGCACTTCATACAGTCAGGAGCATTGCAACCCTCACATTCCCCACACCGCACCACACGTGATTTTATGGATGTAGATCGAGAACTTAGTTCACTGAGAGACAAGTGATCGTCCAGTAAGGTATCGCTCGCCGGTAGCAACAAGTCACGCGGAGAATCCATCGTTGAATCAGAATATCGAAGAGATTCATCATCCGAGTCTCCGTTCCCATACGTAGCGGTCGACACAGACTCTCCATCGCTTTCCACAGATGAATACGCCACAGAGCCATCGTCATCCACCTCTATGGCACCCTTTACACCGTTCGTATCGGCCGATCCAGCACGCTTCGTCTTGCTGCGCTTCCTCTTTCTAGTCGCATATCCCCAGATTTTCGGATTCAAGCACTTGCGGTCTTTACAAGACTGTTTGCGGAGACCTGGTCCACCGTACTTCTTCATATCCTGACAGTGTCCACATTTCATACAATCCACCGCCAGGCATCCAGAACACTTGCCGCAACGACCAATCCGCTGACGAGAACCGGGTGTGCCATCGTTTCCTTTTCGTTTCTTAACAACGTTAGGAGCCTTGATCGTCAGTTGCGAGTCAACAGATTCCATCACGATTTCTTCCGGTTCGAGTTTTCCCTGCCATCAACAAACAAGCACTTCACGTCAGCATCCATACAAACAATTAAATCCTCGAAGAAGATATCATACCTTTGCCGGAACGTGTCCGCTAGGACGATTACGGGATTTCCTGTTCACTACACGCTTCACAGGCACCATAATTGATGGCTCTATGGCTCTCACGATACCTTGCTTGTTAAGCGTATCCAAAGCAGCCATCTCAATCTCGCTGTTTTGTTTGGTACGCGACTCCACCTTCGTCATAAATGCTGTGCATGCTTCCTCATTCGAGTTGAGCATAAATGCCTTCACCACGTTGCATGATGCGCTTATTTGATCTGGGTGGAGAGCAGTACTGTTCCACGCCTTCCACACGAGAAATCGGCAATAAAAAATATGTTAGTAAACCTTGAGGGTTACCAACAGCAAGACCGTCGCAATAGCTTACCAGCAGCTTCCGTCGTGAACTGAACAGTTCAGGCACGAGAAAGTGGAGTAACTTTCGTACGTCGATACTAAACGACGGCTGGCAAAGCAGCCACCGTTGACGGCAGCGAAGCGAAAGGAGTTGTGGCCAAATTGCTGCAATCTCGTCCGTGCCTTGTCCAGGGATATCGATAAAGCTGAGCTGGCACTGTAGAGAAGTCACGATCGAGATATCCTCCATAAATACTTCGTAACTGGTAAGTAGAACGTGCGCCGACAGATTCCGCCTTGAAAAATACTCGTTGCTCAGCAACTGTAAAAGGTTCTGACGATCTTGCTTGCTTCCCCAGTACGGATACAACTGGATAATCTGCTCAGACGATAGCGCTTTCTCCCACCGCGCAAGATCAGATCCCGCAGCCACCACGACATAGAATGCCGAAGTACGTTGGCTTGAAGCAATCTGAGCTATAAATGCACCGACCTGGATACATACAGAACGCAGAGATTAATCGTGCTCGGTAACGTATCACGCATCCTGTCGACTTACCTGGAGACGCTCGTTGTGGCAACTGTCTTCTCCAACAATCAATCCGTTCGACCCTCGTTTGTACGAGGGAAATAGACCTCCACTATCTCCGCGAACAACCACTCCTGGGGGGTAAGATGTCCCTGCCGGAGTCGACTTGGTGCTTGAAGCTCGTATCTGCGTCAAAAGCGTAGCCCATTCGTCCATGCTTAACGGTGTTGCAGTGCCTTGCTGAAATGGGTTTGCGCTAATGGTCGAAGATACCCTTGTGTGTTCTTCAGAGGTCGTTGGTGCGAGTCGGAGGCTATCAGCGTGTGATCTAGCAGCAAATAGAGGTCAGCAAGTTCCACTAGCGCATTATGACCCCGATATCTCACCTTTTCCACTCATCGTCGAAGTCCATGAGAGCTCGCTGGTGGTCCTGGAAAAGCTGCAGGCCAGTGATCCGAGCGAGGTCACTAGCACCAGAAGAGCCGCGCTTCGGAAACGCTCTTCCTAACAACTGGGAGCAGTATACCTCCAGTTCTGATACTAGGAACTCGTTAAGAGAGAGATGGTCAGCTCGCTCTACCTTGTTCTTCCCGACGTCGGCTTTCATTGGCATCTGGCGGGTCTTCCTTTTTGGTTCAGGTGTTGGTAGAAACCCGTCTTCACTCGAGGTTCGATTAAGTGCCGACATTGGGGACTGTGGTGGAGAAGTAGTTGACATGGCCGAGTCGGCGGAAACCGATGCCAGGGCATCACTTCTTCCACCAACGTCACCAGCCGAGTGAGTTCCTTCAGATCCTGGACCAGTTGACGATACAGTCTCCCGCACTTTTAATACTGAGCTGACATCCTTTTTCAGCTGTCCATCGTTCGCTTCGCGTTGCTCATTGCTATGATGCTCCATTATTGATAGACACATACTCTTCAGCGTCCCGACATGTCTGAGAAGAAAACAATTTGCAGCAGTAAGTACACTTCTCCCACAGATTCAAAAGCCAACTCAATTGAAAACAGCAACTCACGAAGCCTGTTCGTCCTCGTTGTCGTCCTAGTTGACACACATTACAACCGTAATTGACGTCAGTAGCCAGATCTAAATCTTGTCCCTGACAGTAAGACCAACCTTGCTCTCATTTGTCTGCCCAGATTCGACTGCCTTGCTGCCTTTATCTCTGCGTTCCACCCACGCATAAACAACTATCAGGAGGATTCAACCTATGTAAATCTCATTGAAGCTGCAGCTCACTCCAACTTCTCCTCATGTCGGACCATAGACTCCTCCTTATGCACATGTTCCGCCTCAGCCGGTGGATGCACCAGGAAAGCCGCATTATAGGCCTTCTCCAGTGCGTCGTACACCGGTTCGTCCGCAGCATCCGGCGGAGAGTCGTACTCACGACCAGTCGGTATGGCAGCCAGCGATGCGCCCATCCTGACGCGCGCTTTCTCCAGCTTTACTCTAACTTGCTCCTGCTCCGAAACTTGGTGCGCCGTCATTTCGTCACCCTTCATCGCCCTGCCAACGGTGGATCCGGGAGAATCGTCTTATCAGTGTCGCCACATTAACGCAAACCCACGCACTGCCTGTGCACAAACCTGGCGGCGCTGCTTTCTGCCAGCATAGCGAGACCAGACATCTATGCGTCGCTCGACGGCCCGCTATCTGCCCGTTGGTCCCGCTCGACCGTGATCCAGTTTGGCGCCGACCGCCAAGCGACCGTGCGAAAAAAACAGACACACCAGGTCCACATTATTTGGTGTGTCTTACATACTGATATTGATGTGCCCACCATCAAATCGATGCACTTCACACCAAATCGATTTGTGAGCCAACGGTTCAACTTGCCGTTTGCATCGTATCGATGAGCCGCACCAAGAAGAGCGCCCGCCGCGGGAAGCGCACCACCGATGTAGCCCCAGATGCACCCAACAAGAAGCAGAAGAATGATGCCACCCAAGCTTCAGCTGCTGCTGCTCCTTCTGCAAGTGCGACTGCGAATGGCGAGAAGGGCAGTCGCGAGTGGGCTGAGAGCACGCTGACAAAGCTGCTGGGCGGCATGACATTGGACACGTTCCTGTCCGAGTACTTTGAGAAGAAGCCGCTGCATGTGCGCAAGGCGAATAAGGGCGCATTATTTGGCAACAATCTATTCTCGCGCAATAAAATGCTTAAAGTCATGGAGAAGCAGGCAGGTCTCATGAGCTTCGGCAAGGACCTCACAGTCTGCAGATACGTCAATTCGGAGCGCGAGAACTTTGAGGGTGAGGACACTAATGGACATGCTACGAGCCGACAGGTGGCCAGTCTGCTGGACATAGGCTATAGCTGCCAGTTTTACCAGCCGCAGCGTTACGTAGACGGTCTGTACGAGCTGAATGCAGCCTTTGAAGAAGTTTTCGGTGGTCTGGCAGGTGCAAGCGCGTACTTGACGCCTGCCAATTCGCAGGCGTTGGCGCCGCATCACGACGATGTGGAGGTGTTTGTGATACAGACGCAGGGCCGCAAGAAGTGGCAGCTTTACCACCCGCTGGTGGAGCTGGCAGGTGAACACAGCTCGGATCTGGCGGAGGATCAGATTGGCGAGCCGTGGATGGAGTTGATTGTGGAGGAAGGTGACGTGCTGTACTTCCCACGTGGCGTTATACACCAGGCATGCACGGACGATAAGGAATTCTCCACGCATGTGACCATCTCGGTGTACCAGCACAACACTTGGGCTAACTTCCTGGAGGTGGCGCTGCCCCATGTTATCCGCCAAGCATTCGACTCCGACGTCTCATTCCGAAAGGGTCTTCCGGTCGGCTACTTGAGCTTCATGGGTACCCAATTCCCAGCAGACTCTGCGGAGGCCAAGGAGTTTATGGCGACGTACAAGAAGCTGGTGGGCAAGCTTGCTGCTCATGTCAGCGAAAAGGACTTGCAGGAAGCTGCTGACGAGGCTGCCCTCGATGTGCTTGCAAACCGTCTACCACCGCCAAGGGGAAAGACGAAGAAGGATGGAGATGAATCCGGCCCGAGTCCGCTTGACGGCAACGTCACCATTTGCTTCAAGAACCGCTCTCATATCCGCTTGTCGATAGGTGAAGACGAGATGAAAGAGGCTTTTATCGCCGTCTACTTCTCGTTGCACAACTGCAGGCGGCATCACATGGGCCTGTGCACATGTGACGGTGGAGATGGAGATGAGGGAGGCGAAGGTGAAGAAGAAGAAGAAGATGGTAGTGACGGTGGCGAGGATGCTGAGACTGGCAGTGCTGACGGTGACCATGGCGACAACCAGAGCGACGACGAAGACGAAGACCCCAGCGCTGCGCTAGGACAAATGCCTCCTCAACCAAAGAGCATCGTATTCCCGGGAGAATTGGCGCCTGCGCTCATGAAGTTGTATGCTGCCTCCAAGTCTGGTGCATCGATTGACGAGCTAGCAGAGGCTGCTACCGATGAGACCGCAGTGCGCGGAATGCTTCTACGACTGTGGTCTGAAGGTCTCTTGGATGTCACGACGCAATCGTAGCCAAACAACTAGAATCAATCACAAACAGTGTCCATTTTGTTTTGAGAGGGCAAGCATTTACCGTAGCCTCGCTACTTGTTCTGCTACTCCTTGTCCGTGTGCTCCTCTCGTCCTAACGTTTGCCAATGTTCCTCTCCATGAGCAGTACCACGTTGTATTTCATTTTGCCTGATGGACACGACCGCCGGACACCCCGGACGACGAACGCAGGCTTCTTATCTAATGCAGTCCATGATAGTCTGACTGATTTCTTCCGCCTCCGAACGCACAGCCATCTACACAATGCAATACGTTAGCAGTAATACTATGTGTGGTTATACATCTACACAAGCCATGACGTACCTGCAGGATCATGCTGCCGCTCTGTTCATCCAACGATATTCTCGACTTCACCAGCGCCTTGACGCCGCCAACAAACACGCCAGACAGCAGCAGAATGTGCGCCTTTGCCTTAGGTTGCGGCACAGCCGTGTTCTCGCAGGGTTGCATGCCAAGGTTCTCGATTACAGCAGCCACACCCTCCACAAGGCTCTTGTACTTCAGACCATAGCTGCCCTTTACCTCGGCACCGTCGCCGATGTGCTCCCAGGCCGAACGGAAGTCATTAACAGGAACTTTTGCCATCAGGTCCGACGAGCTGATCTCAATATCCTCCATTGGGTACTCCTCGTCAAAGCCATCGTCTTCAACCTCACCGGACGATGGGTTCACCTCGTGTACCTTGAACTTCAACTGCACAACGCAACGTAAGAGGAATAACCACGGTCAGTTGTGGTAGGATGAATCAATATCCATGATGAAACATACCTCAACGTTAGCAAGCTGGACGATGGGGTAGACGCCATCGCCAGTGTACTGCAAGCACACGTAGCACGAGCCAGTCTTGCCGTAGGCCAGCTTCTCCAGCGGGACCACCGAGTGTACCTGCCACACTTCTTCTGGTTCCATCACGAATCCAACGTTCACGTTCGTGAGAAGCTGGTCGCTCACTGTGTTAAGCACCTTGAACTGTTGACATGCATACCAATAACGACATCAGCCACGATACGCACTCGCGCTTGACTTATGTAGATGCACGTACCTGGAGCACAATGTGCTTCGCGAACACGTGCTTCGTGCAACTGACGACGTATTCTGTCTCGGCTTCCGTAAGCTCCAGACGCTTGGATGAACGGAAAAGAGCACCGAGCTCGGCAAACTCCGGGATCTATACAAATGACACAACAGCAGAAATTGGTCAGGCAGGGCACAGGTCACGAATCAATCCCTTGCAAAAAGGACGCACCGTGTACAGCTCCTTCGCAACGTCCTGCGGCTCCGGCGCAGCATCCGCTTGTACCGGCTCATTGTCAGCCTCGGTGTCGTCTGCGCTCGCTTCGACGACATCCTCGACCACTTCGACGTGGGGCAAGGCCTCGAACGTAAGCGGACCTTCCGCGGGGCGCAGTTCGTACTGGTCAATAGACTTCTGCAGTGCAGCGACGCTCATGGGGAAGTCCTCTACAAGAAGAGTACGACTAGTGACCTCGTCGCCCTCCAGAATGGCAAGATACATGGTAGCACGGTCACGCACTTCATCATCATCATCAAGCTTGCAGCACTGCAGCAGCGATGATACGCTAACGCGGAGCGACGCCACGCGAATAGCGAACTGAGCAAGAGCTGAAACGGCCGAAGCGCGTACCGGTGCGTTCTCCAGAATAACACGGTTACGGATGAAACGAATGTATCGCGCTGGTGCCGATGTGGTCGGTCCCTTCTGACCCAGCACGCGTAGAATCTTTGTCGACAACTGGGTGAACTCGCAGTCCTCGATGAACTCGCACAGGTGAAGCAGAGCAGTCTCCTTGCACTCCTGGATACGGTCGATCAAGAACAGAATAGCGTCCGTAATCGTCTTCTTGAACTCGTATCCACCCTCTTCACGAAGGAAGTTGGCCAGGAAGTTAAGCAGCACGCGGTGCTTTTGAGGGTACTTCAAGCACAGGTTCTTAATGGCCTCCACAACGACGATCTTGAACTCGTCAGCGATGTCGCCCATGAACGTGGAGATCTGCTTCATCAGACGGTCGACACTAGATTCGGCACCTATATACATCGACGTATTATTAGTTAATCAGTTACAGAATCTTCCCATTTATCGCCCGAAATGACAACGTACCAGTCTTCAGGAGGGTGGTGATGGCTAGAGTCGCAATAGATCGGTTGGAGTCCGTGATAAGCGCCTCCATGTCTTCATTGCAGCGCGTCACGAGCATGGGCTGCGTCAGTGCCACCTGACTGAGAGTCCGCACCGCAGCGAAGCGGAGTGTAGGCTTCGAAGAACCCAGGAACAACTGTAACACGACAATTGCCTGCGTCAGGTCACGCGCGTCCACTGGCAGTGCGCATAGAGCCTTGGCAGCCTCGTAGATAACCATCTATTATATATCAATACCAGGATTAGCAACTTCAATTTAATGAAACCAGTACATTGTGTTGGTGTATGCATGCGTACCTCGTTCTTCTGACGCAGCATCTTTTGCAAAAACGCGTATAGTGGAGCAGCATCCTGGCCATTCGCGTTTTCTCGCAAGAGAGCCGCCGTGTAACGGATGAGCAAGCAAGTAGCGAGGCTGGAGCGCAGGTTGGTCTTCTGAAGCTGTGTGATGAACTTGGACACAGCGAGTTTGTCGTGCTGACGGATCTGATACAGGAGCGAGACGCCGTGGTACTGCACCATGTCGTGCGTAGAGTTCACGGCCTCCTGCACCTCGTTCACCCAACGACGCACGATCTCTGGGTTGTTCTTGATCAGGTGGATACCCGACACCAGAGCTGAACTAGCAACAAGAGCGTTGCGGTCCACAATGGCCTGCTTGATGTAGCGCTCAATAGCGTTCAACATGGAGCCCTATTGCCACATACAACACAATATCGGCATCAATCAGATACTGCTAGGACACCCACACTTTCGTAATAGCGAAGACGTACATCGATGATACGACAGAGCACTCGAATAGCGTTAGCTCGGTACAGATCCACGTCGGAACTCATGTCCTTGGTCAGACTCTGGGTCACAATAATGACCTGATAACCACAATACGCGTTAGCACTCACGTCCTCCCAGCTATCTGATCTCTGAGTAAGCTGAGCGGTACCTCGTCGGCTGCAGTGGCTTCGGCCACCTCCTTAATAAACAGATACATCATACGGCGCAGATTGGCATCTTTGGACTGGAAGAGCTTCGTGACGCCGAAGAAAACAGCGGTGGTTTCGGCGCTGGTGAAAGGCTCACCCTGAGTGAGAATGTGGAGCAGCTTGGTGATCAGCTGGCAGCATTTCTTAGGGTGGCGAGTCACCGTGTTGGCATCTGAGAAGATCTTGGTCTCCTGTAGCACCGTGGCCTTGTCCAGACCCTGGAACGGCGATACTGAAGGAAGGATCCAACAATACATAGTTAGTCTAGTGCAATAAAGAGGGATGGAGCGTCGCCTAGTAGGGGGAGAGCAGATAATGCGGGTCTCTATTGATGCCGTACCCTGGTCCTCCTCGTCGTTCTTAAACTTCTCCTTGATGTCCGCCATGACGGACGAGATGGTCATGGATGATCCTCCGCGGCCAGAGTCGCCCCCGGCGCCGTAAGTGTCCTGGTTCGCTCCCAGTTTCATGATCGATCGCTCCTTCTGGCTACCTTGGATCGAGTATTAGCCGCGTGGCTCGAAGTGGGAGATCTGACGCCTCTTTTATTCGTCGGATGACGGATCTCGGACGTTGGCTGTCAGCTGATTGAGGGAGGTACACTAGTCATCTGATTAGTGGACCTCTGTTTAGCCATCCGCCAATAAAATGCGACTACTGTTGGTTCCGCCAATCAGAGCGTGTAAAGCGAGCCGGACTGAAAAGACGCCATCATTGCAAGACGCACCCAGATGTCCGAAATTTGAGCAGAGCGCGGGAAAAGCGACGACCAGCGCTGCATGATGGTTGCCATTCCGAGATTTGACTCGTGCAGTAAAAGCAGTTTCCACTCTCCTCTCTCCCAATAGCAATGGCGAAGACTCCCTCCAAGAAGGCCGCGAAGACGGTTGCCAAGTCCGGCAAGGGCAAGGGCAAGAAGCGAGTTGAGTCGTACTCGACCTACATCTACAAGGTGCTGCGTCAGGTGCACCCCGACACGGGTATCAGCAAGCGCGGCATGTCGATCATGAACTCGTTCATCAACGACATTTTCGAGCGCATCGCCTCGGAGGCCGGCAAGCTGTCGCGTTACAACAAGAAGTCGACGCTGTCCAGCCGCGAGATCCAGACTGCCGTGCGTCTCATGCTCCCCGGTGAGCTGGCTAAGCACGCCGTGTCGGAGGGCACGAAGGCCGTGACCAAGTTCACGTCGGCTTAAGTGTCTACTTACAACAGTCAGCTAGCAGTCGCGCTAGCAGTGCGTGCTGGTTGACTTCTTACTACCCTGGTGTTTTTTAACACCACCCTTTGTACAAGAAATTCATCAACTTATCTGTTGTTTACTACTGTAGAATTGTAGTCTTGTAGAACAATGATGCGCTACAAAACGTACTGGATGCTAGTTGAAGGTTGTAGCATGACAAATGCTCAATGGCTAGTGTATGTAGTGACAAGGTAATGGTGTGAGGCGGGGGACGGGAGTTTGGCTAACTGCTGAGCTACCTGATCATGTAACCTTGTTTGGATGCGTGTTTGCACTTTTGAGCGATGCGATGCAAATGTGATAGCGTCATGTACATTTGCTAAGTGATAGAAAAAGTTTAGCGTCCTGATCGGGAGCGATAGGGTAGATACTAGTACGACGTTCGTACGCTTCTTAGTCACGCAGTACTTCGAAGTAGTTTGAAGCTGTTATGGCATTACTTCAAGTATATGATATAATTTAAATCGTTCAATGCAAGACACTTACACCGGTGTCCTCTCTCCATTAGCAAACAGGAGGCTTGCCCCTTCGTAGTTGTCCCGGCACCTGCAAACTGTAAAAAGCGGTTTCAGTCTTTACCGACAGGTATTTGCGCACTTTTGAAGAACGTGAGCTTTATCTTTCGATTGTAATGCAATCGTGTTCTCAAAGCAACTTGTGCCTAGTCCACGAAGTGGCATGACACCACACGAGCTAAACTAACCGTCCAAGCAATTACCTCCGTAGTACTTAATCCACACAACAACTAATTGACGTTTCTTTTGAAAAGGGTGGTGTTAAAAAACACCAGAATGAAAAGTGTCGATTTGACATGGTCAAATCAACACGGGAAGTGCAAGCATACTCAAAGAGAAGTGCACATGCTTAGCAGCAAAAGCTTCTCAGTGGCAGACAAGCAGCTTACGAGCGCTCACCACGGATGCGGCGGGCCAGCTGAATGTCCTTGGGCATGATGGTGACACGCTTGGCGTGGATGGCGCACAAGTTGGTGTCCTCGAACAGACCCACAAGGTAGGCCTCAGCGGCCTCCTGCAAAGCGAGCACAGCCGAGCCCTGGAAACGCAGGTCGGTCTTGAAGTCCTGGGCGATTTCACGCACCAGACGCTGGAAGGGAAGCTTGCGGATCAGAAGCTCCGTCGACTTCTGGTAGCGACGGATCTCACGCAGAGCGACCGTACCGGGGCGGTAACGGTGGGGCTTCTTGACACCGCCAGTGGCGGGGGCCGACTTGCGGGCGGCCTTGGTGGCGAGCTGCTTGCGCGGGGCCTTGCCACCGGTGGACTTGCGGGCAGTCTGCTTGGTACGGGCCATAGTGTTTCTTTTCTTCGAAGTTGAGAACTTGAGGGAAAATTTGAGAATGAGCTTGGAGGTTTAGCTTGCTTTGTGTTTCGCGCGCTTTGGCGGCCACTAAGCGGACTCTCTGCGTTAAGCCTCCACCAATCAGCGTCGTTATTTTCCAAATGACGAGTATTTGGCCAATCAGCATCAAAATATCGCACCCCTGGGATAATCCAAGCTTGACTGCGGCTAGGTGTCCGTCAATTCAAACCTCAGCGATATAGCCGCTTCAAAGTTGACTGCCCTTCGGTATAGGGACTTGGCCACAAAAAGCGCGGGTTGGCAACTCTCATTCTTCAATTTCCGGCTTGGAAACAACAACTTTCCTCTCCTCTTTCTCAAGAACCTCAACAACTGAACAATGTCTGGACGCGGCAAGGGCGGCAAGGGACTCGGCAAGGGCGGCGCTAAGCGTCACCGCAAGGTTCTTCGCGACAACATCCAGGGCATCACCAAGCCCGCTATCCGTCGTCTCGCACGTCGTGGCGGTGTCAAGCGTATCTCTGGCCTCATCTACGAGGAGACCCGCGGTGTCCTCAAGGTGTTCCTCGAGAACGTCATCCGCGACTCGGTCACCTACACGGAGCACGCTCGCCGTAAAACCGTGACGGCCATGGACGTCGTGTACGCTCTTAAGCGTCAGGGCCGCACCCTGTACGGCTTCGGTGGATAAGCGCTCTCCGCTTAGTGTTTCAGGTCGCCTCGGCAGCCTAAACAGCAACTTTACAGCACTGGCGGTTTTATAGCAGCCTTTGTTGCGAGGGATACTATACCCTCACTCTTCATCTGGTGTTTTTTAACACCACCCTTTTCAAAAGAATCTGGTTCGTTCAATAGTGTAGGGCAACTTTTCCAGTGTACGATGTTTAATGTGGCTGTCGTGCTTGGCGTTCTAGTTTGTTCGCTTTTGTCATTGTTGTTGAAAAGAGACATTGTAGTAGAGATAAAATACCACAACACTGAGGTAGATCTTAGCTTGCATGTTTCTCATTGACCACTGGTGCAGGCTTGTACACCTATCTTGTGTTCAAAACTCCAGCCTCTAGAGGATATAGCGGTGTGAATGGCTTAGATTTCTTCGAAATCCAGTGCTGAAGGACTTTGCTTCAGTGTCGTCTAATAACTGTGTAATGTATCCAATGTTTTGGGCTACTCTAGAGATCATACAGTGGAGCGCCCTTGTGATTTCTTCTCGCGGAAGAGCTTGCTTGTATCGCATCTCGCCGACCACTAACGACAGCGTCGCGTCCACCACACAATCAAATTCAGCTATTAAGACAAACTCTCAAGTTTTCGACAAAAAAATTATGTCGCTGTTATTATTGTAGGATTCCGTTGTCCAAGCTGATAGCTGGGCGAGTTAAAAGTTGCATTTGGATCTCAGAACAGTCCACCGAAGAGAAGATTGTCGTATTTGCCGAAGCCGAAGGCAGGTGCCGGCGTATCGGGTTCTGCCGTGGGGCTCTTGAACAACCAGTCAAATAGACCCAGTTGCCGTTCTCCATGCAGCTGTTGCTCGTGAGGTGACATTGGTCTCACTGCGCAATTTTGACACAGGCGCTGGAGTTGCTGCATCAATCTGGATCTCGGAGGCCGAAATAACGCTGGCCAGCATGATTGCACCGAACGCGAGGATATAATTAAGGTGCATACTTGAACCTTTGAAGGCTGATAGGAAGGCTTGTGTTCTAATGTGGCAATTTAAGATTGAGGATCGATCTTTGTTAGAGCATTCGTTTATGCTTATTCTCCACCCGGTTATCATGGGCATAGCTAATAACAAACATTGCCCATTCTTATGAGTCCGAAAGACCTCTCTACCTTATCAAGGTCCATAATGATCATTCACAACTCGACTCCGTTCCTCTCCTCGTTCTCACTAGGCCTTACCCCATGGAGCATTCGGCTGGACAGTCTGGGGTTTCTGCGTGGCAAGCTATGTGTACCAGTTGTGAAATGATATGTTTGAAAATTCACACTAATGAATACTGGCCTGGGACTGTATCCATTGTAATTGATCGATCCATTCAAATTCCTACGAAATTAACTGCATGCCGATATGGTGGGTGAGGAACACATCTTGAAGTTCTTGGTGAGAGCACCGCAGCTCCAGCAGTGGGTAACGTGACGTTCGTGTGGAAATCTGCTTGATGATCCCCGAGCGTTCCAACTCGTCACAAATGAAAAGCAGACCGCGCAGTCGCGGGATCGGCACGAACGAGTGAGTCTTGCACAGAATCGCAAACCGCTCAATCACAGCTTCCAGCTCTGCACCACTCTTGTTGACCCCACGAGTTGCATTTGAGCGTACTTCCATGCGCAGAGCGACCAGGAACGTGCACTCGAATTTGCTACATGCACGGAGGCGACTCATCGGCGCTGACACCGACACGGCCTCCTGTGCATCGTGCAAATCTTGACCCGTTACGTACAACTCGCCCCCATTTGTTGTAGCTGCAGTCCGATCAAGCTCGGTAAGTCGATGCAAACACACTTCTGCAGACTTGCGGCAGAGCGACAGCGCTTGACGCACATCGCCCGACTGGTGAGCCAGCGTCTTGGCGCAGATTTGAATTGCCTCCTCACTAAAGATGTCCAACTGAAGTAGCCGATGTTGGATGATATTCTCCAGCTGAGCTCTGGTGTACGCTGGGAAGGTGATGCGGTGACCACCAAGTCGACTGCGAATCTTGGTAGGCAATCGCTCCGGCAGGTCCATAGTGTTGGCAATGCCAACCAGTACTAGCTTGGCCGAGGCGGAGGTCTGCCATTCTAGCAGATTGTACAGTACCTGGTTTTTGCCAGCCAACATAAAGTCCATCTCGTCCAGTAGCACCAGCAACATGGGCCGCGTCGAACTTTTGGTGTGAAACTCACGCTGCAGAATCTCGCACAGTCGCGCTGCGCTCATGTTTACACGCGACAGTTGGGGCTCATTCCCCTCTCTTTCACTTTTCGGTGGATGCAACGCCTTCCATAGCACACTATACGCGACGTCAGGCCGTGGCATCTGCAGCCCGTTGACTTCCACCCATGCGAAGTTGCGGAGCTTCCCGTTGTCTCGCTGAGCCTCAAGCATACGGATAACCTCTTTTACAATGGACGTTTTCCCTGCACCTGGAAGGCCACTGATGTAGATGGGGCCACCGGCGCTCTGCTGTTCGATGGAGGAGCGCAGCGCGGTGTAGATTTCGTCGCGTTCGTCCTCACGCCCCGTCATCACGCGTGGAAGACTCGACAGTTGCAGTTCTTTACACGCTCGCTGTAGCTTTTTAACCGCAGCGTCGACGGCTGGAGACAGTGAGCCTGATACCTCGTGGGGGCTGGTAGTGTCGGCATGGTCGCTTGATCCATCCCGTGGGCGCTTGTGCAGGAGCGGCATGTCAAATACATGCACAAGGTTACGCAAGAGGTTACGTTTCTAAAAAAATAGAAATGTAACTAAGCAAGTTGAAGTGGCTAGCCAATCACAATCAGGGAACGGCAGTGACTACATTGATATCACTTCTTCCTTCCACACTATTTTAATACAACTGGCGCTCGCGCAGCTTCGTCAATCTATTATTATAGGCGAATATTGGGATTACCACAGGGTCACAAACCCTAGTTGGCACGATTTCTTTGTGGTGCAAAGTACCACCCATCGCGAGTGCAGCCCGACCAAATGCTGGCCTTGTCTTTAGCAGCTCATCTTCCACGCATTCGCATGTGTGGTCGAGCTGCCCGTTACAGGTACTTTAAATCTGACACGGTCGACGCGAACCGCTAGATATCACTTCCAGCACCACAGATGTGTACGTCGGCGCTAAATTCGCTCTTCTCTGTAGAACCACATGCCGCCCGCTAGGATCGGAGCTAACTACAAAATGAAGCCGTGTCTTGACTCACTTGTGTGGTCACGATTATCTATTTGTCGCGCTTTGTTTTCATGGCCACTTCGATGTTCGACTGTTTTCAGCAAAACGTGGGTGCTTTCGTGAACACTACAAGTATTCGTCCCGGCTGATGGCGGTTCCTCATTTACACCACCCCAATAACTCGCGGTGGCAACTTTCTGGTTTCGATGTCAGCTGTATGCACGCGCATGATCAGCGTCCCATGAGTCTCGTTTCGGCTCGGAACTAGTCAAGTTAATGGTCAGCTTGAAAAAGATGCAACAACAGGTATGGCAGAAGTCCAAAGCGAATCCGCTTCAAGACGGACAAGATGGGCTTGTTGTGGTGGAAGTAGAAAAGCCGGATCCAGGCTCTCAGGTGCAGACATTGTGGTTCTCACGAAAGTATCCATCGCGTGCACACAAACGCTAAGATCTCGGGTTTTCTTAGTGGCTCGCGCCTGTCAACGAGGCAAAGTCTCCGCCAAGTTTGTTATCGGCACCGATTTACTTGTCGCGTCGGTGGCGTACTTCTCACTTGTAAGCGAGACTCACTTCCAATTCGGCTGACTAGTGCTCAAGCGCAACAGCAACCCACTCCAGCCTCAATCTTGCTGCTCCTCCAGACGCACCGATGAAGATCACGCAGTTGATACTAGCAGCAATGTCCATGACTGCTACTATCGCGGTCGCGTTGACGAATGTCACGATGTCCCAGGCCGGTAGTGGTTCCCAACAGGGAACGGTTCAGCCTGCCACGACTTCGAGCAACAGCGACTTCATGGCGCCGTTCTCGACCGACGAACCTTCCAACCTCTTCAAACGCTATGACACTCTCACCACGTTAGCACCGATCATCAACGTGGCTTCAGAATTGCTCACTAAGCCGGTTCCCACCAACAAATGGTGGGGGAACCTCATCCACACCACCGCTCAAGACGTAAACACGGTGGCCAACCCCGCCTGGTCTAACCCATACGCGCTGAAATTGCCCAAGGAAGCGCCTTTCGGTCTTCAGGCTTGCTACTCTTACACGTACCGCAGCATGGCCGATGAGATAGATGGCGTCGTCAAGTACTACCTGCACTCGTTCCACAATGACCTCACACTATCGGCGACAGAGTTCGCGTCGAAACCCGACTACGAAATCTACTCGTTCAGCGATATGGGCGTCAATCTTCGCACCTGCATGTCGGGTAGTGATAACTGCATGGATTCATCTCTTGTGAACGGTATGGCTTTCGTCTCCGTCACATACTCTAGTCTCACTGCTAGCATCGAGTCTGAATACACCATGACCCTTGTAGGTGACTCGACTGCTGGCAAGTATGTCATTCAACTGGCAAACAACCAGACGTGGGTTGTCTACTCCAGTGACACCAGTGCACCCTTCTCAATTGACAGCACGGGCTCAGCCTTAGTGTCTAGCACCCTTTACACTGGTACGCTTCGAGTGGCAATTCTTCCTGACAGTAAGGACCAGAGTGTGTACGATGACTACGCATCCTGTATTATTCGTGGCGGTAATGTGTCCGTGGAGTCCCGCACTACCTACTCGTTGCAGTGGGAAACTGAGGGCAGTGGATGCGATAGTGCGGGCCTTCTTCACTTTTCTCTGCCTCACCAAGTGGAAGTAATGAGCACCGCCATGACAACGCAGTCGAGTAACGCCATTGTATTGCATTCGACCACCCGCGGTCAGATGGTCGGCCAAGTGACGACGTCGGGGAGCTGGACCCTAACGGAAAGCGAGTCAAACGACGAGGTGGACTTCTACCCGGCCAACAAGGCCTCTTCTGACGTCGCCTCACAGATTAATCTGTTGTCGACACTGCAGAGCGACATCAATAGCGACTGGAGCTTGGACACTGGTAGCTGGTACTACAGCGGCAAGGCGTACCAGAAATATGCCTCGCTGTGCTTGATGGCTGCCGACAGCTCAGTCGTGGGTGATGACACTACGCTGTTGAGCACCTGCCTGGCAAAGCTTGAGGAGCTCGTTGAGCCGTTCCTTACCAACACTCTCGGCTCTCCTCTTGCTTACGAGACCGCCTACAAGGGCATTGTGACCAGCCAGGTCTTCACAGTCAACAATATTGATGTGGAGTTCGGCAACGGAATTTACAATGATCACCACTATCACTACGGCTACTGGGTGACGGCGTCTGCTATTCTGAAAAAACTGGATCCGACGTGGTCGGGTATGGCACAGCTGGAGACGATGGTGTGGACGCTGCTCCGTGACGTTGCCAACCCCAGCTCGGATGACCAGTATTTCCCTAAGTTTCGCCATTTCTCGTGGTATTTGGGTCATTCGTACTCGCACGGTGTGACCCCCATGGCTGATGGAAAGGATGAGGAAAGCACATCAGAGGACCTTAACTTGTTCTACGGCATGAAATTGTGGGGACAAGTATCGGGTAACAAGGCTGTAGAAGATCTGGGCAGTCTCATGCTGCGCCTCAATGCTCGTGCCGTGCGGACCTACTTCCTTATGACATCGGACAACACGATCCACCCGCCCCAATTCGTGCCCAACCACGTCACGGGCATCTTCTTCGACAACAAGGCGGACTACGCGACGTGGTTCAGCGCCGAGAAGTACTGCATTCACGGCATTCAGATGATCCCAGTGTCACCTATTAACGCTTTGGCTCGCACAAGGACGTTCATCCAGGAAGAATGGGATGATATTCTGTCGAAAGAAGCGATTGTCACGGGCGGCGACACTACCAACGCATGGCTGTCGCTGTTGCTTGTGAATGAGGCTGTCATCAACCAAACTGATGCACTGGCAAAGTTAGCGACGGCTGCCATGGACGACGGTCTCACCCGCTCGTGGGCATTGTATAACGCAGCATCTCGTGGTGGATCCAGCTCAAGTGGCACAATCTCTACTGTCGCTCCAGAGACACTAAGTACAACTACAGCGACGCCCGAAGTAACGACTGCCACCCCAAGCGTGACTTCCGTCGCTCAAGATACGCCAAGCACAACTACAGCAACGCCCGAAGCCACCACTGCCAGCCCAACATTTAATGTGACAACTGTTAGTCCGAGTGTAACATCAGCAACTCCGACTGCCACGATTGATACTCCGATCGTCACGACGGCCACTCCAGTTGCTACGTCAGCTCCCTTCACTACAAAGCCTTGTGTGAACACGAAGGCCCCGGGCTCCTGGAAGGACTCGGTGGGGCAGAACTAGATTTGCGCCAAGCATCATCCTCTCGCTTCAGCGGAAACCTATCCATGTCGAGTGAATCCACTTAGAGAACTGCGTAGTGTAATGCGTGTAGATTTGTCAAGGCTCATCATCAATTAGAGCCGCCTCAGTCTGTTCCCCAAAAAGAAAGATGTGAATGATCTTCAATTTCACATGATATCCAACTTCAACTTTATCTATAGTGAAATGAAGATAAGTATACTTCTACTGGCACCGCAACATGTGAAAAGCCAACAATGGAGACTGCAAGACGAAACATGAAAAAGGAAAATCTCTATACATATTCCCCACCTACTCACTACTTATCAAAAAGAACCAAAGCCGTGGGCGAAGAAAGAGGCTGCTTGTCTACGCCCCCACTGCCATACTACCTATATCTGAGGAACTCTCCCGGCTTAGTTAAGGGCCGAGCTAAGAGCAGCCTGGGCGTCCGGGCTCATCTGGGCAATGACCTCCTTCATCTGGGCTTCGTACGCCTGCAACAGGCCACGCACGCACACCTTCACCTCAGCCTGAGTCTCCTCTTCCACGCTGGACGTAGGGGCCAGGGCCTTGGCGTACACGTCAAGCACCTGCGGCATCAGGTTGAGTACAACCGGGTTCTGCGAGCTCACCAGGCCGTTCAGGCAACGGAAGCACACGGGACTCTCGTCCATGTCAGCCTTCAACGGCAGAGCGTCTAGGAACACGGGCAGCACGGCCTCTAGAGGCAGGTTGGCACCGCCAGCGATGATCATACGAGCCACAGCAGCGCACGCGTTGTCCGTCACCACTTCGTCGTTGCCCGAGGTCTCGAACAGCGGCCGCAGAGCCTGCAGCATCTGCTCGTACGCACTGGCCAGCTTGTCACCGCTGATCTCGGCCAGGATACCCATGCAGAAAGCGCTGTTGGCCTTCAGCACGTAGTTGTCCGAAGCGAGACCCTGCAGAACGACCGGGAACACGCTTTCAACGAAGCCCAGAGCACCAGGTCCCAACTCGCGAAGCACCTCAGCGAAGCAACCCACAGCAGCGGCACGGTCACGCACAGCACGCAGACCAGTGGCGAACGCCAGCAGAGACGGGAACAGCTCCTGGAACGCAGACAAAAAGTGCTCGCCGTAGCACTTGGCAAGTACACCAATCAGCTCCGACGCGCTCTCCAGCACCGAGCCGCCCTCCTCTTCGTCCTCGTCCTCATCTTCCTCGTGGCTAGTCTGGCAGACGTGCTCGTGAGCAAGCACCGTCTTGGTGATGCGCATCAGCTCGTTCATGTGGTCCATAGTCACGACGGGACCCACACGGGCGCTCATAGCCTTAATAGCATTGAATGCCTTCTCCACGACAACCTCTTCAGGGTCCTCCAGCAGCTCCTCCACCAGACTCTTCATCACAGCCGTCGCGATCACAGCGTTGTTGGGCGTCAGGATGTTCTTGTTGAAGTCGCCCTTGGTCCACACCTGCGCGTCACCGCTCGAGGCGTGCGAAGCTTCGAACGAGCAGATCACAAGAGCAGCAAGAGCCTCAGCCACAGCGCCACGCACGTCCTCGTGAATGTACTCCGTGAGCGGAGCCAGAGCCTCAAGGAACTTGGGAATGTACGGCTCGAACACGGGACCACCGCAGTTCAGCGCAAGCTCCTCCACGGCCGCAACAGCGCGCACCTTCGAGTTCAGTGCGTCCGTACGGATGCTGATGTGACGCAACACGTGGTCGTCTCCATCCTCCTCGTCGTCCGAGTCCACACCGCCCAGAACGTCCTCATCGTCGTCCATAACACGAAGACCCTCGTCGCTGACAATAGCCTGCAGCACATGGGTAGCAGCCTGGTCGAGGAACGGAGCGAACTCCTCCTTGAAGATGCTCGACACGTTGATAAAATACACGAAAGCCTGCTCCTTGAGCTCCGAGTCGTCCAGCTCGAACGAAGAGAAGACGAACGGCATCGAAGGCGCGAAGTATGGACGGAAAGGCTCCTTACCCAGAGCCGTAGCCAGGTAACCCAGGCACTCGATAGCCGCACCACGCAGGAAGAAGAACTTGGGGTCCGTAATGCCCCAGAACGGCTGGATCAGCTCGGCCACGGACGGGAAGTAGGGCAGGAAAGCGTCCTTGGCGCCAATGGCGATAGATCCAACAGCGTCCAGAGCCATCTTCTGCAGCTGCGGCGAGCCCGTACGCAGCACAGCCACGAGCTTGGTCACCAGCGTATCGAGGTACGGCAACACCTGCTCGCTCTCCATGCTCTGCGTGATCTCGTCCAGTACGTACAGGGCTGTGGCCTTGATAACCTTCGACGCGTCGTCCAGTAGAGTGAGACCAATAGGCAGAATATCGGTGTAGTGGTCCGTGATCGTAGGCTGCAGGAACTCGGCGAACTGGCCAAGAGCGAAGCACGCAGCCTCACGCACGTGCTGGTCGGCGTCCTGAGCGACGCGGTACACAGCCGGCAGCAGCTCATTCAGGTTCTGGCACATGAACTCGCAGCATCCCTCCGACAGGATACCGAGGGTCAATACACCGGCCTTGCGCTTGCGAGCGTCCTGCGACGTGATGTATTCGTTGCAAATACCGAAAACCACAGGGTTCAGGTACTTGGCTGGCACGCTAAGGGCCAGTGAGTCGAGGGTCTGCTGGGCCAAGTGGCCGGGCGATTCGTCGTCCTCATCGTCGTCACCGTCAGCCTTGCTCTCACGCTCAAGCAGGTTAGAGATAAGACCACAAGACACAGCCTCGTCGGCGGCCACAATGTCCAGCATGGTGGTAAAAATCTTGGCCACCAGGTTCTTCTTGCCAATGGTCTTCGGTTTCTTCTTAATGAACTCGCCAATAGCGTAACTGGCCGACGCACGAGTGCTCACCTCGAGCTGCTCGGCCAGGATGATCTGCAGCAGCAGGTCAATGAACTGAGGGAAGGCCTGGTCCAGAATGGGGAACGGGTGCGACGCGATCTCCGAGAACACGTCCATGAACTCGACGGCCTCGGCCTCGGCGCCGTTGGCCACGCACTGCTGAAGCACCGTGATCATGAGCGGCACGAGGTCGCGGAAGCCACGCAGGTCGCTCTCTTCCAGGAACTCCACGAGGCTGCAGGCCGCGCGCATGGCGCCCACACGAACCTTGAGGTTTTCAGGGTCCTGCAGAGCCTTAGCGTACAGCTGCTTGAGGTCGTTAAAGTGCGGCTGAAGCGACGTTCCCATGGCCTCGCCCAGCAGCTGCAGCAGCTTCATGCTCATCTCACGCTGGTCCACGATGGCGCTGTTGGCGCATGTGTTGATGAACACCATGAGCTCGGGCCAGTTACCGGCTGGTACCTCGTGCAGGGCAAGCGCGGCGATGAGCGTAGCCACAGTGGAGCGCACGGCGTGCACAGGGTCCTCGGCGGCGCGGCTGAGCAGCGCCTGCTTGGCCTGGGCCTGCGCGGCCGCGTCCAGTTTGGGCCAGTGCTTGAAGATCTTCTTGCGCAGCATGAGAGCAGCAAGCTGACGCACCTCGGGCTTGGCCGAGTGCTGCAGCTGCGTAAGCAGACCGCCCACGGACGCGATCTGCTTGGTGTAGGCCTTGAGTGCCACCTCCGCCTGCTTGATCTGCTCCGTGTCCGGGTTCGTGAGCTGCAGCAGACACGCCTCCAGCTGCTCCGGGGTGAAGTCCGCCATGATGGTCAGTCGGTCAATTGAAGAGAAGTTAGAGAACTGGGGCGATTACGAGAATGATGCGGAACGGAGCCAAGCGAGTGTGGAAAATGACTGGTCGACACTAAAACCTCGGAAAAGTGATACTTTTGCCGCCAAAAAAATGGCTTCACTGCCACTCGTTTTGAATATTCAACACGTTTTTGCACCCCACACGGATTTGAAATGGCTTCACTCGTGCAAAACATTGGTGGCCACGCACGTGGCGTTTTGCAGAAAGATGCGGGCTATTCAAAATGCACTTGAGGGTGGTTTGACGCTCGACAAGGAGGAGGTCGCGGAATCAGGTGAGGAGGCCGTGGGCTAGACGCTGGTAATTCTGTCTCTTGCTGTCGCTGCAGTGCTGGGATGCTTAGCTGGGCGTTTTCAATCCGAAGGAGAGGAAGGATGCCTTCAAGCAAAGCGGATTGACTGGTGATATGTTGAGTGTTCCCCAACAATGCGAGGATCTGTGCATGTGTGAAGGTAAGACGGCGGTTAGTGATGTTCCTGTCCGATTGGTGACGGGTATCTACGTACTTCGGTAGTCTTGAGCGTCAATTCCATCGTTTGGTTGCTTTCTGCGCTCGCCACCTCGGCCACCTCGAGATGCAGTACGCACTGGCCGTCATCATCGGATCTAGCGGACATTTGCACGTGACACTGAATCCCATCGACGATTCGCACGGTAGATTGTGGCTCAACAGTTGAGTCACGTTGAATATCGGTGTTGCTCGGAGGTCCTCGAATTTTTCTTGCAGTGAGCGAAAGAAGCCGCGCTCTACGAGAAGAACTGCTCGCTGGGATGCAGCTATGCGGTCGATCGGGTCTCTTTGGTACGCACGTTGTGGTTGACGGAGCACTGGGGATCAAAGGGCACGAAGCTTCGGTAGCCTGTATGAGGCGAGTAGGCCGGATTATTCGGTGCCGCGGATGAGAACGAGCTTCCTCAGTAGAATGAGTAGTTTGGTTCGAAGGTTTGAGGCTACCGGCGAGTAAACTGTCAATAGCGTCAATGTCAACAGTTTGTGGACTAATTGATGACTCTTGTACTTGGCATAGCTCTGTCCACTGACGTTCACAATGTAGTTAGTACACAACAAATGGTTTAGGATATACATTTGCCTACGTAGAGAGCTGCCGACATCAATAATTCTGTCCTGCAGACCGCACCCAGCGTGCGAACAGGTACCATTGATCCAACTGGAAAAATATTGCATTTTGATAGCGCAAAGCGTAGTGATGGGTGGCCGAAGGTGCGCTTCAAATGGAACGCCAGTTGACGCATCCGATCTTGAGGTGGCAACTCTGGTGGGTCGAGCGCATTTAAACGAGGAAGGACTCGCAGTAGGTGCTGTCGATACTGGTTGCTACCCTTTGTGATGTTTTTCTTGGAGAAATTCATGCGCATCGAACCAGCAGAGGATGCTCGTGTATGTACTACCACGACAGGCTTTCGGGCTTCCCTTACTTCCTCCACTTTAGTAGAACTGCTACGCTTGATTTTCGCGGGTAACCCTTGGTCAGGTTGAATTGCCAAATCTTTCTCCACGATGCTCTCGTCAGCAATGACATCTTCATTGTTATTTCGGCTTGGCGGGCTACACGTTTTGGTGTCCATGTTGATATTCCGAGCACAAGTCAAGCAAAGCTGTACAGTCTGGTATCTACACCATATCAAAGAAGTAGTGCTCTGACAATTAGATCAGGAGCTCTTCGGCTCAACTTGGACGGGTTTTAGCAGGGTTCAAGATAAACGTACAGGTAAGCTGTCGACTGTTCCAATTGCTTCAATCGTTTGATTTGCATGGATCCATTGATAGCTCGAAGCGTAGTCGGGATCTTTTTCTCAGATTCTTCACCGGCGCTATCGACTGAATCACGCTCAAATTGCCGAATGATCGACTTGTTGGTAACCTAGAGCAGAGCACCACTGGCCAATGAATCAACCATACCTAGCAAATAGATCAATTTCAGCTTACCACATACTGTACTTCGCCTCTTGGAAGCATTCGATTGCAATTCGGACACACCTTTAGCTGGGCTGCACAGCCGATGAGTGATTGGCTCATTTTTGGCGGTGTTTCATGGTCGTCTCCATTATTTGACAGGGAAACAGCATTACCCAGTGCAAGGCTATAATGTCTGGCAGCTCCTCTTACTCCAGCATCAAAAGATAGCATTGAGCTCCACAGTAGATAGATGTGGTGGTCAGCCCCAATCTTTCATAAAGAAGAAAACAAAGTGAGCCAACGTCCAGAGATCGCCAAAGATAATGGCTTGTTACCTTGAAGTAATTTATGAAGCGAAGCATCTCTTTTCCTACGATGGATTCCAGATGGGAGCTTATTTCAGCATTGATCTTTTCGATGGTTTTCCGTACTTCCTTGTCCGTCACGTCACCTGTTGAATTTCAGGAAGATCACAGTACAAAACGTCAATACATGCAACACTAAATCAGTGGAACCTATACATACGATGGCGAAGCAAAGGATCATCGATCTCGAACGTTGCAGTGCGCTGCAACATAGAAATCTTCGTGTCGCTCAGCAAAAACGGACTAATGCATTTTTGTACAGTGCAGCTATCCTCCGTGTAGTCCGATCGAATAGTGTGGTTATATCCGGATTTGGTTGGAATAAAGCGCTGTAGGACGCTAAAGCCAGGCTTTTCCCTCGCTTCTAGCAAATGCTCTAAACAGGAACTCTTTCGTTAGTTTTCTCAAGTCATCCCATTGTGTGTCAAAGTGATAGCTCACTGAGTGCCGCCTTGTCCAGGTGCTCTATAACCATCCGCATGTGGCCAAACGCGGATGATCGGTCTAGGTATGCATACGTTGCGAGTATCTGCTTATCTTTGTCCAGCTTGGGCAATGTGTTCGATGCCCATCGTGGTACCAGAAACTCATGAAGCACTCGCGCAACAGAGAGAAATCTCTTGGTCTTGGACAGAATCTGCAACGTCAAACCAGCAATCAGTTCAAAGATAGTTAATACTATAACGTGTTAGCTTTGTCACGAACTTTGCCCCGCTCTTGCTTGGAGGTGAAGAGCCATTTGACGGGCTTCTGCCGCTTAAACACTACCGTATCCGTGAGTACGAATGAGAAGATATGTTTGCCGCTGTCGTCAATATTGTCACTCGCATTGGACCAGAGATACTCGTATAGTCGCAAAGGCTGCTGTCCCAGCGCGTGCTCACAGGCCACACCCTCGCACTCAGCTCCTTTGCGTCGAGCCTGGGCCATTTCCTAAAATTGCTTCAACATCAGCGTCAACATCCAGTCACAAATTACAATTTGGACTATGTCGCATAAATAATACTCTCAAATTTTTAATGGACTATGTCATATTTTTAAGTCCTCTAATTGGTCAAAACAAATAGTCCGCTCAATTTTTTTGATGATATTAACAGCATACTGAGTCCAAGATGTGGAAATTAGTCACAAATAATAGTCCTGTGCATCTCAGAAGGGACTATTTAAATTGACCAATGAGATGCACTCCATTGCCTTGAAGAAGCACACAAACAAGAATTCGTGCAAAAATGTCGGACGCCTTTAGCGCTGGCTTCCGCGAGTTCTGCGGTGGCGTACAGCACGCTGTATCGCTGCACCGCATCTTGCTCTTCTACCTCAAGTCTCGCCTCATCTGTGTGTCCAGCGTTAAGGTTCGAACGCCCATAATTGAACTTACAGGTCCCAGACTAAAATGCTCTGTTGTGTACAAATTAGTGCTTCGTGCTCAATGGTCTTATCTTCCTGGGAAGTATCTACTTCTTTGACCAGGCGGTGATCCCGGTGATCCACATGTTTGGAGAGCTGTTGCATCGTTCTTTTTCCTACGGGTGGGAGACTTTTCTCCGTTTTACGCATCCTTTATTGTGCTCTAATTAGTGTTGCTTTAGGACGACAACTCAAGTGGATGATGTACGGGATCGAGTAGATGGCTTCGTGTTCCTATTGTACCAGGTATATATCGGCTAGAATCGTTAGTGCTGTTGCATTGTACTGATATCTTGTGCATTAGGTGTTGTGGATGTACCCGATCTACTGTATCAGCTTCATCCTGAACACTATTTGGTACCAAGAAATTGCCGATGACGGTATGTGTACTTATCTTGGAACCTTTAAATCTGAAGTTTTATTGTATTGATGGTGATTGCTTTGTCCAGCGTACATGCAGCTTCATGGCAAGCCGTCGCCGACCCCAGTGACCGATATGATTCGGTGAGTGCAAGATAGTCATTCTTTTTGTGGTTACCAGTGTTGAATGCTGTCGCTTGATGGTTTTAGGGATGAGATGTACCGAGCAATTCTCGTGGCCTTCTTTCTGTTGCAGACTGTACTGTCTTACTTAATACCGGTCGTTGGGCCTGCGACGAGCTTCATCCATTTAAGCTGGCTGTATTCGCTATACTGCTTCGAGTACAAGTGGTCCTTGGCAGGCTGGAGTCTTGAGCGGAGACTGGCGCATTTGGAGCAGAACTGGGCATACTTCGCAGGATTTGGGAGCCCGTTCACACTTGCCACTTTCTTTGTGCCAAACTTCGTGAGTAAAGGCATCTTCGCTCTGCTCTTTCCGGTGGTATGTGCTGGTTTGTATCTTTGTTTGTGACAGGCAACTAATCGTTTTTTTGTGGCTACGATGTTGCATATCTTCAGTTTTTATTGCTAGCAATAGCATGTGACCCTGTTTCAGAAGGCAACGAAGCATCTAAAAAGCTGCCGATTTTCCGGTACGTTTAGTAGGAGTGTTCTTGATATCATTTGCTCGGATTGTTTCTAGATCCCGATATGCATGTTTTGTATTTTATAGGTTTTCACGGTGGTGGAGCTTGCAGTTGCTGCGTCGGATTGGAAAAGCAACAGGTTTGAAGACGAAAAAGCAAAGAGCGATGGAGAAGCAGAGTCGAAGCAAAAGAAGCTGACGTTTTTGTACTCTGCGGGTGATACAAATGATGCTAGATACCGACCACAGTCGTGATCTTACTTAGTAGACTGACGTGGAAATGAAACCGCAATGCACTGTGTTAAAAGTGACCGAATTCTCGACTGCAAATAGTGTAGCAGTTATAGTGTGTTCGTGCAGGAGAAAAAGTCTTGTTGCCAACCAAGAGCGCGAGAAACCCGAGCCAAACGATGCCAGAAGCGTATACCGTGTCGAAGATGCTCTCCACTATCAACGAAGTCATGGCTCCAGTGGCTACTGATTTATGCGGGTCTGTGACCTTGCAGCGAAAAACGGAGAATGGCATCATGCTCAACACGTCGGAGAAAGAGATTGCTTACCTGGACACGAAGGCTAGAGTGAAGCACTCAGCGCAGCAAGTCGCTCAACTGGACAAGTCAGCTAAGGTACATTGGGTAGCAACTCAGCGGCAAGCCGGGAACGACGCTTTCCACAAAGGAAACTATCATCAAGCAGCAGAAGCTTACATCCAGGCACTTACTGCGCTGGATTTCGGCTCCACTACAGAGGAGAAGATCGCTTGCCAACAAAAGCTGCAGATTCCGCTCACATGCAACTTAGCAGCATGTATGCTAATGATGGAGGTGGCTCTGGGACTTGTATCTTGTCATCGTGTATAGTGGGCTTGCTTTAATACGGTTTGTGTTGTTGTGTTGTCAGCAATGGGAAAAAGCTCGATTGATGTGCGACCAAGTCCTTGCAATAGATCCCAAATGCGTTAAAGCACTCCAACAGCGCGCGAAGGCCAAAGCGAAGCTCTACAACTTTGACGATGCCCGGTACGGCAGCTCCACTGAGCTCATTTTTGGTTGGTTCTAATGTTGCTTGTTGCTCCAATAGTGCTGATATTTCACGTGCAAAGCAAATTGTTCGTGGCCCATCAACATCGCTTGATGCCAGTGATCAACTTGTCGATCGATTTGACAAGCAGTTAGAAGATATTTCACGAGCTGAATTAAGGCACAAACACCGTCTTCAGCAGCAGAAACACTTTCAGAAGAAGATGATGAAGGAGGCCGTGGGGAAACTCTACAAAGATAAGAAGGAGGTCGATTGTGCCCCGGCTTCTGGTACTGCCTCACAGCAGCAGCATAAGTCTTTCCTCACTTTTATTGAAGCTGCTCTGTCTTGCAATCGCTGGAACGCCGGGGTGGGGTGGGTTCTAGCTATGCTTTCCATAGTCATCAACGCGGTTTCACGTGTTCTGGTTGCTACGCGGGGTAAAGTTAAAATGTCGTAAGGTATCTTGACTGCACGGGGTGGAGTTACAAGAACTGCCGTGAAATTGTCGGTGCAGTGAACTTGGAGTTGATCTGTTTCGCCGCCGAGATCATGCGCTCTGCGTCGTCCCCAGACATTCCCCGGCGAACTGCAAGGTCTCGGTCTCTGCATTGTAAGGGTAAAAGTTTATGAGAAAAATATCTAATTCGCTCCAGTGAAGTTGCATTTACAAACCTGTTCCATCCACCGACGCTCTGGGTGGATCCTACTCCAATTTTCGCGTGTTCGGCTTGCTTGCGCTGGTGCTGCTCTAACAGCGATGGCCCTCGCGATTTCCGAAGGTTTTCCATTTGCTTTCGCATTTCTTCATCTGCCTCTGGGTTCGCATTTGGAAGAATCGATTCGTTCACAGTAGGCTGTCCCATGGTCGCTGGCATGCTACTAGCAGCTGCAGTACTAGGAGCGTTTTCTTCGCGGACGTAACCAATTAACTCCCTATAGACAGCAACGGAAGTAGCTTAGTATAACCTTCGCAGTAGGGCGTCGTCAGAAGCAGATTTTGGTACATGTCGAGCTTGGCGCGCTTCGCACGCTCTCGTTCTTCAGGAGAGTCAAACCAAGTCTTGTCTACTCTTGCCGGCTCCTTACTGCAAATACAAAGCGACAACACGCAGCGGTTAGCAAAGGTGACAAAAGAAACCAACGCATCAGACTGTACCTGCGAAATGCGGCAGGTTTGCCTGGAGGTCTGTTTTGAGGTCCTAGGGAATCCTTCAGAATTGAGCTTTCCGGCATCATAGTCATCCACGCTTCTCGCACCGCTGGAGCCTCTTTGCCCTCTTTGTCTTTGCCACCATCACGTGTGCGTTCCCACTGCTCTTTTTCCAACTGTTCTGCTTTACGGATCATTTCCGCCTCCACGTGTTCGTCTGCTAACCGAAAGCCTTTCATACCAGGTAGTGCTGGGCCCACAACCTCGTCATCATCATCATCATCATCGTCATCATTTTCAATATCACGGCTAAGCGTTCTACCCGATGCAGGAGGTAGTGCTGGTCCAATGGGCAAGTCTCGTTTAATCGGCTTTTGCACCGCAGGCTTCTCTTCAACAGGATCAGCATCTTCCATCGTCAAACTATCCCCTTGCTCTCGTTTAGTAGCTGGCTGAGGCAAATCCTATAGAAAAACAATTAGTAATCCTAGAGCCACCTTCGTCAACTACATCACCATGAACCACCAACCTTTTCACTGCCTCCAGACAGCATTCTCTGGAACACCTCCATTAGGCATTCCCCCTTGTCCTTAGCCTTGAGAGGCTTGGCAAATGCACCCTTAGGTTCTCTCAGCTGCACCAGCAACTACCAGTTAGTATCGCCAGCGTACCGTCTCTTTACTCCAGCTCATGCCACCAACCTTTACCAGTCCCAGCAACGGGAACAGCTCCTTCAGCTTAGAGCGGATCCGTCGGTTCTCAATACCACCGACTACGGCTACTTCTCCATCGTCCACCATCTGCAGCAGTCCCAGTAGATCGCTGGCCAGCCCCGGTGTCTCCGTCAGCAGCTCACGCACTACTTTCATGGCCCTCATGTAGTCCGCGACAGGGACACGATCACTATCACTATCGCTGTCACTGCCGCTGCTGTGGCAGCTCCGCTTGTGTCGCCGATGGCTCTTGCGCTCCTTGTCCTTGTGCTTCTTGTGCTTCTTTTTCTTATCCTCATCGCGCCGCCGTTTGTGCCGCTTACGCTCGTCAAGGCGACTTGAATCCCGCTCATGCTTGCCCATGCCTGCCCACCTTTTGCTTTTATGTATAATTGGTGTGGCACAAAAGACAAGTTGAAGTGGTTTCATAACGCTCTATTGGTTTCTATGATATCCTCACTTTCTTTATGCATATCAACTCTTCTCTAGGAGCTGCCTTGGGTCCACGAGTGGGATGAATGGAGCTTCGAGTGCTTCTTGCCAGTCTCTGAGCCATAGCTGTCGTCTTCCGGCTCGGGTTGGCCATCGCAGTCGTCGAAGTCGGACTCCTTGAGCACGCGCTGAGTCGGCATGGAAGCTGCTCTTGATAATGCTGTGGGTTTACACAGTCGACTGAGGGAGAAGCGGGTTGACGTGGGGATACGAACTTGCTTCGCGCGGGTGGTTATCGCAGCGCCAGCGTTGCGCACATTGGAAGAGAGCGATACGAAGCGTGAGCCCCACGTGGGGCCGCTCCGTGTTTTCTTCTCGGCGTATGCGATTCGCCAACGTGGTGCAGGCCTCACAGCATGCCCATTCCAGCAGTCACCGAGATCAAGGTCGTCAGGACCCACATCCTGCACAAGAATGGATGAACGCTGAGAGAGATCCGATGCTCGCGAAAACTTGGGTGCCATCCTGGCTTCGAGGCGGCAAAACGGGAAGTGACCAAAAGACTCCAGTTCGACATGGGTACGAGATGCTTCACTAAAATGTCGAACACGCAGCCACCAGTAGAGAGGTGCTCACCACGGGAAAACCGTTGCGAGGAATCGTCAGTGCAAGAAACTGGTCGTGACGAACAAGACGTAGTTCCTGACTGGCAGCCAGCAACTGTGGCAGTGACGTAAGAGCTATACATGTAGACATGCAGGGCGGAACGAGCCAAGTTCGGTAGAAAAGTACGCCAGGGGCGTCTTGGAGTGCTGGGGCCTAAGTTGTCATTGCTATCGTAAGTACTGCCGAGCGGTGGGATAGGCTTTCAAAGTAGAACTGTTCGAATATCAACAGAATCTTTTGATTGTCGCGAATACATTATGACGAAACGGGATGGAGTGCTAACAATCCGCCGGACACAACCCATCCCGTTAGAGCCCCGCGTTTGGAACTGCGAAGAATTTGGACTCCACGTGTTCAGCTCGTCGTGGCACCTTTGAATGTATTTGGCTCTCAACGTTTTTTTTACATGAAAGCGCAACTCATCGACAATCACATGTTATAGCTTATTCTTGCTGCAGGGGGCTTTTGCGTATTATCTAGCTAGCCTCGAATTTCCGAAGCTGGTCGTACACCTGTCGAAGCGGTTGTGTTGCCTCTTGATTCTCCGGGAAGAAGCTCAGGAAGTGTCCGAGCTGTCGAATCCACGGAAGCAGCAAACGTGGGAAGGCAACAACGTCACTATCGCTTCTTGCATCGCTGACGAATGACCGGAAGACCTCGTGGTTGAACACGACACCATAGGCCAAGTCGGCTAGTGCCAGGCTGTGCCGCACTGCATTCCCGCGCACGCCGTACCATACCAGCTCGTCCGTGATGTAGTAGAAGTCGAAGTACAACGCCCGATACGACTGCACCAGCTGATAGAGATCGTCCCTGTTGGATGTTGTTTGAACATTCTCCTCTTCGTCGAAGGTCTGCATAGCTGCGTGGGTGAGATTTCGAGGGCTCAGAGGCGACGCCAAATCCAGCGCATTCTCGAGATCATTCAAAATTTCCGTCAGCTTTGGTGCCGAGGATGACTGACCAACTGAGTGCTTTGCTGATACTAATGTCTTCTCGTGGTACGATATCAACCATTTCCACGTGTACTGGTAATTCTGTACCGTCGGCAAAGTAAAGGTTAGAGATATACGCATTCATTAGCAGGTTGAAAGCACAATACTTACCTGAAGAAACTTCGCAACGATATCCTCAAGTGCCGAAATGGGGTAGCTCTCACTAATATTTGGTGGGATGTAGAAGCTCGCGACGTTACTGTAGCAGACATTCAAGACGTTAGAGTGGGGAAAAAACTCAGGAAAACACTATCCATGTCGTACCTGCAGGTGAAGCAGAGCGTCACTTGATAGTGCTCTGCGAACTGTTTGATGTTGTACAGTGTCACGTGCTCCTTCACGCTATGATCCCAAAGCTGGTGATGCTTCCACAGCGCCGCGACGTCCGGTTTCACTCGGAAAACTGCAACACTCTGCGGCTGGATAGTCACTAGTAGCGTGGATCTTCGACCAGCACACACCCCATGGTCAAGCAAGTCAACCGTGGCAGCACCTGGCTGAGTCAAGGTATCGTCAATCGCCAAGCTGAAAAACATGCTGTCGTTCCTCAATGCAAGCCGCGCATACGAATCACTCTTGGTGTTGCGTACAACAAGATACTTCTGGGTTTCATCGGCAGCTTTCGTAGACAGCTCAGGGCTTGAGAGCGTTGATTCCAGCATCGGAAACACTAAGCCAAGGAACGTGGGCTGGGCCGAGAAATACGTTTCTCTCTGCAAAGGAGACTGGTTGGTTTCACCATTGGCAACATTAACCATAAGTTGAGGCTGGCTGCAGATGGCGCGGATAATGACTGTTTCCCTGAAGTCTTTCACCAAACGACAGCTCACGTAGACTTCGATCTCACGCACCCACGGTTCATTCACCTCGACGTCCGACACGACTTCGTTCGCTGCCGAGGGAAGAATCAATTGCCTCGGCTGGGGGCGGAAATGCAAAAACACTTGCATGCTTGCATGGGCACCTAACGTGACCGTGGTGACCTCATTGAATGACATCGGTGAGACCGAAAAGCTGACCTCTTGTGGCCGTGCGTTAGTCGACAGAATGAAATCGAGGCTCAACCCAGACGAGTTTTCGATCACGATCGAGTGGTTTTGGTACAGCTTGTAGTAGTACACCTCACTGAAATCGATCATCAGTCGCTGAGCACCGCCGGCAGAGATTTCTGGAGGCATCTCGATACTAGAGCGGCGTGAACGCTTGGGGCTGCCATGATTCGATACAAGCACGCGGAACAAGTTCGTCGCAGAATCTAATCCGGACGACATTCCACGTAACGAGTTCAGGTCCGCGATGACTTCCAATCTGACGTGTATCACCTTCAGATCGGACGGGTTCGCTAGGTTTTGTAGCACCATGAATGTCGAGTACACTCCCACTACTCCCCGAAGGAAGTAGAGAACCACACTCTGATAACTATGCGCTCGATCTAGTGTACCTCGTTCACGGCTAAGCTGCAACCACGACCGAGCATTCTTGTCGACAAGTGTTAGACGATACTCGACGGAATCAAGTCCTGGATCCGCAGCACTAGCGGCACTGTAGAGGCTTTCGATCGTAATCTCCCACTCCACTTCTCCACCATTACGAACGGTATGCTGCCCCACATCGATCAAATAACGCGTATTTTCTAGTGACGAATACTCTGCCGGTGTGCAGCCACGAATCGTCAAGACGGGAAGATGATTTTTACGTCCCACAGCGCCTGAACGGATCGATGAGATGTCAAACTCTTCGAAATTATCTAGTCCAGATGATTCCGTCTGCTCGAAAAGCTCGTCCTCCAAGTGCGTCTCTAATGTGGGCCCGGGGTACAGCTTCCGGGACTGCGCCAGTCGCTTATTACGGGCCTCAAAAGCTGCAGTAATTAGTGTTTTGTCCAGGACCACACTCCCTTGTTTCGCAGCGTCACCTGCTGAGCTTTGCTGCTGCAAAACTAACAAAACATCAATTTCGGTTGATACTCCGGCGTCCAGGCTGGAGTCTGCATCTCGCACAGTTAGGAACATGTGGTTCTGCCCACTCTCTTCTGTAGTTGTTTCTGGTCCATCCGCATCCCATGAGTTGCTTCGCCAGCTTGGGTGGTGGCGCATCTTGTGCAGTGCTGCTAATTTCGGCGTTGACCTGATATCACTACCTTCACGGAATGGAGTCGCACTTAGGGAAGGAGCTGACGCTTCCTCGAGATGCACAGTGACCTTCACCGACTCACCAGGAGCAATTATACCTGACGAAGGAACTGCTATCGCTTGGATCCATTCACTCATAGCGCACATGTCCGACTCTGTCGAACCCTCAACGAGACACAACCCGGGTTGGTACATCGAGACTGGGTTGATAACGAAATTCAGAACCTCCACGGTTGACGGATTCCTCACCCAAAAACATTCAGAGGAGTTCCGTAGCTGATGCACAACAGAGGCAGCTCCAGGTAGCGTGACCGGGGACGAGTCTCTGCTAGCCCCAGTTTTCGACTTTAATGATGGCGGTAGTTGGTCAAGCGGAATATCTGCGGGGATCTCTGTCGCTGTGGCGAAAAAGTGAAGGCTGGACGCCGACAGCAAGAATGTTTTGCCTGGCAACAGCTTTCCTTTCACGTGAATGTCTTCACGTTGTGCAGCATCTTTCATATTTTGGATACTGATGTCAAGCCAAACTCGTCCCAAATCAAGAATTTCCGATGTAGCTCCACTGCTCCCAGTCGACCACGTGTCAGCCGGAAGGCGAGCAGAAGGAAGGACATGACACACGACACGAATATCCACCGATTCACCAGGTGCTATGACGAGCGAACTCAACGGCGTATTGGCTGAACGCAGCATAAGTAGCAGCTCAAAGGTTCTATAATACGTAAGTGCAACAGTTAGGACCAGTGTAACAACAAATAATACGAAAAAAAAACCACTTACCGCTCGAAAGCGCTGTGTGTTTGCGAGGAAATCTTGACATTCAATTCTTCGTCGTACACATTTCGAAGCGAGAACCAGAAACTGGCACGGTGGGGAGGCGCTTCCTGCGGCGTCGGTACAGTGACCGGAGGAAGAAAAGCAACGTGATGGTTTTTTGGCTCTGCTGCTTCCACCCCATGGTCTGAGCTTTCAGGATCTACCGCCAGTTCTGCGTAACTTGAAATAATCTCCGCTCGAACTAGCACATCCTCGTGGTTGTGAGGGTTGCACAAGTTAAAAAAGCGAAGTGGAAACTCGTGCGCGCCTGCTGCCAAAAACTGTCGCGATAGGTCGCATTAGATTATCAGTCCAATCCTCTAGACGACAATTTACAAAGCAATATATACAACGTACCTCTGTCGTCCGCACCAGCTCCATCTCAAGTATACACGATGCCCTAGGCTGTACTTTCCAAGCGCTCCAGTGAGGAGCCTCCACATTTTTCAAGGACTTATCAGCATGTAGCGCCAGCATTCGGAGTGAAGGAACACGAAGCCCCGACTCGGGATTTACGCCATCGTTAAACTGGATACGGTTGCCGTCACGAACGTTGAGCACATGGATGCAAGCTGGTAAATTGGCGATGACAAAGGATACTGCCACGTCAGATACGTTCCTTACACAAATCTGGAACGTTGATGATTTCCAGCCGATGCCATAACCAATCTTTCCCAAAGAAAAGCATTTTTCAGCAATCTGAAATCGCGGTTCACCGTAACATCCCGAGATGTTTACAACTTTCAGCGTGCAAGCCTCTTCGGCATCCGAACCATTGCCACTCTCAAAACTCTGGATACCAACCATTCCCCGTAGTGGACACAACTTTCCACTCTCGATCGTATCAACAGGTAACGGCACAGTCGCAGCAATGGCTGCAAAGCGAAACGATAGCGAGCACGAACTTTTTGCCTCCAACGAATACGACTCACCGTAGAAAATAGATGACTGATGACTCCGCGGTGTTATCCCAGGTGGTTGAGTGTGGAGCCTTCTAGCACTGTCGGTCGAGGTGGATCGTGCCATCAACTCGTCTTGCTCTGTAATTGCCGTGGCAATCTCTCCTCCGTGTTCACGTTTCCATTCGAACGTCAAGGGAAGAGTACTCAAGGGACGCACCACCATAGCTTGATCAGTAGTGTTCGTGAGCATGAGGGTCTTCGAATTAGGTTGCATTTTTTCTGATTGCTGCCCTGCCGTTCCATGCTTCACTTCAAAGAAAGATCCATTATCGTTCTCGCCATAAATCCGATATTTACGACTTGTGGGTTCGCTTTCGCCTCCGGATGAAGACATGCTATCCGTTAACTCATCCTCAAGCTTAATCACGTTGACAAGCCCGAAATCAACAGTTTGTAGCAAAGACGGTTCTTGAGTTGCCCCGTAAGAAAATACATCGACTCCCAGTTCTTGGCTTCGATTCTCAGTAATTGCACTCGGAATTTCGCATCGCAATGCGCCGTTATCCACAAAGAGAACGACATCAACGAAGCTAACTTTTCCCGGGTAATGGATGTTTTCCACCATGATACGACGTCGAAATAGACCATTCGTGTACGCCATCATTCGAAACTCAATAATTCCGATCTCACCGGCAGGAATCTCACCCTTTTCGTGCTTCAGCGAAATGTGAAGTGCATCATCATCATCCGAGTAACCCTCCGTAGCACTTGTCACGAAAAGGCGGTATCTCAACGGTAAGGCCTTGCTCATGTTGACCAATTCAAAGCGACCTTCGTGCGTTTGGCACGTTTGCGTTCGTCCGCTGTTGTATTCCACACCAAAGTCGATCAATGACGGCGTCACTCGAGCAATACTGGCACCGGCTACACCGACAAACTTAACAGTAAACTCAGCCAACATCTCACTTTTCTCGTCTTCTACTGAGTCCTGGATAGTTTGTAGTCCAAACAGCTGAACGCGAATACCACCAACGAGATCTCGTGTCGATCCTGTTTTGATTGCATCTGACGATAATCGCGGACGAATTGCCACGTACAGATCAATGGATTGGTTTCCTTTCATCGTAACATGCGTCGCTTCACGATGCAGGCGTGCGTCTTCATAGACGTAGCACTGCGTCTTCAGATTCGACGAAGCACAAATAACCAAAGTGTCTTCCACCTGACTCTGCAGCGTAATTTTGTGCACTTTGCTGAATCTGAGCGAGACATTGGGACTGTCCACAGCCGTGTCTTGCATTTCCGGTGTAACGTAGCATGGACCCAGATTAAGAACTTCCAGCTGGCCTGTCGATTGCGTGTCCAATTCAGGTATCCGAACATACACCGGTCGTGTAATGCGAACCGACATCGCCAACACGGACGTGTCGAGTCGATCTCCACTGAGATTTCGCAAGACAATTTGCTCAGTGTGCTGTCCAGGCACGCTGCCCTTGTAAACAAATGCAGCTTTCACGGAGGACCTCGCCTCCACAGTTCCAGTTGCGCTTTCAAATGTCATATCGCCACCAACGAGCAAAGGAGAAACGGTTGACGATGCGCTCACGCTACCTTGATCACGAGACCCAGCCAGCAAAAGGAACTGGAGAGCTTGATGCGACCTGTTGTGAATAACAACCTCGCCCCTCACATCCTCACCTTGCTGGTGTTCACCCAAGTTAAGTGTGTCCTTCTCAAAACACAGTGACCGCTGAACAGCCTTAACCATAGCGACGCCCACGGACGACGCCGGAGTCCGCGTAGTCACATCGATATTCTCCCCTGACGACAAGTTGCTTGGGTAGTAGAAAAAATCAATCTGTCCAGCATTCAGTTCCGCGGCTTCAGATACGCTCTCCAAAATCGATCGGCTCACACAAGACGCCAGAGGTGTCGACGATGCGAAGCCCGCATCACTTGTAAAACACCACTTAAAGTTTAAGTTTACTGTGCGATCGGGAGGGATATTCAATTTTAGCGGAAGCATAGCTCGCAGATCAGCGCTCTCTGTGGCCCCAGAAGTTGTCATCTCACCAGCTATCAAGAATTCGTGAGGAACAACCTCACACGTCAGAGCCAGCACATTTCGAAACGTGCCCGCTGGATTCCATACCACCTCCACAATCCCCGAGCCCTTGTATGAAGGAGATCCAAGCGACAGAGTCACTTTCCAACCACGGGTATCAGCTGGAGATTCTTCCGCGGACACCAGCAGGTTTGAGCTCGTTGGGGACACACCCAGCTGATCAGGGGCAATATCCAAATTCAGGTTTCGAGGTGTCTTGCCAGAATCAGGGATTTTAATAGTCAGATTGCGACGTCGCTCCACTATGGTAGAGTCACCACCAGGTGGCCCAGCTAGTGACGGTATAACGTCATCGTAACGTGATATGGAGCCCCCACTACGTTCATGTGGTTTCCTTGCACGACTCTCCATCGAATTGTCGGCCACTATAGGAGGCATTACACTAGTATTCGGGTGCGGAGGAAGCACAGACGGAGGCTTTCGGCCGACGGCACGGCAGAATGCGCTTTCCCCAGCAGGAGTCCGCGAGAAGATTTCTGCATTGTACTGAAGCTCCTTGACCACATCCTTATTTTGCTGCTCAAACAGGAGAAACTTTCCAACCCCTACTACAGGAGTAGCATCCCGACGCAGTAGACGCTTTTTCATCTTCTGGGTTTGGCGAGCTCCGCCCTTATCACCGTCTTCTCGTGGCGAGGTATCACCAGACCTCAGAGGGCAAAATATCGCATAAGCCACAACTCGCCCGGTTGCCTCAGCTCCAAGCGAGAAGTGCAAAGTATTGGTGCTGGACGACACCTGCCCGCTTTTCGCATCGATGATGGGTTTGTCGGAAAGCCTTGATCGTCGCCGTCGTGAATGCGAGCTGGATTCTGACTCGGACATTTCCGAGTCGCTATTGGCACTATCATACGGATCAAACTCTCCCACCTCGCTGCTTTCTCCAGATCTGCCTGTCACTTCTGCGTCACTATCTGCTGGAGTCCCTGGTACTTCTTTTGGAAGTTGTTCACCTGATAACAATGCCTTAACCTGCGAAATTTTGGCGTTCAATTTGACAATCTTGTCCGTCTTCTTTTTCGTAATCGCGATTCGCAACTTGTGCTCCAATTTCTCCAACTCCTCGTCCAACTTCTTCTCCTGCGCTTGAGTAATAACCGTAGCTGGTGATTCATCGACTGAGAAATAAAACGTTGGCCGCAACGTAGGAACCGTGAAACTTGGATCCAGCTGGATCACGTATTCGCGCTTTTTGCGGCTAGTGTTCCGGACAACGATCTTCACATCGTCCGTCTTCTCACCTACAAGACACTTTCCGAGCGAAATTGTTTGACCTAAACAAAGGAAAATAAACACAACTTCGGGTTAGTAGTCCAAAATCCAAAACAAAAGCCATGATGGCAAGTACCTGACTGTAGAAGTTTGAACGTTTCGCGTTTGACTACCTTCGCCTTGATAGTGACTGAGACGGAATTCTCAGGATCTTGAACGTTGATAATCTTCAGCTTTTCTTCAAAGGGACCAGCCAGAGTTGGCTGAAATTGAAAGCAAATCTCTTTTGTGCCGAACGCCTTCACCACTCCAACTTCGCCTTCCTTGATCTGTAAGAAACCTGAAGAGATTGAGCCAGTTTTCTCCACACTGTACACTAACGGGGTGGCAGACATGTTTTGGACAACTAGTCGTTTCGAGCTCTTCGAAGACGTAGTGATGCGCCCGAAATTGATGTTCTTCTGGTTCACATTCATGATAGAGCGGCATACTCGACTCTTGAGCAGCAACTCTCTGACTGAAGAGCGAGTATCAAACGGATGCTTTGACGCAGCCCATACTGGTTTGTCAAGCTTCCCTCCATCCGTGACGGCTTTCTTGTTCCCACCAGGTGGAAGTGTAATCATGATTTTATGCTTTTCTACTCGTGTCTTCGCGATATCCTTGGGGACTGCTGTCTGGGAAGCCACCGGGCTAAATACAGCGACAATACGTTGACGCGATTTCGCCGGAATGCGCACGTTGCGTTCTTTGTTGGAGCTCAGCAACACTAACTTTTTCTCGGCGAAAAGAGTCTGTAGGCGCTTCGTGCGTTCTCGAACCATCGCTACGATCTCTTCTTCTTTTTCCTTGGAAGGGAGAGAGCTGTGGCTGTATGCATCACATTCTGAACGAGACTTCGAGAAAAGCTCCAACAGAGATGCAACCTCTTCCGAAGAACTCCCATCCGCATACGAGGTCGCATGTGGCAATAATGAACCATATAAGGAACCCTCAGGATTCCTTCTCTCGTCTACCGTCGCATGCGATGGATTTCCTCTGCTTTCTGAAGCACCAGCACTGTGCTGCTCTTGGCGACCTCTGTCAGTCTCAAAATGCTGAGTAGAAACCGACCTGGGTATGCTACTTGCGCCTGGTGACGCCGTTGATGAATGGCCAGTTGAAATCGCCGTCAGTTTTTTCGTCAAAAGCTCTCGAAGTGCCGTCGATTTCCCTCGTTTCACGGTCGCTTTCCCCTCCATTAGCTCCGACACGCTGCCAAACGATCTGCGTCTGCGGAGAGGCCGTCCCGCAGCTGACTGGCTTATTTGCGTGGAAGCATTACTAGGAGTGCCACTTCCGACACTACCCTGCGAGGTCGTAGATTTAGAAGACGATGATCGACGAGCTTCACCCACTTCTTCATAGTCCCCGTCTTTATCCAAAGCTTTCGATGGTTTTGACACATCGCCGAATGTTTGCTTGATGCAATACAAGCGTACTTTCGATGGAGCAGAGCTTTGTATGTTCAAGTGAAGCGGGGCATTCGTGATATTCTCCAAATCAAACACTTGAATTCCGACCGAATTGATTGCCACGTGCTCAAAATTCAGGAACGCGGACCTTGACTGGGTCAGTAGCTTGTAAAACAACGAGTGGTAGATCACGTGATGAGCATCCATATTGCTGGAACGGACGCAAATCTGCGGAATGTTGCTCTTGTTCTTCATGTTGATAATGGAGATGAGTCGAGAGTAGTTGGGATTCGTCTTGCGCGGAATAATTTCAATCTTGAGCTCGGTGGACTGTTTTGGACCAAGCATCATGTCGTCATTGGGCACCGTCGAAATCACTTTGGATGTGACCAATGGTTTTACAACCGTCGGCAACTCGGAATGATTAGTTAGCATACATGAACTGCTCTTCAGCTCTCCAATGTTACAATCTCCCAGGTGCAATATGGAAGGCGACACCGTTACCATTGAGGTGCACGTGCGAGCACGAATGTGAATCGATTTTCCCAGAGTGCGGTCATACACTCGTGACTGAACTTGTTGCCACGCGCCTTGCATCAAAAAGCATCGGAACGACATCCGAAAGGTTTGCTTTGTCAGACGAGCAGCCTTGAGATCCACAGCATCTGAGTTCTCGTTATACAATCCTTCCAAGTTGGTGCTGGGTACCGGCGTGTACCATATTAAAATGGTTCGCTCAACACCAGGAGGCAAATCAATGGTTTCAACGAGGAAATTGGACGCGCTGTTGTCATCAACAGGGACGGTCTGACGCTTTCGCGTGTCGGTTCGAAGAGTTCGTTCGGGGGAAGACCGCGGACTGGTCACGCAGAAACAGACAATAATTAGATAATGTCTGGAAAAAAAAAACAATACCACTGAGAAGTCTACCTGTCCACACCACTGTCGTAAGCGAGACCTCTCACTCGAGACGAAACCTTGGAGGACTTTTTTCCTTTAGTCCGAAAGGTTTTCTTTCGCAAGTCTGCGCTTCCTCTTGATCCCCGCATCTTTGGACTTCCAAGAGGACTTTCAGGCAGTGTACGAGGCTCCCTATCAAACTCAAAGTCGTCATCTAAATCGTCACCATCGCCCATGGGATTCTCCTCAAAAGAGTTTCGCTTTGTTTGCTGAAATTCTTCCTCGTAGAAGTCCCCCTGTCACAACAGTAAGTATGCCCACATTTCATTAAGCTGTTGAAACATGCCAACAGCCAAGCGCACTAACCTCGTTGTCATCGGCCTCCTCATCACTGTCCAGTGCGAAGGTGTCCATGTTTGAGAAGGGCATCGATGACTTCGCTCTGTCAGGGGATAACGATCCCTTCAAACTCGCCCCGTCGTTGGAATTAGTGGGAGAAAGGAGCTCTTCGGTACGTGGGGCTCTTGAAACACGCGACCGGTTCTGCTGTAGCTTGAGCTCGAACGTGACTTCCTTGGGTCGGTCGCTAGTCAGCTCCACATGCAAGGCCACCTCCGTCATATTCCTCATCAAAATGACTTTAGAACTAGCAATTCCAGTGTAACAATCTCCAAAATCAAGTCGGCTTCCGCTCCTCAGATAAGAACCATCCGTCTCTTTAATCGACAGTCCCTCTCTAATTGCACAAGTGACACGAATGTTATGCGTGAATAGACAACGGTAGTTGACCCAAACGCCTCAGCTTACCTGTGATGCTCTTGATTCGTAATGGCATGGATCCTGAGAGTCTTGACGTTTCTGGAGTCATGCAGATTGTGCGCCTGAATCTCGAAAAAGCGCTCTCCAATCTGTACGCCACGCAAGCAGGTAGCCACAGCATGCGGTAAATACCAATGTGGATTAGCCACTGTCCCCTTCTAAAGCACACTTACATCTGTAGGGCGATATGTGACGCGAATCCGCACATGTCCATAGGCAGCAGCTTGAAGGGTTTTGTCGCCAATAACGTATCCAGAGTTGTAGTCCGTACACACAAGCAGTTCGCTGTTCTCATTCCACGGCGTCATCGGTGACACGAGTTTGAACAATAACGGGATCTCCGAGCGGTTCCACACCGTGAAATCCTTGACGAACGACCCTCCTGGCACACAATCATCAAAATGCAGCTCCTTGACATCCAGTCGTAGCAGTGAGCGGCACACTTGAGCTTGTAGCGGCACCAGCATCTCTGGAATTGGCAATCTACTCGTAACACTGCCGTCAATGAATGACGGCTGTAGGATTAGTCGCCCTGATAGCACGAAGCACGATGTTTCACTAAGATGCGCGCGCTCTTCCTCCGACGAATCCCCGGCCGCAACGTACGTTGAGCTTCCAGATGCATTATGCTGCGGCGTCAGGTTGGTACACATGGAGAACATGATTCTCTTGGTCTCCTTGGGCCCCAGGACAATCTCGTCCACTTTTCCAATGTGGTTGAAAAGCTCGTTGTAGCCCTCACACAAATAAACGTTCTCGGCACAAAGAGCGGCCTTGGACGACGAGCGTAGCACTGAGAACGGTACGTGGTTGAACTCATCAGAGGCTACAGCGCGGTCCTTCTCCTGCTGTAGCTCGCGTTGCATGATGCTAACATTCTCGTTCTCGAGTTGAAAGCTCCATTGGCTGCTCTGGAAAGGCTTGCGCAGCTCCGCACGCAGCTGAAGCTTGAGCTTGCGCGGCTTCTGGTTCGTCACCTCGAACACGAAGATATCCGATAGGTCATTCAGGTAGATCTCGCCCAAGCCCAGCAGCTCACCCTTGCCACCACGATACTCGACGCGGCTCTGCTCAGCCTTGCTCAGCATGGCCACGACTACGGCGGGTGGCAAGTGCGGAGCAGGTACATTAGCAGCCTGTGGACGACCTCCAGTAGCAGCGTCAGTGTCGCCTGGGGCCGGCGCAGGCGCGGCCTCCCCTACGCGCTTCTTCGCCATGAGGTTCCGCAGGTCAATTGCGGATTGGAGGGCGGTTAAATACGATATAACCAAAAACTTATTTGAGCATATGATTGGATGAATTGGATATAACGGTCAACAAGCCAATCGTAATGCGTCGTTTTGGATTGGAGAATTAGTAGACATCAATCTTCCAGGTTGCGATGAGCGAGGCGAAGGCTCCGGCTCCAGCGACGTCCATGTCGGACGCTGCCTATGCCTTTGATGAGGAGGTTCTCAAGGACGTTCGCAATAATAAGGTATGGATGCAAGACCCTAAATATTTCAAGAAGGTGATTGTGTCGCCTGCCGCCACCATGAAGATGCTCAACCACGCCAACTCTGGAGTGGAGAAAGGGATCAAGGCCGGCGGGAAGCCTGTGGAGATCATGGGACTTATTATGGGGCGACCGTCCACTGGAACTGACAGAGATGCGGGAGATGCCCACACACTCGTGGTCACCGACTGCTTCCCGCTGCCTATCGAGGGCGCCGAGACTCGCGTACTGGCAGATGACGCGGAGGTTATCAACTACATGATCTCGCTGGGCGAGGCCGTGGAGCAGACGCGCAAGGAAAAGTTTATGGGCTGGTACCACAGCCACCCGTTCGACGTGGAGGTGCACAGCCACTGCTTCCTCTCGGCCACGGACGTCAGCACGCAGCTGCAGTGGCAGCGCTCGGAAGATCCGCACGGTAACCCGTGGTTGGCTATTGTGCTGGATCCACTGCGCTCACTGTCCAAGAAACGCCCGGAGATGGGTGCTTTCCGCGTGTACCCGCCGGAGTTTGCTGCCCCTGTGAACGAGACACCCGACGGAACGATTGTCACGGACGAGAGTGCGAGACTCGAGCGCTGGGGTAACTGCTGGAACCGCTACTACACGCTAGAGATCGACTACTTTATGAGCTCTCTCGGCTCCCAGGTTGTCAGTGTTCTCTCAGAAGAGTTCCTGTGGATGCGTACGCTGAGCTCCAACACGATGCAAGAGCGTGAGAACCGTGATCGCTTCTCGGAGCGAATTCAGTTGCTGGCGAACAAACTGGATGGTTGTGAGGCTCATTTAATGCCCCGTGTCAGTCGCACCGCGTCGCGTATTGGAGAATACTATGTGCCCGAAAAGCAGCAGTCGCACAAGGAAGCCGAGGAGTCGGCGCTCGACAAGATCACTCAGGCAGCGAACGAACTCGCCATCGAGAACTCGCTCGGCCAGGAATTGCAGGTCACCAAGAAGGCCCTCTTCAATGACAAGTGACGTGGTTTTTCGCTACCATTTTTTTCGTATGAAAGTATCGCAAGGTAATAAACGTGGACTGCGTGGGTTATCTTCAGAACTCGGCGATAAATTATTGCCACTCAAGCTAGTCTAAAACAACTTTGTCTTGGTTCTTCCTTCTCCCATTGCAAATAACTCCTCCGCAATTCGTTCTTGCTCTTCCATAGCCTCTAGATTTTCCTGAAGCGCCTTGCGTTCAGCATTATCAACCACACTGACAATAGTCTGCTGCGGGAATAAAGACGCTGTCGAGGAACGTGAACCGTATCCGTTGCCCTTTTTGAACCTCTTGTAGTTTACCAGACCGTTTCCTCCTGTCCTGCCTGAGCGAGTGGGCTCTCTCTTCTTCACGATCAAGGAGCAACTCACGACGATTGGTTTACCGACATTGGCCTCTTCGATCTTCACATCGCGTGGCTGCAAAACGCGTGATGACTTCCAGGTGGGCACTTCTTCATCATTAAGTTTACGGGACGGCATACGCTTGCTCTTGTTTGGAGACACAGGTTCTATCACGGTACAAGAAAAATAATAAGCCCCACATTACAAGAGTTAGTGAAATTTCCGGTATGTAGTCGAAGTATGGAACCGCCTTACGTTGTTTTTGAGCCTCTTCCACACTGGGAATCTGCACGATGTTAATGTTGCTGTCCTCGACCATATCATCTTTAACCTGAGCAAGACAAATTGTTCAGTAATCGACAGGAAACGAACATTCCAGGAGAGAAACATACCACATCGTAGTGAGGGTCAGTCTGCTGTTCAGAACTCTCCTTGATCGTCACGTCCGCAACATCGACGTCCTCCTCTTGATCCTCTTTGTTTGATTTCACATCATCGTCTTCGTGCCCCGCTGTCGACGTAGCACTTCGCAAACTTAAGTGCTCCGGAAAGCTCATGACTTGGACGGATGAGCCCGCATAGCTTGCAAGGCTACTGCTGAAGGCCGAGTCGTTAGATGCTGAGGGTGGTTTGACAAAAATCACACTCGCTGCTAGCTCTTGAACACTCGTAAACACAGCTCCCATTGACTTGAACAGTTCAACTCGTCGCTCCACTATCTCCACAGGACAAGGAGGGTCTAAAGCAGCTGAAGCTCGCTGTTCACTTTGACCTGCGGTGCTGGAGAACCCCGATCCGTGTGACGGCTCCACAAGCAGCAAACGCTTGCTCGAAGCCAATGAGTCCAACTCACGCAGTAAAATGTCGTCCTCCTCAAAGTCCTTATACGCAGCAATTACCACGCCACCCATAGCCGCAATGAGCTCCTGCATCGACTGTGGGGTCAGAAACACAACTGCATATCCTTGAAACAGCGTTTTACGGAGCGGATTCGGCAAATAGTTGCTCTCTACCGAAGGAATCGACGGATCCGAAAGCAGAAACTCCTCACATCGCGGCAACGGCTCGGACAGACTCGAGCGGTTCAAAATGGCGTAGACCCACGGTGTGCACACCACCGGTTGGTTGTATACTAACGCCCAGAGCACCTTGACAGTCGCCACAATGCGTCCTGGGTCCATAATACAGTGTGTGGCATCCTTGCTCTCCGCTGCAACCAAATGCATGCCGAGCCGCTGGCACGTATCGTTCACTTGCTCTCGATTGGCCCGTTGGATGCGTGAGGCCACGAGTACGAACACTTGATAGCGGACGCGCAACACCGTCTTCTTGGCGCCAAACGATATCTGGTCACCATGTCGTAAACTTCGCGTCCCGAAGCTCTGTTCCTGGTTCACAAAGGAACCGAAGCGCGAGTTCTTGTCCACCAGTTCCAACGTTGGTCGTGTCGACGGATCTCTAAGCTGCTCTGGTGTCAACGTCCCCACGCGGATTAGCGCGTGCGTGCGCGAGATGGACGAGTCCGCGTGGAAGTTGAAGTGGCAGCGCTTGCGCCCCACGCTCCACTCCCCCGCCACCAGGTAGAAGGTCGTGTCGGCGCTGCAGCCTTCTCCTGCCACAACATCCAGGACCCACATGGCAAATTGAGATGTGACCTTACATATAGCGAAATGTATGGCGAATACCCTAACCTGCTCAAAGTGATGGTTGTTGAAGTGGTAATTGACTTGGACGTGCGATTGAAAAGCATTATTGGCAACTTCCTACTCGTCTCCTCTCTCTTGGTCTCCTCTCTCTTGAACGACACGAAGCTTGTCTCCGTATGAAAAACAAAAACAAAACATGAAGTGCATCCTCTGGTCTCGAGCGTCACCACCGCTGCGCCAGTGCTTCCCCCTTCGTCGCAGCTAGGCGTTGTCGTTGCCGAACACGCTGTCCAAAAGGCAGTGCGGGCGACTGGAATCCGCGACAGGGAAGCTGAATCGACGCTCGCGTAGCATCGGTTAGGGCAATCGGACCTCGACCACGCCGCTCTCGCTTGGAGACCGAGACGCTCGCTGAGAAGGGCAAGAATACTCGTCCTCGCCGTCCGAGCAGCTCAAGTTCACCTCGTCAAATAGAGGTGAGTAGCTGCGCTCTTCTTCACTATCTTGGCGTGGCGACGGTGATCGACGGTTCCTTTTGGAGCGGCTTTCATGCAGCGGCACCTCGCGCCGCGGCTGGCTTCGTTCACGCCGGGAGAGCACTATAGCAAGGTAATGTTCAAGCATGACTTAGATAAAAAAAATACTTCGTACACGAGATAATTCTCACTCACCGTCGTTGCTCCTCGATCGGTCGTGTCGGTGTCGGTGAGATCCTGAGTCCCGGTGCCCACGCGACCGACGACTCCGATGGTGATGCGAGCGAGAAGAATGCGATTCTCCCAGTCCTCGCCATCCACGTCGCCCAGATCCTCTACGTCCTTGATACTTCACTTGCCCCCATATATCATCAACCCAGATAATCTGCGAGGCGAGTTGCTGTAGATCGCCCGACACAGTGCCAGGGAACCCTGCATGAAATGATCACGTATTGCTTAAAAACGAGGAGCAAATCGGCAAATTCTACTTACTTACCAACAACCCAAACCTCTCTCTGCAACGCATTGCGTACTAAGCCCAAAGAGGTGTAAAAGTCGCCATCACCGCTGAGTAGTACGACACGCTCAATGTTCTACTCAAAAACGACAAAAAACGAAACATAGTATTGGATCCTCAGATTGAAATCATGCCTGTTCATTAAGTCCGTACGTGCTGCAACGTCAACGTGAGTAGCTTTGTCGCAATCCTGTTAGTATAAATAGCATTTTTTTTCACGTATTATGATTAAAGTTCATTCAAATGATGAATTCGATACCATTTGAACACTCCCACGTACGTACCCGTTGTCAACGCCCTTTTGAACGTTTTGCGTGAATCCGTGGCCACACCGCGTGCACCGACAGTTGCGCAGCTTCGTCGAGAAAATATCCACTTGAAACTGGTCCATAATGCACACGTGCCATTAGAACATCGACGCTATAACGTAAAAACAAGCCGCACCTGAGGTCCTCGCGGACGCGCATACTTGAGTGCATGGAACTCCGATGCCAGTGCACTATCGCCTCGCGCATCTTTCCGCTGGCTATCAAAATACCAGCACTCTAAAATGCATGTAAAAAAACAAACAAAGCGTAAGTAGTGGCTAGCATTTACGTATTCCCTGGAATAACACTCACCTTCAAACTCCGTCGACGCCATTTCCTCCAGTTCCGCTCGTAGATTTATAAAATCGATTTTCCCACCCTACACATGCGAGTTAGTAATACCAGGCGAAATCTGAAGGCAACACACTCACCAAGATGCGGCTTTGAATGCGCGCGTACGCTCCATCTGAGCAGAAATAGGGAGCATGCACGTATTAGCCACCATCGCTCATCACAGTTCAATCTCTTACCAATGATCAACGCAGTAGTCTTGGCGGAAACCGCCGGAACCCTTCTCTTCACCGTCATAGCGGGACTTGTTGCTGAGCCAGCAAATCGGCAAATGCCAACCGAACCAGAAGAGAGAAGGAAAACACGAAGATCCCGTCCCAGGCACTTTCCCTAACTGGAGCCTTAGCGCTTTTCTTGCTAACGATGGCTGTTGGGACCAAGCGTTTGCAGTTTGGCTCTTGTCCACATCATGGTCAGTAGCAGCCCCGTCGCTGGGTCGCAAGCCAACACACCACGGCGAAGACTCGAAAGTGCAATGGAACTCGATGGACACCCGAAACTGGTGCTTTAGCATCTCTCTTTTTTAAGCAAACTCCAACGTCATTCACATGTTAATTGTATTGTTGAAGTGTATTGTAAATATTCGACTAATTCTAAAAAAATCAAGGTAGGCTTGGTAATTTCCAAAAAGCGTGGGAACTGCTGCAATAATTCATCGCCCCATGTCCAGACTGAAGCGCCGACGCGAGGAGCTCTCGCAGCGCAGCAAACGACCACGCCACCGTACGCTGTTGTGTATAATATGGTACTATATTGTACTTTCACCTGACAGCTTTTTTACTGCGCAGGCGACTCAATCGACAGCGAAGACGCGAGCGACGATGAAGTGCTGCCAACAAACGTCGTGGTGGCTGACGGCCCCAGCGACGACGAAGCAAAGGAAGAAGACAATAACGAGGAGGAGGCGCTTTTAGACTTCACGCAGACGGATTACGCGGTGCAGATGAGTCAGGCGGAGCCGCTCGCAGGTGACGACAGTGACGAGGAAGCATCAAGCAAAAGGAACAAAGAGCCCACCAAACCTAAGGCCTTGCACAAGCTCTCCGACAAGGTTTGTCACTTAGTGCATCTATTGATACAGTAGTGGAACTGTCTGTGCTGACGTGGCTGTATGGATCAGGCTCTGGATGAGCTTACGGCGAAGCTGGTACGCTACGTACTGTACAAGGGAGGCTTGAAGCTGCCAATCAAGTTCGCGGACATCAGCAAGGACGTGTTCCCACAGTACAAGAGTGTATCAAGGTAGATTTGAGCGGGGTTTTGGTGGAGCTGGTAGAGCTGATAGTGTGCTAATTTGATACGTTACGTGGCTTTTGCTTTAGATACTTTTTCTACCACGCGAAACAGAAGATCGAACGCGTCTTCGGCTACCGTGTGGTGCAAGTGGAGGACAGTACAAGCAAGGAGCTTTACCTCGTGTTGAACAATGCGTCGTCGCAGGAGCACTTGCAGCTTATGAATAAGACAGGAAAAGCGTCTTCGCGCGGTTTCCTCATGATGGTACTGGGTCTCTTATGGTGTGCCCCTGCCCGACGACTTTCGGAAGGTTCGTGACTCTGTCAGTGTGCTGCCACAAACGTGGTTGCACGAGTTTCGTACTGCAAAACTAACGGTGGTTGGCTGGCGATATGCAGATGATCTCTGGAAGCAGTTGATCCGCTTGGACCCGGCGGTGAAGCTCAAAGTCAACCACCCACAGCTTGGTGACATCCCTCTTCTCTTCAAAACGTTCGAGAGCCAACTGTAAGAGTACTATCGAATAGAGTGGGCGAGGGTATAATTGACTTGCACTGACAGTCGTCGATATTGCTGTTAGCTACCTAGACGCCACGTCAGAGCTTGATGTGGACCTGAAGAAGATCAAGTATTACCAGTATGGCCCCAGGACGTTCCTGGAAGTGAGTAAGGTGCAGATTCTCAACTTTGTGTGCAAGGTGCGCTGTTTCTCTTGTTGGAGTTTGCAATCAAGTGAGTTTGCTTATTAACATGAAAACATATTGCAGCTGATCACTGGACGTCCTCCCTCGGAGGCGCAGATAAATGAGGTATTGGCCGAAGACAGCTAAGACAGGAAAGCATTTAGCAGCAAACATCCATTTAACGCTTTAAGCCATTTTCAATTCCCCGTTTTTGTCCCTGTCTCTTCTTCACTAAAATGGAGTCCATCGTCGCTGCCTACGGTTCATCACCCGAGTCTTCAGACGACGCTGCTTCGTCCTCGACGGACAGCGAAGTGGAATGTGCACATGCTGGGGAAGATGCGCATGTTGGCACCAAGCGGAAGCGCTCCGATGAGCGGCAGTGGAAACGAGCTTTCCCTCACGTTGATGGCAATTGGCCGAGCCACGTACGAATCGATGTCCCCGTCTCCGACGAGCTTCGTGAGCTGGCCAGATACGCTATTGAGCGTGCTCAGGATATTGTCGGTGAAGCAGTATCATTGGTGCCTTTCGAAGAGCTTGGGCTTAGCGAACCTTCTACGGAAGCAAACAATACGTTGCACTTGAGTCTCTCGCGGCCGTTTGTTCTCACCTACAACCAGATAAATGGCTTCGTGGACTCGCTCCGTGCTGCACTCAAATGGCAACAACGGTAGCTTACGTTTGCAAATGCCATGTAACGAATCTCGTACTAATTATCGTGTGAGCTTGATACGCACTCAGATTCAATGTTACCCTACGGCGCGCTCTCGTGTTGGTGAACGATGAGAAGACACGCTCGTTCCTGGCGCTTCGAGTTGACGAGGGAGAGCAGCAGTTCACTCAAGTGCTGCGCTGCGTGAACCAGTGCCTCTCGCGCTTCGAGCTACCTACCTACTACAAGGTACGCCTTCCCCTCTCCAGTTTTGCATGAAACTGAGCGGTAATATTCAAGCTTTTATGTCGTTGTGTTTGCTGTCTATGGCGCGGATTGCGCTGCTCGCTCGCGTTGGGGTTGATTCTGATCGTGTAGGATCCCATTCCGCATGTTAGCATCGCCTCTTCACTGGGCGAAGAGCTTGCGCAACTAACATCCGACCAATGTGAAAGCCTCGTCACACCCCAACAGGAAAAGCAGCACGTGGGATCACCACGCTGCATTACGGCAAGCGTAGCAACAGTTCACGCGCCATAGGTAACAAACACTACGACATTCCACTCCGTTGAGTTGCCAGTCCGACCCCTGTCCTCCTCGTCCAGCTTGATAGTGTAAAACTTTCGTCTCCCATGCTGCCACCGTCGAAACCACCTGACATGTCACTCACTTTCTGTTTCGGAAGCGAGATCGATAACTTCAGTCCGACCGCCGATTTCATCCAGCATGGCATCATGATCCTGCGCTGTCATGACCGGTGCCGCTGATCTCAGTGGCACTGGTAATGACAGTGGAAACGGTTTGCCTCCCACATCTTCATCATCTGAGCTGATATCCGATAAAGTGAACACTGGCGCATCGTCTGCCTGCTTGCTAGTATCTCCACGAGCTCCTCGTTTTGCGTGCCCCTGCCCGTTCATATCCGCACCTTCAAATATAAGACGAAACGGTGATAATACGTCAGTTCAACAACAACTTTATCCAGTACACAAATTTCGCCACATGTACCATTTCTTTTCCGCTTCTTGCCATTTCTCTCACCAGGACCTCGTTTTCCTTTAGCCAATGGCTTTCTCTTCCTTTTAGCCACCCCGGCTGGGACACTAGTCACTCTCGCTGGGACACTAGCCACTGACGCCGGAACTGGAGGTGCTGCGCTGTCGACAGGTAGGGCATTCGAGGTGGCAGCAATCTCGATGCTAGGCGGTTTAGCACGCGGCCGTTCCCTCGATCTGGAGCGGCTTCGTCCCCGGCCCTTTCTCCCTCGACTTCTTCCATTTAAGCGCCCTTCACGACCTCGAGATCCTCCACGTACTGGCTGGCTAGAGCGACCTGACGCACCTTCATCAACCGGGGCTATGACAACTTGGCGGCCACTACCACCCTCTTGTGTTTCGTCGGGTGGTGAACAGGAGTCATTGCTAAACTGGAAGTCTTCGCCTTCGTGATCCTCAAACCATCGGACTTCATCGGTTCGCTCTTTGTTTCTTCCCTTATCTCTTCGTCCTTCCTCTCTGCGTCCATTGTCTTGAGATCTCTCCTGGTGGATATTCTTAACTTGAGACCACAAGTCGTTCATCCAGAGAACCCGTGACGCCAGCTGCTGCAGGTCCCCCGATACTGTTCCTCTGTAGCCTGGTAATAGCCCATTTCATCACTGTTATTTACCATAATACTTCAAGTAAATCATGGACGTTTAGTGCAGCACTTACCAATTACCCATATATCCTTTCGTAACACGTTGCGGACGTGGCTAAGTGAGCTGTAAAAATCGCCATCACCTGCTCCACGCACACATCAAGTTAGACCCATATTAGAATTTTTGGAAGTAAAAATTCGCACCCGCAAATAAAATGAAGCGGTCGCAAATCTGATACACATAACAAGAACAGGGTTTGCGGAATGTTTTTACGAATGATGGCCAGGTGACACCACAGAGTGAGCATACGTTTTCGTAGGCTAGCGATAGGATCTTGGTAGCGATTCTGCGGAACGTATTAAGTGAGTATTCGTCGCGTCCTTAGCAATACTACATGTCGACGCACGCACCCGTTGTCAACACCTTTCTGCACATTCTGCGTGAAGTGGTTGCCGCATTTTCTGCAGTGACAATTATATTTTTTCATCGGGAACAAGCTGACCTGGAACTTTAAGAAGTTGCAATTTCCACACCATCAACCCACGCAACATCATACCCAGCAGATTCAGCTGCAATACCTGAGGTCCATCCGGAGGTGCAAACTTCAGCATGTGGTATTCCGCTATCAACGCTGGATTCAGCCGCTGAACAGACGGGTTTTGGTCGAAAAACCAGCAATCTAATGGGACACCAGAACGTCAACAAGCATCCACCTACGATTTCGCAGGCGCGATAGAACCTAATGGTCATTGCACACACACGCCGAAGAACAACAATTTTCCTTGCGTTAGCTCCACGCTCACCTCCAAACTGTGTCGACGCTTGTTCTTCCAGCGCGGCACGGAGCTTGATGTAGTCGATCTTGCCGCCCTGCAGTTGCGTACACAGACTACGGTCAACACACAACGTAAACCTTCATCTCAGCTTATTAGCGTGCTCCGTACCAGGTCGCGCGCTCCAATCATCGCGTAAGACCCATCTGCAAGCGAGTCAGCCAACCAGTCGTCCAAAACGCACGAGTTAGACTAAGAAAAGGACGGATAAGATGGCAATATACGCACATCCAAAACGTACCAATGACCAGCGCTGTGCGAGTGGATCCAACAGTCTCCATGCCCAAACCTGACGACGTTGTGGTGGCTGTAGTGCTCATCGATAACGTCGCTACTTCATGTGATAGTTCTGCGCTTTTGCTTCGATAACGGGCTCCTACGATTGGCATAATTTTCAGCCAATTACATCCCAGGTACAGATGTCGCCTTGCCTCCGTCCCTCCCAAAAATATAGAAAAAAATCGAGATTTTTGGATTTCGGTTCCCGCTCAGTCCAGCCCACACAAACAGACAGCCTCGTATCGGCAGCACCAAGCTAAGCTTAGACCCCAGACCACCAAGTAAACATGCCAGGCGAGGAGAACAAGGAGTTCGATGACGAACTGGTCGACTACGAAGAGGAAGAGGAGACGTCGACGGACGCCTCCAAGGCCGCCGCCGAGGGCAAGGACGCCAAGAAGTAAGCAAAAAGATCTCGATATTTCGAAAGGGAGAATGAGAGCCCGAGAGATGGGGGAGCTGAGCCGAGGAGAGAGCGACGTCGAGGGAGAAGACGATGCTTTCTCGCTCGCCTGCCTGCGTGCGGAGGACCTCTTAGAGGCCGACTTATCCGTCTTATAGACGCGAGCGACGCTCAACCGGCCACTCGGCCGCTCATCCGCCCACTCGGAGCCTCTCAGAGAGGAAGAAAAGAGCCCAGTTTGTTAACAACTTCTTCTGTATCTGTTCCGGGGGAATCGTGATCGCCGCGGATTCTTGTCTACAGGGGTCACTACGTCGGCATCCACAGTTCTGGTTTCCGCGACTTTATCCTGAAGCCCGAGTGCCTGCGCGCCGTTGTGGACTGCGGTTTCGAGCACCCTTCGGAAGGTGAGCAAGAGTTGTCTGCACGAGATAACGAGGGAAGATGGGCTTCAATTGCTAACGATGTTTTGAATATTTTTAATACACAGTCCAGCACGAGTGCATTCCTCAGGCCGTGCTCGGCATGGACATCATTTGCCAGGCTAAGTCTGGTATGGGCAAGACTGCTGTCTTCGTGCTTGCTACACTGCACCAGGTATGGAACACCCTCCTGCTGGATCTTGTAGTTGTGCTGCTGCTAACAAGTTTTTGACTGTTTCTACACTTTAGATCGAGCCTGTCGACGGCCAGATCAGCGTCGTGGTCATGTGCCACACCCGTGAGCTGGCGTTCCAGATCGCCCACGAGTACGAGCGTTTCAGCAAGTACCTGGTGGACGTCAAGACCGGCGTGTTCTACGGCGGTACGTCTTGCAGAATCTCATGCTGTGACTCGTCAAAAGCGCTTACAATTCTTTGATTGCAGGTGTTCCCATTTCGCAGAATCGTGAGGCGCTGAAGAACAATCCGCCCCACATTCTTGTGGGTACTCCGGGTCGTATCCTGGGTCTGCTGCGTGAAAAGACCCTGAAGTTGGACAAGGTGAAGCATTTCGTCATGGATGAGTGTGACAAGATGCTTGAGGCCATCGGTACGTCATGAGCGGAGATCATCAATGCAAACAAGTTAAGCATAATGTGTAATTCTTTTGCCAGACATGCGTCGCGACATTCAGGAGATCTTCAAGGCAACCCCGCACGACAAGCAAGTGATGATGTTCTCGGCTACTCTGAGCAAGGAGATCCGCCCAGTGTGCCGCAAGTTCTGTCAGGACGTAAGTGAGCCGTTTAATCGATTGGATGCGAATACTTCAATTAATCAATGCGATCTTGGATTGTTTTGCCTTGCAGCCGATGGAGATCTACGTCGACGATGAGACGAAGCTGACGCTCCACGGTCTACAGCAGTACTACATCAAGCTGGAAGAGTCGGAGAAGAACCGTAAGCTGAACGACCTGCTGGATGCGCTTGAGTTCAACCAGGTGGTGATTTTCGTGTCTAAGAAGAACCGTGGACGCGAGCTCAACCGCCTGCTGAACGAGTGCAACTTCCCGTCGATCTGCATCACGGCCGACCTCTCTCAGGAGGAGCGTATCAAGCGGTACAAAAGCTTTAAGGACTTCCAGAAGCGTATTCTGGTGACTACGGATTTGTTCGGCCGTGGCATGGATATCGAGCGTGTCAACATTGTCGTGAACTACGACTTCCCGAACGATAGCGACCAGTACCTCCACCGTGTGGGCCGTGCCGGTCGTTTCGGTACTAAGGGTCTGTCGATTAGTTTCATCTCCTCGGAGGAGGACACGGAAATGCTGGCCAAGGTGCAGTCGCGCTTCGAGGTAAACATCCCGGAGCTTCCCGACCAGATCGATATCTCCACGTACATGAGCACTTAGGCGAACAGTTCGATTCATGATGAGGACAAGGAAGAGGGAGCGAAAGACAAGAGTTCTGTTCAAACCAACCAACCTCTTGTTTTCAACATGTGCGAGCTCCATTTTGGAAGCGAGCTCTGCTGCTGCTGCGTGGCTGAATGAATATACCCAAAGCGAGACTGTGGACGGCGCTTTAAGACTCGGCTCGCGCTGTTTCTGCTGGCGTCGTCCCAAGCCGCCGGTTCCAAGTGTTACTCTTTTCTCCGTCGCTTCGTCGACCCATCGATATTCTTCATGCCACTGAGGTGACTTTTGTACTTTTCGCGGATGCCGTCATTGCGCGCCCATAGCGAGTCGCGGCTGGACGTGTCTTGGTCTGCCAGATGCGTGTACTTGGTGCTAAAAGCCGAATTGTAAACATTACAAATAGCTCGGACGTTAGAATGCTAGAGACCGAAGGGAATGCATCGCAACAACAAGATTCGTACCGGCCAGCGCGTCCAAAATTCTTGACCTGCATCACCGCTGGGAGCATCTCCTTGTTGAACTTATCTTCAAGCGTAGCCTCGGTGGCATCCCGTTTGCGCACGTCATCCTTCGAGCGAATACTATCGTCGTCCACGTAGAAGGCACCCTTGTGGTAATACTTCTGCATGAACTTGAGTTTATTCTTCTCTTTGGGCTCATTCTTCTTCAGTTTGCTGCAGTCCAAGAAAAAAGTTAGTCACCCTGGCAGATATTTAATTGTAACTTAGACCAAACGTACGCATCCTCAGCCGCACGCTCCTCCTCTGTCATGTTACGCCTCCTTTGCGTTTCTTCTTCCTCTTTTTTGCGCTGCTCCTTCCGATCACGGTCACTGTAGCGACAAACATACAGGAAAAATTAGCCTGCAATTACCAGAGGTCTCATGAGTTGATACAGCCTCATACCGTTTGATTCGACGCATTTCGCGCAGCTCCCAATCGCGATACTCTTGCGCTGGGTCCAGGCCATCCGTGTCGTCAGGCATCTCCACGTCAGTTGAGTCATCCTTATCAGCGCCGTCCTGCTCGCGCCGAACTTCTTCTGCAACCAAACGACGCGACTCCATTTTTCGGGCCTCCATCTTTTCGTGCTCTCGCTTCTGGCGGCGTTCCTCTTCCGCTGCCAGCTCTTCTTGACGCTTCACAGTCCCACGAGCTTTCTTGGGCACGAAAACAGGCTTCATGAGCTCTTCAACAGGCTCTGAGTCATCTGTGTCGGTCTCATATTCCGAACTACTGCTGCCGCTGCTTCCAGACTCAGACTCGCCGTTTTTTGCCTTTTCAGCTGGAATGGCCACCGCGCTACGCTTTACAATCTGCGGCTCCACAAGCTGACGCACGCTCTTCTTCTCAGGTACAGCAAACTGAGCATCTTCTTCTTTCTGGGCCTCACGGGCCTTTGCCTTATTGCGTAGCATGCGACGACGACGATCGATGTCAGACTCATCTTCCTCCTCCGAGCTGGAATCCTGCAGCGCCTTGGCGACATCATCGTCACTAGATTCCTTTTCATCCTCAGAAGATGATGACGCTTGTTCTCTTCGACCACGGTCCTTTGCTGCAGGTTTAATGGCACTTATGACCTGAGCCTCCACGCGTTTCCGTCCGGCGTTGATCACAGGAGTAGGCTTATGCTGTGCTTCGACCTTCGGGAGCGCACGCACCTTGCTGTTGGCAGTCACGAAGCCACGGTCTTCCTCATATCCATGCGCAAACTTGGGCACCTGTCCTGCTCTATACCGTGCTACCTTCTTGGACGGATCTACCTTGGGCTTCAGTGGTTTAAATTCCTCGGTCTCCTCTCTGACAAAATACGAGCGTCAAAGAGTGGTAACAAATGAGCCATTGCATGGAAATAGTGAAGCAGATGCACGTACTTGGTGTTGGTGTGGCGCAGCGACAATGGGTCGCCCGGAGTATCGTCCGGAAGCAGCAAGCCCAAGTCCTTCTTGGTGAAGAGCGACATGTTCGCTGATGGTGCAAATGTACGGAAAAGTGGCACACATTAAATAAAATACTGTTTAACTGCAATTTAAACCAGTATATTTAAAAGTACTGACAAAGGTGAGCCGCGCTACAATTCTGATCAACAATTCGTGACTCGCTACCTTCTCTGGTCTGTCTGCCATGTATGAAACATCAAACACCGGACTGCTGTGCTTCCTGGGCACTTGAAACTCTGATAAGCACGGACAAAGAAAAAAATGGAAGGGTGGCACGAAACTACCGTTTGATCTTGAAAGGGCGCAGTGCGAAACGGAGGCCGTCAATATACCAGATTTCAATTAAGGGAAGCCAAGCACAAGTACAAGTCACAGAACAACGGCAGCAATGGATGATGGCATGAGCGCAAGTGAACTGCGGCAGCGCTACGAGCGCGGGGGGAGCGTGCGCGACAGCGACCTCAGTGCGGCCCAATTGCGGTCCAGATACGCTATCCCTGGCAACAGTAAGAATTGTGCGCCGGTTGTACATATTCGACACGGCTAATGCGGTAATTTATTATTATTATTATCTACCTGTAGCGTTCAAGGAGAAGCCGTCCGACTCAAACACTATGATGGTCATTGCGGTGGTTGTCGTGTTGGTGATCCTTGCTGGTGGCGCGTATGCGTTTATGGGTCATTAACATCACCAGCCTACAATTTCTTCAGGCAGACGACATAACGGCGATTCTACGATGCACTACCCTCGCCGTTCAATATACTCCATTTTTTTTTATTAATTTCTTTAGCTTCTTCAGTTTTTTTTTTTTTTTTTCCCACAGCAAGTCAGTTATCTGAGTCGGATACTGTAATCCGCTCGACCCATAAAATCCTATTCAATATCATACATACAAATCATCAAATGCCATAGTTTTCCATTATAGTTCTGGTTGCATGGTCGTGGACACCTCAAACCTCGAAGAAGCTATTCGACATGGCGTTCCAGACTCCTATGTCGGCGCTGGGGCTACCGCAGTCGCGACTCCGTAGCCGAGATGTCGCCTCCGCCAAGGAAGCTGCGCTGTTTCGACGGCGGCGTGTTATTGCAGGCGTGGTGCTCACTGCGCTGTGCCTGAGCATCATGATGACCTGGCGTCTATTCATGCAGCTGCCGCCTTCCGCATCGTCCGTGGCCGTGGCATCTCCACGGCGTACGCTACACCAGACACTTCCGCCCGGGGTGAAGCAGCAACAACGTCTCAATCAGGAGAACCTGCTGGCTGATGAGCGCCAGCGCAATATCGAGGAGCAACATGCGACGCGCAGCTTCCGTAACGAGAAGCAGATCGTAATGGTGCTCACTCATTTCCGAGACAGCGACGCGTGCGCCCAGGCACTTGTTGACGCACGTGCAACCGCTTTCCTCGCGACACGGGTCCACTTTCGCGTGTTTGAAGAACTTTACCTGACGCATGAGCAGACATGCGTGCAACGGTTCTGCGAGCTGAAGCCCAAGGACTGCAAGCAACTGCTTCGATCCGGACAACTGCGGACACAGAGGAGAGACGCATCGGGAGCGGTCGGAGCGACCGTCGCTCGATACGTTGCCGAAGGGATGGTGGAACACAAATTCGCGAACGATTTTTACTTTTCGGTGGACCCCGCGGTCGTAGTGCTCACAGAGAACTGGGATCTCGAGCTACTAAAACAATGGTACAGTATAGGCAACGATATGGCTATCCTGAGCGTCGCACCCAAGGCTGTTGAGCTGCGCGGACTGACGAACTCGACTGTGCTCGTGCACTGCTCAGCACGCATCCATTCCAAGTTTCCAGACGCGGTGGTGGAATTCAATGCCCCCGAGCCGGTACCACGTCAAGGAGGTGCGTTGGTTTCGCCGGTGTTGCAGACGCAGTACTCGGAAGTGTTCCATTTTGGCCCAACACGAGCGCTCTTCGATGTGCGCTCGGACCCACATACGCCGTTGATCTTGGTCGGCCACGAGTACGCGCGTGCAACGCGCTTCTGGACTCGTGGCTACGACTTCTATGCTCCCAACGAGGACGTACTGTTCGCTCGGTACCACTGGCAGGAACCCCCGCTGCCGATGGTTTCTGGTGCCATTGATGACCACACGGGCAAGCAGCGACAACGCAGAATGGACGAGGCTAACCGGCGTATTCGACGGCTGATGGGATTGTCCGTGTCAGTCCAGGATGGGCAACTGGAGCAGTCCCAGGTTTTTGCGCTGGGTAGCCAACGATCCATGAAGGCATGGCAGCAGTTTTCGGGTGTGGATCCTCGCGCAGCCTACAACGAGTCCACGACCAACCAGTTCTCGCTCTGCGGTGCGCTTGCAAGTGGTAAAGTGCACTATGTGCCCTACTAAGAGATATCCCCATTGCTGCTGCCAAGGTTGGGGACATCATTTCCCGGACATGTATACAATGTATACCAGCCCAACCGAATTCTAAAAAATAAACTAATTGGTGGAAATTGAGGATTTCTTTTAATTCTCCAACGGGTGCTATGATTTGTTGAAAATTGGCAAATTTTAGGACATCAGCCAATCAGCATGTTTTAACTAATCTTCTACAGGAGCGCAAAACCCATACTCGAAATCCCGATCGGCGTGAAGGTGGCTGACGCCAAGGGACGACGATGAACGTCGACGTGGTGCGCCAGAAGCTGGTGGACGGCGACACAGATGCCGTGCTGAAGGAGCTGGTGGACCTGTACCGCCGCGCCGAGATCTTGCACACGCCGCAGCTGGGCCGCATCCTCGAGGCGCTATTCCCGGTCTGGAAGGGACTGCTGCAAACCAAACTACCGCCACAGCTTCGCGCCACGATGCAGAACCGCTGTCGCAAGGTGCTGCTGCAGATCTTGAACCGATTGCCGAGCAATGAGGCGCTGCGACCGTATGTGGCTCAGCTGCTGCAGCTGCTCATGGAGGTTTTGCAGAAAGATAACGAGGACAACGCGCTCATCGCGCTTAAGACGCTATTCGATCTGCACCGCAACTACCGCCCAGCCTTGCGTAACGAGGTACAACCATTCCTAGAGCTCGTCCAGCTAATGTACAAGAATCTGCAGGCGACTATGAAGAAGCAGTTCAGTGGCCCGCCAGAGACGCACAAGTCCAGCAGCACCGTGTCAGCAGGTACAACGCCTACTGCTGCTAAAACTGCAGTATCTTCAGCTACACCTGTTGCAGAAGGAGCGAAGGAAGCTACGCCATCTGGGTCTGAGTCGGCGAGTGCTGCTACGACGGAAGCTGCCAAAGCAGAGACACCGGTACCTCAGGCAACTACAAGTGCCAGTGCTGGTGAGGCTAGCGCAACTGCAACAGAAACTACTGCAGATTCTACGAAAGCAGCGACTGAAACTACGACTGCTAATACTGCTACTGCTCCTAGTGGCGACTCAGCTACGGATGAGCCTATCTGCAGCAATTTGGAATCGTTCAAGACTATTTCGGAGCTGCCGTTGATCATTATGCTGCTGTTCCAGTGCTATCCGAGCTACATCGAAAGTTATATCCCAGTATTAGTGCCGTTGATGATGTCAGCGCTGGCATTACGTGCTCCAGACACGGCTGCTACTACTCATCCATCGCGCTATTTGGATTTTTTGGATTGCCAAGTGAAGACGCTGTCTTTCGTGACGTACTTGCTGCGTGGATGTGCCAACCTTATGCGTCCGTTTCAGGATGCCATCTGCGAAAACACTGTAAAGTTACTTATTGCCTGCCCGAAAGACGCCTTCGTACTTCGGAAAGACATTTTTGTGGCCGCGAGGCACATCATCTCGACGGATTTTCGGCGAGGCTTTTACCCACAGCTAGAGCTTCTCATGAATGATGATGTTCTTATCGGCAAAGGACGTTGCAGTTTCTACCAGATTCGGCCACTGGCATACTCCACACTAGCAGATATGATTCATCACGTTCGAGATATGCTGACGTTGACGCAGGTGAGCGCAATTGTGGACTTTTACGGCAAGCGAATCCACGACCCGACGCTGCCAATCTCGATACAGACTACTAGCATTCGACTGCTGCTCAACCTCGTTGATATCAGTGCGAAGAACGAGGACGCTGACGCATGGAAAGGACGCAATATCTTGTCTCGTATTTTGTTAATTATCTCCGGGAAGTTCGGCACGACGTTAGCGAACCTGCCTGTAGCTCTTGCTACAACATTACGGAACAAGTCCGCCAGTGACCGCAGCGATCTACTGGAAGGAGGTGCAATGGATAAAATCAAGCAATCGAGTCTGCTGCCAAAAGAAGTTGTACAGAAGACACAATACGAGAGGAAGCTGGAGGCTTTACTGTTGCCGTATATGCGAGTTCAGCGGCCCGCGGATTCTATCTCAGAGGAAGAGCCGAGTATTCGTGACATTAAGTCACTGCTTCGTACGATGATCCTCGGTATCCGTGCTGTAATATGGTGTACAGCTAATTATCGAAATCCTCTTGCAAAGGATTTGTCCACCGTTGACGCTAATACAGCAGATGCAAGTGGTATAGTGTCTGTATCGACTTCACAGGGGATTCGATCGGTACATTCTGTGGATGTTGGAGGTGTATCCGGTCGGGCATCTGGAAGTGGAAGTGAGCATGTGTATCCTTTGACTGATGACGAACGTTTACTTATCGCGAAGGTGCTTCGAAACGGACTGCGCTGTTTTATATTGTACACGTTATCGGATAACACCTTGTCAGAGGAAAAGCAAATGCTGGATCATTTCGCTGGCGCTTTCACCGTATTGGAAGCAGCAGATTTCCGGGATCTTTTCATCTCAAACATCGAGCTGCTCTATGAGTGCATACTCCAAGATCATGCTATCCTGACGATACCCCAGCATTTCTTGGCTAATTCGAATGTGAGCTGCTGGTTTGCTGAAATTCTGCTCAAGTTTTTAATTACACAGATGAAGGATCTAAGTGTTGAGGCGGAAGGTGACCTACCTGATACTAAACGAGTGGATAAGGTGATGGCGATCGAGATTCTGCAGTTTGAAAAGATGCGGCCTGTACCGCAAGTAGACCGCGCTTCGATAGTGCTTCGATTGTTCAAGATTGTCTTCGGCTCGGTCACACTGTTCAAGTCGAATGAGTCGGCGCTGTTCCCGCATTTGCGAACGATTATCGAGTCGTGTCTGAAGCAAGCGACATTTACGAAGCACCCGGACAACTATTTGCTTTTGCTGCGCGCGCTGTTCCGATCAATCTCTGGTGGAAAGTATGAAAACTTCTACAAGGAGGTCTTCCCGCTGTTGCCAGGTGTGCTGTCAGCGCTTATGCGATTACAGAAACATATCGGCAAACCGGCGATGCAAGAAGTTCTTTTGGAGCTGTGTCTAACGATTCCTGCACGCCTGAGCTCGTTGCTGCAGTACCTCCCGTCTCTGATGAAGTCAGTGGTGCGAGCAATACTATCGCGGGGTGAGCTCGCGTACTTGGGCTTGCGAACGCTCGAGTTTTGGGTGGACAATCTGAATCCAGACTTTTTGTACCCAATCATGACGTCCCAGGACCGGCTGCTGACGGAGATAATCGAGGCGTTGAATACGCATCTCATCCCGCCGCCGTACCCGTACGGCGAGTTAGCTATGCGGATTTTGGGGAAAATCGGTGGACGAAATCGTCAGTATCTCATGGATCCACTGAACCTCGATTACCATGAACATTCGTTCACGGGGCTAACGTTCACGTTTCAGTGGGGCGAAGAGGGCGACAGTATGAATATTAACATGAAGGGTGATGGCGTCGCACTCGCTCCGAGCGGCATATTTCCAATGAAGATGGACGTACTAGTTGCGCAAGCCACAAAAGTACTTCGTGCGTATCTGCGAAATACATCAACAGATCGCAATAACGTCAGTAAGACCGACTCGCGGCTTGCGGACGTCGACGAGTTTGAGGAAGGCGAAAACCTGGCTGGACCTGCATTCTTGCTGGAGAAAGATGACAAGACTCTTCATTTGGAGACCGAAACGATGGCGAAAATCCGTGGATCGATTCTGCAGCACAAGCGTTGTGCGTTTATGTTTGTTTCTCGTGCGGCAGTAGTGTCTCTCAACGTTAACTACTTCGCGAATGCTGACTTGGTTGAAACAGATAGAGGGGATGTAGCTGCGCAGAATGTGGAGCCAATGCGGAAGATTATGTCACAGGAGGCTCTGCGAGTTACACGTTTGCAGCTCCTGCAGGTCTTGTTCGAGACAGTGGTGGATGTTGACGTGGGTATGGAGGCGAAAAAGGTGCTGGATGGCATTGCTGGACACTTAACAGTGCTAACCTTAGCCAATTGCTCACGAGATCAGCCAGATTTCGCTGTGCTTTCATCGCTGCATGCGTCAACATTGTACGCAGCGACAAGGGGACTATCACCTGGCCGACATTTGGCGACAACAAAACGAATTGAGACGCTGCGCCAAGCTGCGTATGGAACCTCAAACATGATGGAGGCAGATGTGACGAATGATTTTTATTCGTATGTGCAAGCAGTCTCCGTTGCGTTGAGCTCGCCGGACCAACAGGTTGTCGATGCAGCGAAAGAGGTTACCACATTGATCATCAAGACAGCAATCGATCGATTCGACTCACCGCGGCTGGCTGTGGAGCGCGGGGGCGCATTGTTTAACTGCATGTGTGAGGTGTTTTCGCATGGTTGTTACGATAAAGGAAGCTGGCGTCAGAAGCTTGGCGGTGCAATTGGACTCCAGCTTCTTGTGGATTTGTTGGAACCTCAGTGGTGTCATGAAAACGAGCTCACTATTATCAAGGCGTTATTCTTCGTACTATCCGACCACCCACCAGAAGTGAGTGCGACCGTTAGTGCTGAGACCGGGGAGGCGATGGTAAATGTTGTGAAGACAGGTTGGAAGGTTCGTTCGGGGTACGCGGAGCAGCTTGGCGACGATGATTCCAAGAAAAAGGACTTCATGTCGTGCGTTGCCTTCCAGGATACAGAAGTGTTCCAGATGCTCGTTGTGGAGTTTCTGAGTCCGAAGGCACCAACACGACAATATGCCAAACAGTGTATTAACACAATCGCGTCCTTGCAGGAAAGTACGGCTTCAGCATTGCTGTACCCGTACAACCAGTTGATCAGCAAGCAGATCACTGGGTGTAATCTTCGCATGTTGCCCAGCAACACTAGGACAGGTTATGTGGATGCTATGGCGTACGCGTTGTCACTGAAGCCCCCGATTTTCTCGTTGACGAAAGAGATTATGGTATTCCTCCAAGAAGTATGGAAGCTTATTTCGGAGGACTCTCAGCGCGACGGAGTTGCTATGGTTGGGGCTGAGAGCCCAAGTAATGCTGGAGGTGCAACGGCTGGTATCCCAGGTTCCGGTGTATCAGCTCAGGAATATCCGTTTGGGCTTTCTCAAGCATGTGAGCTGCGCATTGCGGCCGCCAAACTTCTTCGTGCAGCCTTTCTTGCAGCACCCAACGATCTGAATCAACATCCTGAGTACCGTAATCGCTTCGTGGGCGTGTTTTTCCGGTACCTGACTGGCCAGCCTCCAGAGCTGGTGCAGGTAGCTCAGGATGCGCTGACGGACGTCATCCAGCTGAACAAGCAGAACAAGGATGTGTTTCTTCCCAAGGAGCTTCTGCAGCAGTGCTTGCGACCAGTACTTCTTAATTTGGCAGACTACCGGAAGTTGAACCTGCCATTACTCGAAGGATTGTCACGTTTGTTGACACTACTCAGTAGTTGTTTTAACGTGACACTCGGGGAAAAGTTGCTAGAGCACCTGAAGCAGTGGCGCGATCCAGATCGAATCATTAAAGCTGGAATTTGGAAGCGCGGCGAGGAGCCTGCTGTTGCTGCAGCGATTGTAGACCTCTTTCACCTGCTACCTCCGAACGATGCGTTTCTGGAACCGCTTATTAATTGTGTGGTGGATCTGGAGGCTGTGTTGCCGAAGTACGGAAGCTATGGCAAAATGAGTTCACCGTATCGGATTCCGCTGACTCGTTTCTTGAATCGTTACGCGTCTATGACCGTATCGTTCTTTCTGAAGCGCGAGCATTTGGTTGAAGTGAAGTACTCATCGCTGTTCCAACAGCTCATCAAGGTACCCGAAGCAGCCCCTCTACATGCAGTCATTATCGGTGACGGTGGAGCAGAGTCCGTGGTGGAGGCAACGTTTAATGCTGCACTTAAGATCAATGCTTCTGAAGTGAAGGGTGGAGTAGATGTGTCAAGCGACGCCAAGATGCAGGCTCAGATTCAGTTGAATGCGCAGAAAGCGGCAGCACAGGCAGTTGCGACGGCCCAAGCTCAAGGGATGACAGCATCTGCGGCGGAGGCTCGCGGAGTGCAAGCTCGTGCAGCGTATGTAGTGAAAGCTCAGGCCCAAGTGAACGCGCAGCAGGCGTTGAAGGTGCAGTCTCAAGTTCAGATCCAGGCCAACGCGCAAAAGCTGCACGCGCAGACACTAGCAGCAGCCCAGGCACAAGGACTGTCCCTGGTTCAAGCCCAGGCTAAAGCTCAGTTCGCCAGCAAAGACTACATCGCCAAAGCCCAGAGTCACATTTCGTCAGCAGCTATGCAAGCCTCGTTGCCCAATCCTGCGATGAGTTCGCTGGTCACGCAGCAGCAAGCTCAGCAACTTCAAGCTCAAATCCAAGTGAATGCTCAGAAGGTGCATGCACAAGCGCTCGCCACGGCACAAGCACGAGGATTGAAGCCGATGCAAGCGCAGGAAGAGGCGAAACAGGCGCAAGCGACATACGTGCACCGTGCGAATGCTCAAGCTCAGGCAAAGATAGCCCGTGCGCAGAGCCAAGGGTTGGCGTCGTCGTTGGCTTTGGGCAGCAACTCAGCTGCTGTTAGTGGCGGACCATTCGCGTCTAAGGCTCAGCAAGAGGCGCTGGAGCTGCATTACCAGGGATTGCGACTTGTTCGATCAATAAGCAAGCTCCATCCGACGTGGCTGGCGTCGCAGACGGTGATAATCGATGCTTTGCGGAAGCTTTGGCGGTCGTCGGCACGCGTGCAGCGGCTTGTTGCGCAAGATCGACTGCCTATTAAGTTCCATCTAGAATCGAAGCTGCTGATCAAGTGTATGATCACGTACAGTCGTGCGAAGCCAGAAGACGTGCAAGTGCTGCTGGACATGGTGTCGGTGTTCTTGCACCGAACGCCCTTCGACTTCAGCTTTTTGCAGACGTTCTATCGCGAGGAGGTTGCAGCCAAGTACACCGCTGCAAACAAACGCAACCTCATCCGGTTGTTCCTGCGGATGCTTCGCGAACCTGGTGCCTCTGAGGAACTCAAGGTGCATGCTGTTCAGTTGTTGATCATGCCCGTGCTGACAGCATCGTTTGAGGACCCAGGCGTAGACAATATTGATGTCATGGACCTCGACACCGTCATGTGGATGCTTCGAGAGATTTTGGCGAGCAAAGAATATTCACCGGACGCAATGCAAAGTCTTCGAATTGAGTTGCTCAAGCTTGGTACACTGCTTATTCAGCACATGAGCAAGTATGTGACCGACCATCGGAAGGAAGTGATCAAGTTTGCGTGGAACCATTTGAAGGCGCACGACTTGACGTCGAAGCTCTGGGCGTACGTGAATGTGTGTCGGTTCATCTCAGTCTACGATACTCCGCCCAAAATTGTGTTGCAAGTGTATGTTGCACTGTTGCGCACGCATGAGATGGATGCGCGTTTTCTCGTTCGCAAAGCTTTTGACATTCTTCTGCCTGCTTTGCCAAGTCGCCTGCCGTCGAACGAGTTTATCAAGGCGATAAAATGGACGAAGAAAATCGCCTACGAAGAAGGCCATGTACTTGGACAACTTGTGCACATTTGGTTTTTGATTGTTCGACACCCAGCCCTGTTTTATCCATTCCGCGGCCAGTTTGTACCTCTCATGGTGAATTCGCTAAACCGCTTGGCCATTCCTCCGAGCAGTACGCCAGATAATCGCAGGCTTGCAGTGAACATTGTGGATTTGGTTATTTCGTGGGAGCAAACACGTCAAGATCGGATGGCGATACGTGGTGCTTCTTCTACGCCCAAGGCGTCAACCCCACGTGGAGATCTAAAGCGGAGTCCATCCGCCATGATCACAGCTTCAGAAAAGTCTCCAGATGATCATGCTGTGAAGAAACGGAAAGTGTTGACAACTGGAGGAACTGATACGGCAGAGGCGACGGTGGTGAATACTCAGTTGAGTACAAAAACGGAGGGATCTACGTCGCTGCAGATTCAAGTTCCAACACAGACGTCCAGTTCCGGGTCAGGTCAACAGCAAGGTCAAACGGCGGCATCTCCGTCTTCGGAGGCGAATCGAGTTGCGAGCAGTGAGGACGACTTTGAGTTGAGTGGCGCTATGGTGGATCTGGTGATCAACTTTGCTTTTCGTTTTGCTCTAGCGTCTGCGGACAAGCAGGAGACGAGTCGATTGGCGAAAACTTGCGGTGAGCTGTTCGACAAGGCCCTTCGCCTCTGGCCATCTGCTTCTATTCGCTTTTCCTACTTTGACAAGCTTATCGCTGTCACTGCGGAGACTGTGATTCGGCAACAGCAACAGGTGCAGGCAAGTATGAACGCTGCTGCAGCTGCTGCCGGAGGTACAGGACAGCAAGTTCCGATTCCGGCCCCACCGCCACCGACAGTGATGCCCCCGTTCTTTGTTGTTCCGAAGGGCGCACCTTTGTCTTCACTGGCAATCCTCGACGCTGTGCTGGGTATTTTGAACTCCTTAATCACTCCCGAGGTCGTTACTAAGTCCAAGCGTCCAGTGCCGTATGTGATTCAGTACGCACCACGTATTATGAAGCTGCTGGAGCCGTGTTTTGACCGTCAGAACCATGAAATCCAAGCGAGTCTGACCAAGTTTCTACGCCGAATGACAGAGGTACGTGCTGTTTCATTTGTTTTGGTAAGCTCTTATAGGATGGCTCAACCCTGTATTGTGTCGTCCCTCTGATTTGCCTGAGCAGTTATATCCTCCATCTCGTGCCCCTCAACCATTGGTTGTGTGCAAATTCTACCCGTGGCTTCGCGAGATCATCAATGAGCGTCTTGTGAGTGCTGCAATTTTCCAACAAGAGTTAGGTGCAGGTGGTGTGGCTTTGTCAGGGGGACCAGGCGCTGCAGGTTCGAAGGCTAAGGGGAAGACCGCAGCACAGAATGCCTCTGGATCTAAACCTGACAAGCAGGGAGCAGCTGGAAGCAATGCCGCTGCGGGTCATGCCCACGCTGGCAAACACCAAAAAGACCCAAGTGGCATCAATCCGTTGATCAACCACGAGGCAGCACGTATGCGTTTGTTGATTTCTCAACATCCGCGGGCGGTTGTGTCGCCTTCGAGCTATCCTGGTGAGTTTACTCTCAAGCTGCTGAGCGGTCTCGCCGAGATTACTCCTGAGTTCGTGGATCACTTTGCTCCTGCACTGTTGAAGCTGGCGCAGCGATTTACACGTGAACATTTGATTCAGTCAGCAGCTACTGCAGGTGGAGGTTCCCACGGTGGAAAGCATGGAGGTACCAATGGTGCAGCGATGGGAGTGGAAAGTGGACAAGCGATTGTGGATTCTTTTGGACGGAACCGAGTGATGGCCACACCGTCATTGGCAATCATAAACGAGTGGAATCAAATGCAGTCCGGACGGTCAAACCTAGCGGTAAATAATGTCGTGCGGCATGTCATGAAACGCGATGCTTCAGGAGAAAAGGCGACGTCGAAGAAGAAGAGCAGTGCCAACGATTCACTAGGAAGCGACTCCTCAAATTCGAAGGCAGGAAATGCGATGAAGAAAAAGATGGGTGTCTCTGCAAATCAGGTCTCAGCGAGAAGTGGGTTTGTTGGTGGCAACGGGAAGAGGCCGATTGAACTGCTTGTCTTGTGCTATGCGCTATTGGCAAAATGCACGTTTACAGCTGCCGAGCACCGTCGACTGTACACGAATTTGCTGGTGCACTGTCTGGAGGGATCATACAACATTCCTCTTCTGCTGCAAATTACGAGAATTGTGGCCAAAATGATTGCATCTACAGACCCGTGTCACCAGGTCTTGTCAGCAAAAGACAAGATGACCCTGCTGAGCAAGATGGCGACGTTTGATCGCCTTAATGAGATCTCTGCTCTTCCTCTCAACGAGGAGTACTATCAGTTGGTTCTCAAGCTATGCGAACCACCGACTGAAGATTCAAAACAACAAGCGCCTCAGTTGCATTTAAGTCCTACCCCTCAGAGTCATAGCCTCACGACACACTTCATGGCAGGGCTACTTGCTCCAGACCCAAAGACACGTGAGAAGTTCCTGCAGATTTTCTTCGCGGTTACAGGTCCTGGACCCGTTGCACGGCTCCAGCTTGTACTACGTCAAGATTGGCAAGCCTGCGGAACGAGATACTGGCCCGTCATCGCGATTGAAACGCTAATGGCGGCTATCTCCCCGAACGCGTTGCTTTCTGTTACGACGATGCTGACTTCGGAGAATACTACCCCAAAAACTCCAGCCCATGGTGAATTCCTGGAAACCTATGGCCAGATCAAGGCGTCGGAGCTCACATTGGCGTTGCGTGACTTAGCGCACATCGATTTGGAGCTAGCGAAGGAACTGTGGGTGAGTTTGTTCAGTGCTGTATGGGGATTACTGCAGGAGACAGATCAATCACAGGTGTCTGGTCAGTTGCTGAAGATTCTGGCTTCGAAGTACAACAAACGCGATCTGAACGTGCCATTAGGCGCGTCTACCCCTCGCCGCACGAACGTCGTCCAAACTCTGATGAAGGGCATTGTGAACACTAGCCCAAGTGCTCCAGTGATGACACCTGAGCTTGTGCTGCACATTGCATCAGCCTACGACGTGTGGAGCTGTGCTATCAGACTGTGCGAATTCCAGGTCGAGAAATCTGACCTGAGTGTTGAAAGCAGACTGCGATGGATTGAGGCCCTCAGTGCTATCTACAAGCAGCTTAGCGAGGATGATCTGCGTATTGGTTTGAGTATTGAAAACATTGCGCAACCCGAGACGCGCACTGCGCTGACGCTAGAAGCGCTTGGCTGCGTGCACGAAGCGCAGGAGGAGTATTTCCACGCACTATCCAATGCTCAAAGCGGCCGTGTTAGCGTCGAGGATGTGAACCTTTTCGAGTTGAGATTGTGGGAGGAGCGCTGGGTGGGGTGTGCCAAGCAACTGTGCCAGTGGCAGCTTATGAATGATTTTGCCAAGTCAACACAGAATCAAGAGTTGTTACTTGACTGCGCGTGGAAACGTGGAGACTGGGCTTCAGCGAAGCAATTGCTGTTATCACCATCGATGCAGTCGTCAGCAGAGCTCGGATGTCCACAGACCCGTCTACAGCGATTATATATCTCGATTCTCGATGCTGATAAGCGCAGTGCCATCGATACTCTAGCCTCTCAAACGGCCGAGCTGGCGCTTCATCAGTGGCAAGGACTGCCACGTATCCTTTCTCGTGCACACTTGCCGCTGATGCACTTGTTTCACAAGTTTGTGGAGGTAAAAGAATCGATCCAGATGATGGAAGATATTAAGTCTGCGAGCGCACAACACGCGGCGCTGCCGAATCTCAAGCCGTCCATTAATACGTGGCGAGAGCGCTTACCGAACAAGTGGGAGCCTATTCTTCTGTGGGATGACATTCTTACATGGAGGTCGCACATGTTCCAAGTGGTCAAGACTACGTTTGCGTGGAGCGATGCTCAAGTGCTTGCATGTATGCATGACAGTCCGTGGTCCGTTATCAAACTTGCGCACACAGCACGCAAGCAAAGACTACCCGATGTGTGTCTCGGCGCTCTAGCGAAACTCTACTCTGTTCCGGCCATGGACGTACAGGACGCCTTCTCAAAGCTTCGTGAACAAGTGAGCATTTGCTACGAGAGTGCCACTGAGTACTCGGGCGGACTGAGTATCCTGAACACGACCAACCTGGACTACTTCAGTCTGCGACAAAAGGCGGAAATGTTCAGACTGAAGGCGCTCTTCTTGGAGGCACAGGGATCTCTTCCTGAAGCCAACAAGACGTTCTCACATTGTCTGCAAATTTGCGATAGCTACGGCAAAGGATGGCTGTCGTGGGGACACTACTGCTACCGGTTGTTCCTCGTTCGGAAAGATCTCGCTTTGGCCTCGCAAACCATTGCGTGCTACTTGCAGGCAATTCACCATCGATGCAATTCGGCACGACTCATGATTGCGCGTGTACTCTGGCTGTTGAACATGGACGACCGACGTGGAGTACTTATTCAAGCATTCGAGACGCATGGAAAGCAGTTGCCTATCTGGATCTGGATCATCTGGATCCCGCAGTTGCTCATGGCTCTCGGTCGTCCGGAAGCTCCTCAGATCCGGGGTTTGCTACGCGGTCTCTCTGCAAAATTCCCGCAGGCGTTGTACTACACAATGCGAGCTTTCTTCCTGGAGAACCGTGACAACGCAATGCTTGCCAACCAGCGGTTAGCGTCGGGAGTATCACCTTCTGCGAGTGCATCATCTCCGGCTGGATCGCGTACGTACTACAGGACGAAGTCGGGACATGTTGTTGGAGTTCCTATCACCATGCCAGTCGCTCAGGTCGAAGAAGTTCCAGGTCTTGTTGGACCTCCTCGACCAACGCCTGCTGCTTTCAACGCATCACCCAGTGTCGTGTTGACGCTGGAAGCGTGGACTGAAAAGGTTCGCAATAACGGCGGCGATGGACACTCGTTGAAGGCTGAAGTTGGTCCAGTGCAGTACACCGAAGACCTGTTGAACTTCTTGCGCAGATCACATGACTCCCTTACGTTTGAAATGGAGTGTATGTTGGAAGAGATGATCACCCGGTTCCGGCCAGAGCCGGAAGAAGAGCTTCTCACAGCGGTTCATGCGCTATTACTGAAGTGTTATCAGCTACCTAGACTGACCAAGACGGAGTCTGTACCGAAGATGTTGCGTGCTGCACTTGCGAGAGTATGCCGTAAACTATTTGTGTTGCAGCCCCACCAGAAGAATGAAAAGCACGAGGCGTTTGTGGAGGAGTTCAAGGCCGCATTTGAGCGCGACTTTACCCCACTTGAGGACGACGATGCTCAGCACGTTGGGGCGGCCACGACTCTCTATGAGATCATGAACCGCTTGAAGAGATGGAAGAGTCTGTTGCAGTTGCACGTGAAAAAAGTGGGCAAACGGAACGCTGGGAAGCTCTACCTTGAGCAATGCAGCCGTCATTTGATGGAACTCAGCAGCTCCAATATGGAGGTTCCGGGCCAATATGTGTCGGACAGTGAGCCTATTAAGGATCTACATGCACGCATCCAACACTTCAAGAGCACGGTGGGTGTTCTACTGCGCAATGGATTTACTCAACGACGTGTAGCAATGGGTGGCAGCGACGGCCGGACCTACTACTTCTTGGTGCAGTATGCGATGACACACATCACCCGCACTGATGAGCGGATGATGCAGATGTATTTGCTATTGAATCGACTGCTACTCCGACATAAGGAAACCAAGAAGCGCAATACGGTCTTCCACGTACCGAAGGTGATTCCACTGACGCCGCGGGTGCGACTACTTGAAGACAATCGCGACTTTGTCACGCTTGGTGAAATCTACGAGCTGGACTGTCAGATCGAGAACAAGGATCCAGACCTTCCGGTGGAATTGTATCGCGAGCGTGTTAGCGACGCGTACGCTGCGGCGGGAGCAGGAAATGACTCGGGCAAACAGGAAGAGGAACGTGTCGGGCAGGCCAAGGCCCATGCTTTCCAGGAGATCTGCAACGAGCACGTACCGGAGACGCTTTTGGCCAAGTATGTGCACGGCATCTCAGCTCACAGCGACGCGTATTTCCAGTTCCGTAGCGAGTTTACCAAGCATCTGGCACTTTCAAGCTTCTTGTCGTACGCCCTGTTTGTTGGGGACCGCGCCCCGCACCGTGTGCTCTTCTCACGACGAACAGGACGCGTTGTGAGCACTGAGCTGCGTCCTGGATATGCGAGTAGCGGGATTTTGGAAGCGGCGACGACGATGCCATTCCGCCTTACTCGCAACCTCCACAACTTTATGACGCGCCCTGGTGTACAGGGACCATTTAGCGTGGGGATGACGGCAGCTGCGGAAGCTCTGACGAGCGAGGAGGACGTATTGAGCAACCAGTTGTGTCTCTTCTTCAGGGACGACTTGCTGTCGTGGCATGCGTCAAAAACCCGACTTCTATCCCTTGACCCGCAAGGTACTGGACGCACGTCGTCGCCCGGTGGATCGTCAGGCCCAGCTTCGCCGGCGCAGCGCCGCGTGGAGTCTCAAGTACAGCAGCGAGTGGAGGCAAATGTTAGTCTCGTGCTCGAGAGGATTCGTGGTGTCTCGCTCAAGAAAGACAATGTCGAATCTTCTCGAGGAAGGAGTGTGCAAGAATTGTTGGAAATTGCTACGAGTCCAGAGCGCCAGCAGGAAATGTACCCCACGTGGTCTCCGTGGCTGTAAGCGGTTGATCAAATCAATGTAGGTTGCGTATATGCATGCGCACAGGTTTAAGGTGTGAAAAAAAAAACTTTGACAAACACTACTATCGTGTTGGAATAAATACTTTTGCATGTGCATCTATTCGCCTACCTCGTTGAGTTGCGACGTATTGAGAAATATAAACGTTGGTAAGTCTGTGCTCGGGCTGCGATCCGGTTGAGCATTGCATGTGTCAGAGCGACCACCGTCGTGAGTAGTAAGAAGAAGAGAGCCATATCTGAAGGCTCAGGCTGGAAAAGCCACCGCGAAAGCACTGCAATAAGTGAAAGAGCTGTTGTGTAGCCCAGCGCCTCGGCCAACGAGATTGCACCTTGCACTGTTCCAGCCCAACGCCGAGACTTTGAGGAACTGAAGGAACCTCGTACTAGATCATTGCAGGCTTCCTGTAGGCTCACACGGAAGAGCGCATCGGACGCACCCAGCAGCATCATATACGGCGATGTCCAGATGAATGTAAATTCCGAGTACACAGCTCCACAACTTCGTGGTAGTATGGAAGGGCTCACCCCTGCTTGACGACGATAGAGTTCCACCACACTTGATAGAAACACGCTGACAAGGTAGAGCAGCATCGCGAAGCACATTCTCGTTACTGGTGGGCAAGACGCCATTGATGGCAACTGCACGTAGAGCGATTGCTTCCATGACTTCTGGACAGGCATCATAAACGTCGATGGTGCGAATATATTGGCTTTTGTCGACGCGAGCTCGGAAGCGACAGACTCAGAAGCTGATGAAGTCTTGTTCAGCACTCGAGAGAGACCAATAAACAGCAGAGACGACGTTCCAACCGCAGTGCCCAGCAACTCCGGGTTGAAAAGCGTATTTGTTGTGCCAGGGATCAACAGCCGAGTTTGGCATACTTGAACTAGCATGGACGAATACAGTTGCGCACGTAGGAATGCAACACAACCCGAAACACAGATGAAGGCGACCGCGAAAATGGCCAAATACAGCTGACGTGAGCGCAAACCCAGTCGACGGCACACACGAACAAGCTGTTTCTTCGTTGGATTTAGTTGCCGTGAGCTCGCCACCATGGTAAGTAGCCAACCCATCACGGTAAGCAAAAATGCCACCAAACGAACAGAAAGTGAAGTTTGGGAGGCTAGCAGCACCACGACCAAAGAAAAACCGCAGCCGATTAATGTCATTAGCACAAAGGCTAGCAGCGCATAGCCCACCAGCACGCGGTTGCATAGATGAACCAGGTTCGTCCAGCTCCACGTCCAAACATATTCAATTGAAGAATTAAAACTCTGCTCCAGAGTAGCAAGTTTACGCTCGAGCTTCTCTTCATCAGTGCTTTCCCACAGCGTACGAGATTCACCATAATGGCAGTAGTTCCACGATTGAAAGCAAAAGTAGATCAGAGATGCCATCAGGCCGAAGCTCATTAGAAGCATACAGTGAAATCCACGCGCTTCCACAGTCGTCTGTACGTTCTCGACTGAAAACGTTTCCACATCCACCAACAAAAAATAATACCCTTGCACAAGTACAGAACCAGCTAACCTCGCAGCAAAGCAACCACTGAAGAAGTTGTGGCTTCCAAAATCGCAGTAATGCTGCTGCTCAGACATTGTACTTGAGACATCTGATAGATATGATGCTTCACTTTCTGCTGAACTATCTTCTTCTTCGCTGCTGCTGTCTTCATCATCCTCCGGCGATAACGGGGTGGACAATGTTTCGCAGTTGCACAGCTTCGATTCCACACCCAGAGCAATCACATTCGGGCACGTGATACCGTATGCTACACCAGCACACAATAATCCTGACACCAAGCTCATTGAAGATATCAGAGACGACATTTGGAAGGCTGCTACATGAAATGCCACAACAGCGACGCCCCACAACACAGCAGTCCGTCGCAGAAGTAGCACTCGATCGCGTACAATATCACCAGCCAGCCCTCCGACGAACTGAACTAAACCCACAAACGTCCAGCTTAGCAACATTAGTATGCCGAACGGGTACATGTCGATTCGTAAAAATTGCCGTAGCTCCAAACTGAAGTTAAATATCGTGCAGTGCAGTACAGCAGTACTGGAAAATAGGATCAAATAGGTCAACGACTCGCTTATCTCGAAACCAAGTTGTTCTCCACGTCTAGCAACGAGAGGACTGGATAATACTTCGAGTTCAAATTTGTGCCCTGATCCTTCGCTACCTACCATTTGCACTTTCAACTCGAGTTGAGTTTCCGAGCTGCTCACCTTGCTCTCAATATTTCGCTTTGACCTGCTTGACGCCGTGCCAGGTACAAAGGAAGCAACGAGTTTTAAAGGCTGCAGTTTATGTGTCGAGTTACCTTGTCGCTCAAGTCCACTCACATCCACGTGATTTCCATCTTGTAATTGCCTCTCGAGATCCCATTTCCGTCGATTCGCTTCCACTTCATCTGCAGAGGGGATGACGGGATTAATTACAAAAGGGTTCAAGCTCTCTAGCTTCCGTCTTAGACCACGTTTCTGCGGTGAATTCACTGACTCATCATACAGCCTTCTCTCCAGGTCCCATTTACGTCGATTAGCCTCCACCTCGGTCGGAGAGGGGACACCAGGCTTGACCGTCATTGTACGAGGGTTCAAGGTCGGTAATTTTGGCTGTAATTCACAGTTTTGTTCAGATCCATTAGCCACATTTACCAGTGCATCGATTCGGTGCTCGTCATGCAATCTTCGTTCAAGGTCCCATTTTCGTTGATCGGCCTCCACTTCAGCCGCATAGGTGAAAGTGGGAGTCATCTTCATCGCAAAAGGATTCAAGCTCTGGAGCTTTTGTTTAAAATCACGTTTTCTATCTGATCCACTGGTCGAATCGACTGAGGCCCCAGCCCCAGCCGAGTCTTGTAGTCGTCTCTCCAGGCCCCATTTCCGTCGGTTGGCTTCTGCCTCAGCAACAGTGAGAGCAACGGGCCTTAGATCGTGCTTCCGTTCAAGTCCACCTGCTTCCTCCGAGTTAACCTTTCGATCAGCGTCTTGTAATTTTCTCTCCAAGTCCCATTTCCTTCGATTGGCCTCAATTTCGCCCCTCGAAGGCGAGAACTCGTTGCCTGTGGCATCAAACCCGGCGTTGACCTTGTACGTATCCGTCATCGAAGTACCACCGCATGTTATCTGAGACTGTTTACTTGAGCTTCGTGGTAGTTGTGTTCGCAGCGCCTCAGCATTCGAAAAACCAGAAAGGAGCGGCAATTTTCGCTTCCCTTTACGAATCGATAGTTCTTCAGTCTCCTTGGGCACAGTCTCCTTAAACTCCGTCCATGCGTCCGAGTCATCACTATCCCTCCTCTCAGCAAGCGTCATGCTGAATGGAATTGGTGTTTGCATCTGAGCCCAACTGCACGCGTCTGTATCATTGCTGTCGTCCTCCTCACTAGCGCATATAGTAGATCGGCAGAGCCACGACTCGCGCTCATCGACACTGCCACCAGCAGTAAAACTTGAGGCCGCCGAGAGCCTTTCGCTCGTACGGCGAGCCATTTTGCCGCCGTGGTTGGAGGATGGCTGCGTCGGAAGCGCACTGCTACCGAATTGAGCCCACGAGCCGGCGAGGGTCGTCGGGTTTCTTCTCTTTTTTCCACTAGAGAGCGCTGACTAGCTGTTGATTCTCGATGCCACGGCACGACCGGCTAGCTGGTCAGCCGTTTAGCATGTTGCATAACGCTCATGAAGAGGCGCGCACCTCATCAAGAAGACGCGACGAACTGCTCAGTTCAGTTTTTGATGAAAACCTCCCAGTCGTCAGATATGTAGCAAGTTCGTGTCAAGTGATCCACCAGCACCAGAGGCCCCAGCTGGCACTTGCCCGAGCGGAGAAAAGCTACGTGCAAGCTTCGTCTGACGCTTGTACCCGGGCGAATCAAGCTGCAAAACCAGAAACAAATTAGTATCTCTATCTCATCACACCTTGAAGTGGTGAGCCCATTACACACAACTTTCGAACTTACCCCAAGCGATGAGAAGCTTCGAAACCCACCACATCAAGCCTAGTATCAGGAACATCTTCGTTTTGCGAAGGGAGCACCAGTGTCAAGTCGAAATCGGTGCGTGTAGAGCGGTTTACCACCGTCACACACACTGTGACTGCGTTTCCGACCGATAAACTGGAAGAAAGAGGTGATACTGTAGCTCGCAATGCTGAGTCTGGAAGAAGACGCACACATTTGAAATCCGCATAGGATTTCGCATCTTTCTTCATATTCCCCGCTTGCGCATACGTCATGAGCTTTTGGACGTCATCACTTGAGAGGGAGAAAAACGAGCGCGGTGGAGACCACACGATCGTACGATTCTCCATGATAGCATCCATGGAAACTGCTGCTTGCCAGGACAGCGTTAATAGAGTTGATACCGTCGAACAACGCGTTAGGGGCGACTTGTTTTTCTTCTGCGTGTTGCTATTCGCGTGCTTGTTATCGTCGCCTTCTGGCCCCTCGAGAGCCTCGTCTGGCGTGGTTATCTCTACTGGCTCCAGCACGAAGAGGAAGTTGAAGCGCTCTTGGGGTTGAAGCACAACTGGAAACGGCACTTTATCGCCACTCACGACGCGGAAGCGAGTCGTGTCTCTGCCTGACGCGTTGTGCCGTAACGACTGGTCCAGATGAAGATGCAAGTCTCGCACAGCTAACGCCAACGTCGAGTGAGCGTTGAAAGCTCGAGCCAAGATCCCCACACGTCGCGTCGCCAGCTCACGGGTCTCGACCTCAAGTTGCAACGGCTTCGTCACGACAACGTGCTTCTCAACACGACGAGTCATTACGGGTGTCGGCTGAGCTTCTTCTCTCGTTAGGGACAGTAGTTGGGAGGTTGCCCATTCGTCTCGAAGCAGTGAGGTCCCCAGTGATCCTCTGGGCTCGAAAGATCCATGTTTCCCGTCACTGACGTCTCCAGGAGCGCCAACTATGGTGCTCTTTGGAATAATATGCACAATGAGTAGCACTTCTCTTGCCCAGAACTCGTGACGGATTTTGAGGTCGAACTGAGCCTTAAGCTTCACGGTAGGCGCACTTCCGTTCTCCGATTGGGTCACTGACACATGAGAAATCTGCGTTTCTTGCCGGAATAACGTGGTGGATGATGGAGTGGAGCTGCTAGCGTGGGGATCGGTTTCTGAGACCTCCACGACCTGAACTTGCACCCTAGCACCTTCACAATGTTCTCTCCACCGATTAAGCAATTGATCTGTCGTTTTTTGGGTTGTATTCTTAGTAAAAGCAGCCTTAGAGCTGCTGGATATGGGCATCACGTCCGCATTGACTTGCACGTTTACAGTCTCTCCTAGCAACAGCCATACGAATCAGATTAAGATGCAAGTCGCACTATCACCTGTGCCACCGCTTCAGCTATCTGGAAAACTGCCACTTACCTTGGAAGAGCTCCTCATCGCGGAGATACAGCTGCAGCCGCGCGCACCTCCATTCGTCACTCCAAGCCTTCATTTCTGGCAAATGTTGCAATGCACAATCTCAAATATTGACAATAACAAAATGTCAAATGTTGAAGTTGAGAAATGTCGAAAGTTGATAGGGCATCAAGAAGCAATGATATGCCTTTCATGTCCTGGTATTTCTTTCTTTACTGTTCGTAGGCTCCATGTCAGGGCAACTAGCTAGCTATATGGCGTTTTTATCTGCATGATTGAGCCGCGAAGTCGAAAACCAAAAAATATACTTCAAGTAGCTCCTGGCAGCAGCTCCCTCCTTCTCTATGCATCGTCGACTGCTTCTTCTCTTTTCAGCCGTGTTTTTCTTTTCTGTATCTCCTGGGACTGCTGTAACGCCCACCATCCACCGTCGCGCTGAGTGGAAGCGCGCCTTCTAAAGCAGCACACACCCGCTGGTCACGATCGGTCTACCCAAATACCTTACAGGAAGTAGTCTGGAGCAGGCTTCTTTGCAGGCACACCACGTGCGTCTTGCGGTGCAGCCTCGAAAATCTGTAGAAAACACACATCCAACATATGTGTTGTGGTCAGATTCTGGTTTAACGGAACAAGAGAATAATATCTCGCTCTCTCACCTTAAATCGTTGCTCCAGGTTCTCATCGAGCTCCAAGATAGCCGCGACGTTGCCGCATCGGTAGCAGTAGTTGGGCGCAGACCAGACCGTCACCAGGGCGTTGTTGAACATGGATTTGTGTCCCTCCATCACGAGCTGATGGGCTCTGCAGATCAGTTGGATGTCGTTCGTCTGGTTGAACTGTCATGACACGAGAGCGTTAAAATCAACGTTAGATCTCTAGAATATGATACCAATGAGATAGTTTGTTTGTCCTTACCTTTTCCACGACGTCGCCGCCGAAAAGGTATCCAGCACCACGAGGACTCAGTCCCCAGCCGTCAATATCCTCCGGGTCGGACCACATGAGGTCGCACATGGCACCGTCGTGCGGGACTTCCTGCTTGCGGTCGATGATACGGATCTGGTCGAGTGTGTTGATCGACGGAGACAAACCGCCGTGCACGCAGAAGATCTTGTCTTCGATAATAGCTGACAAACTTAAATAATCGAAGATTTCCGTGCAGTATCGCCACACGTTCACCGAGCCGTACTTGCGGAGGCACTCGTCGTAGAAGCCGTACACCTGGGTGATCTGACGGCTCTCGTGGTTGCCCCGGATCAGCGTAATGCGATCCGGGTATCGCACCTAATAAATACAAAGAACATAGTCAGCGTCTTCTCTCTCTCTCTCTCTCTCTCTCCTTATCTCCTTATAACCAATGCACCTTGAGTGCGAGTAGCAGCAAGAACGTCTCGACACTGTAGAAGCCGCGGTCCACAAAGTCTCCCATGAACAGGTAGTTGGTCTCAGGGCATTCGCCGCCCACATTGAACAGCTCCTTTAGATCGTAGAACTGGCCGTGGATGTCACCGCAGATCTGTTCGTACAATAAAGAAATATGAAATATCAGTTCTCCCCCTCATTTTTCTCTTAAAATGGAGATGTTCCCCCCTACCGTCACAGGGGCGTCGATACGCTGCACATTGCTCTCGTCCACGAGGATCTCACGCGCCTTCTGGCACAGAGCCTTGACCTCCGACTCCTTGAGGTACTCGCAGCGCTTGAGCTGCTCAATCTGCCGGTCCAGCTCACTTTGACTCGCCGCCATGTTCTGCTGCTTCGTTTATTCGCAACTGTTTTGTTGGCGGGAATACAAAAAGCCAAGGAAGCTCCTGCCCAGCTTTCTCACTGTCTTTGTCTGACCCAACGTCGACCGGTCGTTTCTACCTATCGAAAAGAATGTAAAAACTGTGGAAAAGAATAGAAACCTATAAAACAGAATGAAGGTAACGTTTTCGAAATGGGTACATTTTTGACATGGTATCCCTGGTTACCCATGTCTTATTAATACGCTCTTCACTTACTTCGAGCTCTCCTTGGTTGCATTCATACCATGCAGCGGCGCCTTGACGTGCTCCATGAGCGCCGCCAGCTTGAGCTCCGTTTTCTTCCGCTTGGTCTGCTCCTCGCGGATCCAACCCATGTACAAATCGTTCAGGCTCTTCAACTCGCGCTCGAGCTTCAAACGACGCTCCTTCTCCCGACTCAGCCACTCATTCACGTCGGCCGCGGCAATTTCCTCTTGGGACGGTGGGGCTTTGCTAACCTCGTCGCCCTCGGACTCTTGAGTCTGCATTAGCTGACGGGATGACAGCTCCACTTGAAGCGAGGCCTTCTTGCGAAGCCACGCGCGCCTCATACGGTGCGCCTCAACCACTGCGGCGGTCGTGTCGGGCACGAACATCTCCACACAGACCTTCACAGCCACCATCGCGTGCTCCATAATAGCGACAGCCACAAGCGAACCGGCAAACGACATTTTAGGGAAGAGTCTGTGCAGGAAGCCAGAGTGTAGCCCGAAAATCGCACAGTTCGTCATCACTGATAGGTAGCCTAGCGCACTGAAGGCATAGTACCAAGTACCGATGCCTTGAGTGGACGTTCGGTGACTTCGACGGAAGCTCACGCAGAGCTTGAAGCCGTCACTTCGAATCTCCATGATGTTGTTGAACAGACTCCACAGCGAGGCAAGAGGATACGCTGATGCGAATAGCGTCACTTGTCTGCATTCATAAAAGGATCGGTGATCAAGGTCAGCGGTGATATGACTGTTTTATTTTGCTAGGATACGTACCCAAACTGCACAAACATCTCCAAGTAGTCATCAAAAGTCCCGTCGTACGTGGGGAACAAGAGCTCTGCGTCAATCTTGGCGACAATTGCGTTCTTGTTGTGAGTTTCCTTGGCCAACTTCCCGGCTTCAGCCTTCAACGATGATCTTTTGCTCATGTAGGGCATCAATTGCTCTTGCAAATTCCCCAAAAGCTGTCTCGTGATCAGCAAAGAGCTTAAAGTCTGCTCCAACAACACCATGTCGCGAGTCTTGAACGCCACGTAGAACAAGAATCCAAAGTTGTTCACAAAGTAGAACAACGCTAACTTCAACACGCGAGCATTTGCAAACTAGCAAAAAACGTTCCTGTCAGTACTAGATCCCACACTAACAACAAGTCAAGACTCATAACGTACATCACTCTCAGTGCGGTGGTTCTCAAACTGCGTCAGGTAGGATGCGAGCTCGGAGTACTTTGCATCCACATACAACACCACGATAGAGTAAATGATGGAGGGCACAAGGTACACATACTCCCAAAATCCATCCCATCCGGTAGCTGGAACAAACGCAATAGCGAACCATTCCTCCATCCAGCAGTACAGGATCATCAACACCGTTACAACAGCCATCGCAGCCATTGTCGCCGAAATGGTCACCAAGTAGCGTTTGGCGCGGTCCTTAGACGAAAAAAAAGTGTAGTAGCATCCCTCTACCGGGTCGAAGCGCTTTTCACCAAAGAATTCTGTGCGAGTGGGCTCCAGAGCCAGCGAGTCTGAGGTCGATATGCCCCATTCATTGCGTAGGGTGCTCTCGCGGCGCTTCCAAAACTTCAAAAACGCAGTAGCCCAACTCGTCACCAGCAGTGAATACAATCCGCGGCCATAGGCTGCCCAACTTGGGAAGAAATCAAGCACAAAAGTCAACACGCCAACCGCTGCCAGCGGCATAAGCCACTGTGTGTACATCCCTAGGAAGCCGAAGTAAAAACCAACTTCATCGCCAAAGTACGACCGCACAGTATTGATCGGCTGAGGCTTGGTCCACTCCCTCACCCACTTCTCCACTAACTCGCTGCGTTCCTTGTCGTCGTGCAACGGGAAGTGGTCTGTCAGGAGCTTGGAATGCATCGCTTGTTGGAGGAGGAGTCCATGTTCTTCATCTTGGAACGGCTCTGGCATCATAGCCACATCATCATCCACTTTGTCATGATTTCCTGTAGGGCGATAGTAAGTGGGGTGCACTTTCAAGCGCCCCAGTTCAAACAGAATGAGGTCAATCCGGTCTCCGGAGCAGAAGTGCTCGGGGACGGGCTCCTCGCTCACGTCACCATACAATGCCCGCTCTTTCTTCTCCTTAGTAGCAACAAGCGTTTGATGTGTGGCTCCTAATAGATAATAGGCCTCTTCTGGTTTAGCATCTTCTTTCTTTTCGTCGGCTGCTTCGTGCTCTTGTAGCACGCTCTTGGTCTTAGGGACGATGATGAGATGGCTCTGCTTCTCCACCATCTGGACAAAGAAGTCCACCGCGTCCTGCGAGAACTTCTTCGTGTTGAAACACAGTACCACGTCCACATCGTGCTCGGCATCTCCACGCGGCGCGATTTTCTAGGATGATTTTCACCAAGATACGTCAGTTGACATCAAGAGATCTACTCCTGCTTGGGATACTCACCACGGGCGTGGCTACAATGAATTTGGTAAGCGTGTAGGCGCTGGCGAGGAAGCCGGCCCCTCCAACAGCTCCCTTGATCACTGCATCCGCCACCGTCGACATCGATGTTCTCGCTGCGCTCCGGACTGTTGTCGTTAGTTCGCTATTGAGTTTTTGGGCGTGGGTAAACTTATTAATTGAGGATCCAGATTTCTGTTGGCAGCCGTCAAAAAAAGATTACATGCTGCGGTTAGGGTTGACAATTCACGGTTAATACCGTTGATATTCACACTGAGAGCAGCCGCTTCGCGGCGTAGGCGCATGCATATTTTTTTAGTACCGTTCCGCTCGCCGCAGGCTCGCTGCACTACTCGCATGGATGGCTGGTAATTTGCACCGAGGCGGGCCCATAGGTCCCGCAAGGTTGCACCAGGTGCCGCCTCGCCTCCTTCGGCAGCAAAACACTTGTTTAAGCCAATCGGGGCCGCCATCGCTTCGCTCGGCAGCCAATGATATTTTGGTAGGTTTTTGTGACGGACGGACAGACACCGTGCTAGCGTTGATGTTTAAGACTAGCCGAGTGCCGCCCGCTTTGCGGGCGGGTGGGCATGGTTGGTCCCAACCCGTGGAGCTCGCTGTTCCAGCTCGCCCCACTACTACGCAAAGCCCGCCTTCGCTTCGCTCGGCAGGGGTTGGAGCC